TTTCTATGGGGTATAAACAACTCAGCAGTTGGATTTCGCAGCTGCGCAGGTGACCATCACCTGGTTGATGATATAAGAATCAAAGTGTAGAAATGATAAGAGGCTTGGCGGAAACGAGGTTAACAGGAAACTGTCCCGATCTAAATACGATGCTTGTGACAGGATCGCACACCATCTTTTTCTTTTCTCAAGGCTGCATTAGACGTTGTTTTGTTTCCATAAAGTATGTTCTGGCAATGTTAAATGCCTCAATATTTTTAAATGACAGACATTTGCGTACTAGTAAAGTTTCGTAGAACTGCTTCACTTCCTCTATATACATCATAAATAATCATATTCAGTCTATTAGATACACAGCGCTGCTGGTACAAATCTTTAAAATCGTGCGCTGAGCACGTTACCAACAGTACTGTTCACACTTCTCTCTCAATTGACTAGTTAATTTTTCTGCACCGCATTGATCCTTCACCGCATTGATCCTTCTTAGAAACACTAAAACATTGTTTTGCTATATCTTTGTCACGCTTTTGAAGCATATAAACTAGCTAAGCAGATTTTATTCCAATTAATTTGTTTATGGGAAACCTTTATACGCAGTCCTGTATTATCAATACCTTTTCACATACGGTGAAATGCATTGGAGAGCGAATGCTTTTGTATGGCAGGAAGTTAAAATGCTCTCCCTTTATCTCTATTTTCACCAGCAAATTTACAATTGTGAGTTTAAAAGATTTGTGATGTCGAAAGCTTCGAATGAAGACAGCTTTTCCTTCATTGCAGATTATTTAAATAAGGTAAAGTTAATAGTTAAATACAATAATAATTTTTCAAAACTGCTCTGCTCAGAGAAAAATTAACTCTAAAATGTGCAACGCAAATAAAGAAATATAGGGAGTAGAATGATTTCCTGGAATCAAAAAACGGCTCGTTCATGCTGTCGAGTTTCAAGACAGAATTTCAATTCTTTGAAGGTGTTCATTGGCTTTGATTTACATCGAGGCCATTCCATATTTTCGCCTCACTAAAAGACACATGTTCAATAATTGTGACTGACCTCGTGATTGTCTTCTGATTTTCACATTTCATTTTTAATTTTCAAAGCATAGATATATTTCATCTAGTTTGATTTAAGTGGCTGCCTTTGCTGTTAGAGAACTTTTATCCCTTTCTTCAAATGAGCCGCTGTAAGAAACATTATCATAATACGCGCTGGCGAGGTTGGGTAGCAGGTGAAAACCTTTGCATAAATACCTCAGATTCACCTGTTGGGTTTAGTTCTGTGGTGTCGCAAGTCATGGCCGAGATTTATTGAAATAAATGAGCTAGTTTCTGTTCACGGTTCAAATCGCTTCAAGTTGCTCGTCAGCAAAAGCCATACAGGGTAAGAGTTGCAAATAGTTGTTAGGAGATGTCTTCTTAGAGCGAACAAGATATTTTTATGCTAAATAAACAAACTATGGAGAAATAATATCTTTAAAACATATAGAAATTGCTATCTAGTGTTGTTTCTTTTGTGCTTTTTCCGTCATTTGTTGCGTTGTTTTAAACGAACTGCTATTGCACAATCCTTGATATAAAACTAAAATTGAACATGCCTGCCCTTCTCTTCACTTTTTTCTGTGAGCGCATTGGCCAACCAGCGCATTGTTTGTTATTCTATATTTTCGAAATCTTATTGTGCTCTTTGCTCTGCCATTTAAATTTATATCTTAACTCTTATAAAAGTAATAGCAATTTTACTTGTCAAAGGTTGTAGCCCATTTATTAATGCTGATTTGCAAGGGCTCGCCTCACTATTTTTCAAATGACACCTTTAATTTTTTCGCTGTTGATATGATCTCAGCTAATCGGTCAGGTGCTTAGTTCTTTTCAGATGACACTGTTATTTTTCCATCAGTTTAACGAACTTGGGAGCTTGCTTTCATACCTTGCTGAACTATCAACCACACTGAACAAACCGAAGCTAGCAAGTGATTCTGTGCAAAAAAGCATGCTCCCACCAGCAAAGTCTTCATTGCTAATTCCAAAGTCCTTTCATTGATTGATACAGAGAACTTTGTCAATTCGAACCTTCTCTGAGATCGTAAATAAGTTCGAATCGCAAAATTTTCGGATTATGCATGTCTTTCTAGGTTTTGCCTCACTAATCCCGAATCCTTGTTTTGTGCTCTCTATCTACATTATCTGAGCCGCAGAACAGATATTTCTTATCTCATTTCGCTGCCATTTTTGAGAAACAGGTTGGGCTGATGCAGGATTTCAACTGCCCGTGCAAGTTTCGATGATTGCAGTACTGATTGAATGACTTAAAAATAGCTGAAAACTACAAAACAGGTTTAGGCAAAATTTGATAAAAAACGCAATTGAGTCATCGGTTTTAATGGGAGAGGCTTTTTCTCAGTCAAGTCTTGTTCAATAACAGAAAGCTCGACTCGATAGATATTCGAATTATAGAGGTTTGTAAAAGGTTTTATTCGGAGATTTTCAGTATAAGCGTTGACTTTGCAACAAACCCAGGCTCGTAAACTCAAACTGTGCGTTTTCTATCGAAGTCTGGCTTTTAACTAACCCGGATTCGGACAGCAACGTGTCCGGTTTGGACCGGTTTACGGCGCAAGCGTTGAAAATACTTGTAGTATTTAATTCCGCATAATTACAGGAGTTGTTTAAGTCATCATTGCAGTTAATTTACTAGAGAGTTTTTTTCTTGTTTCAATTAGGAAAATGATGAAAAAATGGGCAAGATCGTGACATCATTTGAAGTGTTGATGTGGCGCTGCAAAATATTAGATGTTTCGAAATATTAGACGCTTCAAAATATAAGACGCTTCAAAATATTAGATGTTTCAAAAAATTAGCTGTTTCAAAATATTAGATGCTTAAAATATACTAGACGCTACAAAATATTAGACGCTTCAAAATATTAGATGTTTCAAAATATTAGCTGTTTGAAAATATTAGATGCTTAAAATATACTAGACGCTACAAAATATTAGACGCTTCAAAATATTAGATGTTTCACAATATTAGCTGTTTCAAAATACTAGATGCTTAAAATATACTAGACGCTACAAAATATTAGACGCTTCAAAATATAAGATGTTTCAAAATATTAGCTGTTTCAAAATATTAGATGCTTAAAATATACTAGACGCTGCAAAATATTAGATGTTTCGAAATATTAGACGCTACAAAATATAAGACGCTTCAAAATATTAGATGTTTCACAATATTAGCTGTTTCAAAATACTAGATGCTTAAAATATACTAGACGCTACAAAATATTAGACGCTTCAAAATATAAGATGTTTCAAAATATTAGCTGTTTCAAAATATTAGATGCTTAAAATATACTAGACGCTACAAAATATTAGACGCTTCAAAATAATAGTAGCTTCAAAATATTTGACGCTTAAAAATATTAGACGCTTCAAAATATTTGACGCTGCAAAATGCTTCTTTGTTTGATGCAAAATTGCCATTAAAGAAATTTTATATCGATCAAGTTTATGCATCAGATATAAGCATCTTCTAAGCTTGAAATAAATAAATAGCTTGAAAAAAATTGAATTCTTGAAGAAAATAACCGTCAACAGTGCTCGATGCCATATAAGGAGTGTTGTGCAAGCTTTTGTGTATAGAAGAGAGCAGCTCCGAGTTTCACGGTTAACGCGATCATCGAAATCCTTAAACATGATAAATTTCTTGCATATTGTCAATGTTGTTTTTATGAAGTTGGATGTAGCACAACAATCTGACTGAATTGATCCAGATTAAAGAGTTTTCCAAAAATGCTGGATTCGACAGTTTTGTTTTTTCGTTGATTTTCAATATGAAAGGAAGACCTTTTTATTTTGGTTTCGAGATGAGCTTCCTTTTCTAGATAAGAACAAAGGGGGAGTAATGTAGTACTTTCTGAGCTCTTCTTGCCAAGTTATACGATGTAAAAATATTTTACTTTTTAGGAGGGGGGGGGGGGGGGGTGTATGCGTGCTCCGCCCACATGCATTCTGTCTGGTACATGAGTGCCATAAGATAATCCTTGTTTATTCGGTTTCTTCGCCATTTATTAATCAACCATTGGCAAGGCGCCAGTTTGGTGGTTTTGGTTGTTTTGGCGCAGAGATCAGTTAAAAATAAGCCTGCGGTGGCTGCTATGCCGGTTCGAATGTTTTTCGATTTTGTTATTTAAACTGATCTCTGTATTGAAAACTGATAGGGAAATTTCATTGGTGATGCTCAAAGAATCCTGAACAGAAGCAGCCTGTAAGGTTCCAAGACGTATTCAACCATGCAAACTCATTCATATAAATTTATCTGCCTTGTCTTAAAAATTCAAGGTCGTGTTCATATCAGGGAAAAAGGAAAGTAAACGGCCTATTGTCATTTTTAGCCTTCATAGCGTCATGATATAACATCTTTTTGGCGAACGAGAAGCAGTAAAATGATTTGGTATGACATTGTCATACCTTAGCTTTATGAAAAACTTTTTCACGGAATAGAAAATACGATGGTTATGTAGAATGTCTGAGGGGATGAGCCTTGCCAAATATTGGGTCGAGGTGTTTCAAAGTTATTGTGCAACAGATACCTTGCCAGTCTGGATATTTTGTTTCTTGGCAATGAAGAGGCCGGCAGCGCAAGAATGAAGAATGCCTGCACACGAACGGTTTTCTGGACCTTCTTATGCCCTGTGTAAAAGTTATCGTCACTATTTTGGTAACCTGCATCCAAGTCTAAATACTGCTTGTGACCTTCGGTGGACTCTAGGGGCAAAGGGGTGCGGTTGGTGGTTGCACACAACAGCTGGGTGAATTTGGGTTTAGTAAATGGAAAAACCAAATGTTTATGTTAATCTCAAATTTTTCTAATAATTCACAAGCTTTACCCTCACGTTCATGGTCGTGTTTGTTTCAATACGCCCCCTTTTTCAGTTGTTGTTGTTTTTGTCTTAATTCTTGATGTTTTGTGGCTATATTTGAGTCACTTCTGTTTTTTAGTCGTGCAAGATCCTATTGCCGTCATGCTGCCACACAGTACCAACGAAAGCAGCGGAGGGAATGACAAAGGGAAAGAGACAGAACCGTCGTTAGAGCTGTTGCTGAAGTGTCCTGCCGGTCTGCAGAGTTTTGAGGTAAGATATTTCCTACATCGGTCACTTACTAAAGAGTCTTCTTTTGTAAATTTTCATGTTGTCTCTTTAAGAAAAACTACAATGAGCCGGACAATATATTGGACCGGAGTATCAGCTCGCTATAGGGAGATGTCCGTTATCGGGTGTCCAGTTTTTAGTTGTCTTAATGCTGGTCTTGTCTTAATGTCTTAGTTGTCTTAATGCAGTGCCGGTTAATGGAGATTTTACTATAATGCCTTACTTTGCATTCACATGTTTTACCTGCACAGAAATGCAACACTTTACCCGCTCCCATTTTCCCAGTTTCATGTTACGAAAACAGATTTATGACTTCATTATGTAGTAGGCACAGAACCTAGAACACAAATTAGTCGTGCTCTCATTGCAAAGTCTTATTTTGTTCGAAAATCTCTAGCAGTATAGTTTCCTGAAAAGTACAAAACATAAAATTTTATTAATTAACTGTTAACAACTAACCACTAACAAAATTGTGCATAATACCCATTATTGGGTCTTTGTACATTATCCGTTAGATGTATAGATAGAGGAATCCAATAACTATAGAACTAATCCTTGTAAAAGAAAAAAGTTCCGCAGAACCTGTATACATTTTAAGATAGATTTCTTCTCATGATTTTAGAAAATCTGTTATTGTTGTGTAGCAAAAATATAATCTCTTTCTTCGACCTGTTACTTGTTCTATTCCCTCTCTCACTCTCGACTCCCAACACACAACCACGTTTTCGCATAATCTGTTTTTAAATTGATTTTGAAACATATCAACTTGCTCTTTTTAACTTGACAGTGAATACCTTTTGTTATATTTTAAGGATTTTCTAAAAAAAGAACACAGTGAAGAGAATATTATGTTTTGGAAAGATGTTGAAAATTTTCGGCTCATTGATGATTCAGGAAAGGTACACTTCTTCATGTTTACTTTCTTCGATCCTTCTTCATAAAAAGAAAAACTATCATCACGTCTATTATTTATATTTTCTACTTTGCTTTCCAGGTATTTGGCAGCTGATAGATACGAAGAGCTTATTTTTGATCAATGAAATTTCAAGAAGTTTTTAAAACTCTTCCCTAGTCAATCATTGTGCTCAATAATTGTGCTCATTTCAAGTAACCATGCTTGATTCTACCTGCTGTCCAGTGGCCCCTCGTTCATTTTATAGATATCTTTAAAACCCTTGCCAAATTATGTCTTTAAGGATTAACCATTTTTATGTCAAAAACCTCGTTTGTCTTTCTCAAAAAGATTTTCTCTATACCTTGAAGTAGGGTTTTTCTCAGTTTGGGCGCAGTAACCGTAAGGATAATTTTTTGCAGATTTTTTATTTCCACTCAGCCATTCAGCTCAGCAGTCCTTCATATAGAATGCATACCGTATTTTCTCTTAGCCAAAATCGATATTGTCTGTTGATCCGTCAGAAAAAGGTTTTGAGAGTTGTGAGAATAGAACACTGAAGTATAGAAACCAAAACGATTTCTTTAACTCTTGTTAGTCCTCCAATCTCATCTAGAAAAGGTTCTTGCTTTTCAGAAAAATCTTGTCAGGGTGTTGTCAGGGTGTTGTCAGAGTGTAGTCCTCGTGTATCATTCGTAGCATTTTGATTAAATCTGATATCTCATTTTTTGATAGCTGCGAAGGCGTGCTAATGAGATCTATCACACTTACCTTGCTGGAGGAGCACCAGGTCTTGTCAATGTTGATCAAAAAGCCGTGAAAAAGGCGGAAGAAAAGCTGATTAACCCGGACGCAAATATGTTCGATTTGCAGCAACAGCAGGTTAGAAATACGATTTGCCTCGTTATGAAATCCCCTATTTTCATCGAATTCGTAGTTAGTCTCGTTCTTGATCAGTTCGAGATAATTTTGTTTTTCGTAGCTATCTACACAAACGGAGGACATGGTAGGCCAACAATTGTTACCTGAATGTGCTCAAAATAATTAGGTTTCATTCTGCTATTCTACTTAATTATTCTTAAACTCTTAATCTCATCAAATTCTTAATTTATTATTCTAAAACTTGAAAATGGCTTTGAAAAAAGCAAACATTCAAAGCCATTTTCAAGTTATGTACCGCCAAAAAATTGTTCATATTCTAAAATTTGTAAGAATTGAGAAGCTCAGTTGTTAGAGGATGGCTCAGTTGTTAGAGGCGCTGACTACAGACCCAAGGGTCCGTGTTTCGAGTCTCTGGCATGATTAAACCTTCACCCAGAGTAAGGAGAGTGGCCAGCTCGCTGAAATTCCAGGCAAAGGAATTACGAGGTGTGGTCACATCGAGAGGAAGGACCAGGACACTGCTCGATAAGCATAAGCCTCTCAGTGTCCTAAAAACTACCTTCGGATGTTAGTTAGAAACAAATACAAATACGTTTAATTATTATTTGATGTTTATCAGCAAAACGAAAACTCGCTTCTTTTTTATTTGTGATTTACACAGCTGCCGTTTTCGCAACTTGCCATTGCTTTGCTTTTGTATTACACTACTGTGAATGAGTCTATTGTGATTGCTTGCAGATTTTCATGTTGATGAAATACGATTGCTTTCCGCGCTTCCTCAAATCAGAATTTTACAAGCGAACGCCACTAATACCAAATTTCCAAGAACTTGACGAAGATATGGAAAATAAGGATAACAGAAAACGGAAGGTAGGCCTTTTTCAGTAAAGATTCTGTGTAGACCTCCTCTACAAGTAATAAAGAATTGTGAATCTTGAGAAACCCTTCGTTCATTGATTCTAGATATTTCTACCACAAAACCTTGCCTTTTTGGGCTGGAAAAAGTGCCCAAAAACAGCACTTATCAAAAATGTACAAAAGAATATAACAAGGAAATGACTTGATTTATTGAAAATGAATATAGCACGTAAATAATTTAGTATTACTAAATTCAAAATATTAAAAGTATAACTAATGCATTTCCCTTTTTAATCTATCTTTATTTTTGTTTCAAGATAAGAAAAGCTAGCAAAAGGCTTTTTAATCAAATATTTTACTTAGACCAATTGCTGAATCACTTTGTTTTGTCAAGAGCTCTATCTGCAGCTGACGTGTTTCGTAATTCAAACTTTCAAAGAACCCAGGATATACTGATGATTAACGTATCCATCTTTCTCTCTTATATCTATATGTCTGACTCTTAACGGTAGTCGACAGATACTAAACAATATATTGATATATAATATATAATAAACAATGCTGACGCCATCTGTCAACCAGTTTTAACCAATCAAAAAGCATGTGAATGATAAAACGCCCACTGATTGGCCAATTATTGATTTGCTGATGAATTAAGCCAGTTTAGGATCTATCGATTGCATTTAACAACTTCTTTGAGTCAGCTTTCTCTATTTATCTCGGTATTAATAACTGCCTGACACTTTTCCTCTCTACTATTTTAATATATTTTGATCAGAGATTTCATTTCAACGCCTTTCTTTTTATTGACCTTGCTGTATTCTCGACAGAATTTTCTGCAAATGTTTTATGTTTGATGCGAATGTTTTTTGCAACGCTGTTTTTGCTTGTTTTGTTTTTGTGTTCGAATTAATCCTCTTTCAAAAGCCCCATTGTCATCTCACCTTCGTCAAGCATTAACCACATACCCAAACAGCCACTGCCCAGAACCAATATCTGGAAAAAAGGCTGGAACGGCTGTCTGGAATCGTAATAGCGGTTTTGATCCTGTTTTAGCCTAGATGTTATTGAAGGGGCTGCTTATAAGGAGCAGGGGCGTCAAAAGGCAGCTCGGGCCAGGGGTGATCCACAAAGCTGGACCCCCGCAAGAAAGTTTCTGTGACCACGCCCTTCAGTCTCCTAGAGAAAATGGAAAAGGCCCTTTTTAGCTACAATTGTTGAACAGGTTTTTACGGATTTTTAAAAGAATGTGCATAAACATTTTATATAAATCAAGGACATGTGGACTTTTCTTTGCAATAAACTTACAGGCGTTAGTTACATTTAAGTAGCTGAAATAGTAGTTTTTTTGCATTTTGAATAGGTCTTGCCACTTTATTACGGGCCCCATCGGAGCACGGGCCCCGGACCTTTTGCCCCTCCTAACCATCCTCTCGATTTCCCTGATAAGGAGTTAGGGTAAACCCCACAGCTTTGCAATAGTGCCAATGAATGCTTTATTACATTTTCATAAAAAATGCAAAGAGGCAAGTTCAAATGTTAGTTTAATGGTCAGTTGCAATTTATTCGTCAGTGAAAATTGTAAAGTTGACTAGTGGATGTTGTCTCTTTTGTTTGGGCTGCAATGGTAAACCTACCTCTCAACAAGAGAACCTCTTTACTTTGCTTTACCCTGGAATGCTTGTAAACGTGATAATGAAATCTTGTAAACGCGATGAAAATGTATGAACCTGGTTCTACTAAAGTTACATTTCTGCTAGGTTGGCCTATGCAATAGGGTTGACCTATCTCGTTGTAAACAGGCCCTACAATTTACACAAGGACAGCCTCTATCATTTTGCTGATTTCAGTTATGAAATTTGAACTCCAAATTCTTTTTGTGTAACAAGCAAGTGATTGTGTAACAAGCATTCCCTTAATTTCATAAAAAAGTCTTTAAAAACGATTCAACTTTAAATACCACACGTCAGGGGTATTTTCAAAATACTGTCCGACCATTTATGTGAAGATTTATTTTTGTTTAACAAGCTCAAAGAGTCCCTTAAGTTAAAGAAACCTCCATTTTTCTTTGCCATCCCTTTCATACTTGTTTTTTTCTAATCGCCGACTTTAGGTTAGACCTTCAGGAAATTTTGCCCCTATAAGAATATCAGAAACCATAGTATTTGTCATAGCCTCCTGTAGCACCCGAGTTTATAAAACGTTAGTGCTAGACAGGATTTAAAACTATTTCTGGCCGCTGCCTTGTATTAGTTAAACAGACGTTAAACCCAGTCAAAATCCATTAGCAGAAGCTGAAAACCAATTAGATTTACCATACGTGGGAATTTGTCTAAGAATTCAGGTGACGTTCATATGAATATTTTGTAAGTCCACGTGGGGGTGTTTCAAAATTTGCCAATATACGTTTTAATTAAATCTGTTCATGTGCTCAAAAATTAAGATTAGGATCGATAAAGACGGAAAATCAGTTTAAGTTCAGCTTTTTAGAAAGATCCTGAAAGCTATGTCTGCCGAATTTAGGCTCCTTTATAAATTCTATTTCAGCTTCAGTTTGACAAATGTATCTCGCATAGAATCGCTACAGCTTCGCAATTGTTGGGGATTACGCAGCCCATTGTTGACAAATCCTCTTCACCCAAAATGTGTTTTGAAACTCGCTTAGGTTGCGTAACAAGTTACATTGTTGATACTTTCTTGTCCTATTGAATTTCTACGTTTATTTCAATTTCTGTACTTACAGTCCCAATGGTACTTGAAGATAATGAGTTCGTCAAGGGATTCTGGGATAAAAAACAAAAACGAGGCTGACGCTTCTGAACAAACTGAAAAGAAGAAAACTCTACTTGGCCTTTGGTCGAAAGGTATTTAGATATGGTTTACTTTTTGGCTTATTTCCCTGTTCAAAGTCTTCGCTTCATTTCTTTTTTAGCTTCACAAAAGGATAACTCCATAGATTTCATTCTTCTTATAAACTCGATATATCTTTTTCAGGGAAAGGGCCTAAGGTTGACGGAAAGTCACGTGGTAAGTGGTTTTTGTTTTTTCGTGAATCGTGTTACTTTTCTCAGGGTAGTGGAAGTAAGATCTGGTGCGCTTCCCTTATAATCTTATGGGCTTTACAAAGGGTGTCGAAGCAGAGATACTCCGTTAGAAATTTTTAATTGCTTACAAACACTAAACACTTAAGGGCAGTTTTAGTTCATAGAATTCTGTTAAGGGTCAGCAAAGTTATAATCTTAATCAAAGATTTTTATTTGATGATCTGAATTTAAATTCGAAAATACTTCAGGAAGCTAATTCGGTCGTGAAAATGTTGTTTTAAAGCAAGAAATAGATGCTTCTATTGCTCACACCTCCAGTAAAAAAGAGTGACTTTTGGAAGGTTGCAGCTGGTTTACTGAATAGCTGAAATTCATAGATTTGATTTTCCTGAGAAAACCTACCCATTCTATCAATGGAAAAATTATATGTAATTGGTTTTTATGATGGTTAGACTTGTTGACTTTCATCCTCGTGCTTAGATTCCAGTCTAACTTTTCAAGCTTTGAGTGTGAGAATTGCTATGGGTTGGGGTCGTGGACTACAAATCCAAGATTTAAGGTTAAGTCCCTGCCAGAAGAAAGACCAGGACACTGCTCGATAAGCAAAGCTTCTCAGTGTCGTAAAACTACATTCGGAAGCCAAATAGTAACATGTACAAATACAAAACCCTTCCCTGCTTTTTTAAATCACTTGTCTAGCTAGTCTTAAATTTGGCCAATCGCCACCTGTTGAAGCTCCACTGTCTGTTGGACCTTATTTATAGAATGATTCTTTCGAATCGTAGATAAACCTGGAAAGCTTGGAAAATTAAGAGGTATGATCAGCTAATCACATGAATTTATGCATTTTATTTCATAAACCAGTTTCTTTTTCCGTTCTTTTATTTTCTGAATGTCATATTATAACCTGGACTTTGTTTCTGTTTCACAGCTCGTCATGATTCGCAGAGCTCTTTAAGCGACGGTAGCAGCAAACCTACCACGCCCAATTTTACTGAAGATCGAAAAAGATTTGACCTTCCGAAGTCGGTGAGTAAATTTAAATAAAAAGACCTCGTTTGAGATTTCTGTTTATTTCCTGATGTCACAATCTAATTTGATGTAAAGTTGAAGTTAATATATTGTTTTGTCCATTGACAGAAAATCATTAATTGAATCACCCAAACTTCATTTCATTTTGAAAATGTTTATTAAAGAAACAGGTTTCTTTGAAGCTTTTAAGATTTCAAATCCATTAAAATATATACGTATTTTTGATTAATTTTGTGAAGTAGTTTTTGAATGCCGTTGTCAATAATTCTTCCTAAGCCTTAAACTAAGTTATAGCAGAAGAATTCGTTAAGATGAACAGTAGAGATTAAGAAAGATTGATTAAAGGTCTTTATGTATTTCGTAATAAATAATTGCGCAAATCTTTAGGTCTGGTCAATGACCTCCTTCTGACGATGCTTCTTCTTTGACTGTGTATATCTGCAAACTGTTCACAAGTGCAATTAATTTAAGATTTTGACCCAGCAGGAAACCGATTTGTTCTCATTATTCTCCCTGTTACAATCTCAGTTTGAAGCATGGCATATTTCCCACATGTTTTGCAATGTGATTTGAATATTCCAAACACGTGGAAAATTCTGCTCTGGTCCAATTTGTTAGGATTACGTTTTCTCTGCAGCTCGGTTTGATTCATAATGCAATGCGTTCTCGTCTTCGTTGCAAATAGACTTAGTTATATTTGGGAGAATCAATCTGCGCAAACAGTCCTTTCGACAAAGGTGTTCATTTAAATATATACTTAAGCTTTTCGTCTGACACTTTTCATGGTATAAAACATCAGAACATGTAAATATGAATACCCAGTTGAGGATCGATCGACAACTGAGTACAGGTCAACATTTATGTTTGAAATGAAAAGTTAACTATAACAACATAGGCAATATTTTTATCAATTTATATTTTTCCCTTTGATGATACGAAGCGTCTTACAGTTAACACCAATATTGCTCAATTTTATGCAGGTGTAATAAGAAAAACACGTGAAATATCTTCGTACCTTTTATATCAAGTTATCATTATAAATGAAGCCGTTTTTTGGCTTCGTTCAAGACATTGTTTTGTAATAAAAATTCATCGCTTTATCTTTGCGTTTTTTGTTTGACTTTATATAATTGTCGATTTGTGTGCCTTAGCCAAAAACAATAATTTCAATAAGGTTTGTGGTTTTTGCTGGAGGCAGAGACGAACTCGATGTCCGATTCTGCGTTTGTCAATATCATACCAATTTTCCAGTACAAATATTCCCTACAATGTATTTCAAAACATTTTTGATTGATTACTGATGTGTTTTGTCTTCTCTATAGCCGAGTGAGATCAAAGAACTTGTTGGCTCGGAAGCGCCATTTTGCCGTGTGATCTTACCAAATGGCTCGTCAAATGTTGTCGTACTGGAATCAGGTCATCCGATTAAACACGTGCTCCAAACGTGCTGTACCAGGCAAAAGCTACAGCTTTCGTCTTATGATATTTTCGCAGGGGACGAAAGGAAGGTAATAAAGAGAAAGTTTTTATGATAATCAAAACTATGATGATTCACTTAGATGCTTTAGTGAGTTTTGAGCTTACCAAAACACCTCAGAGAACGTGTGAATTCAAACAAGGAATACGATATTGCAATTCATAACCATGACATTAAAAATACCCATTCAAATGTCAATTCTTCATTAAGGCATCCGCTATTCAGCAACATGGCCTAAAGGAAGTCCCATCTTGATAATGGGAACCACAGAATAAAAATCCATCAACACAAATATTAAAATGCAGGAGCATCAGCTTTGTTTTGATAATTGTTTTACCATTTTACTTAGATCGTTATTGCTAATTACGCTTTCTAACTGTTGTCATGAGGTACTTTTGTCGTCCTTGTAAAGTCATGATTGCCTATGTTTTGTTTTTCAGTCAGTTGATTTGCAGAAAGACGCAATGTTCTTTGCTGGCGAAGTTTTTCAATTGGAAAGAAAGATTCAATTCAGGTTCTTGTCAAAACTTTTTCAATTATCTAGACATTGGCGTATAAAGTAATGATTTTCTATTAATTACCCATCCCACTCCGCTCCTAAATCAATTATTCGCATATTTTTTACAATTATAAAAACATCTGATGCAAAATGCATCTATGAAAACGCCATATCCATGCGATGGTTGGTTTTTCGCTTCATTTTTTTCGTATCGTTTAATTTAAGGCTATAAAAAATTAGCACTTTATCTTTTGAAGTCGCTTTTGCATTTTTTTTGTCAAAGAACACTGATGGAGAAACTAAAAGAATGAGGATTTAAAACTTGCCATGAGTCAGAATTTTGAACCACAGTTTTGCACACGTCGAGTAGCTTTATACGGGCAAACTGAATAATTTTACTAAAAATACAACTACTTTTGCACTTGTATAAGTATAGTCAAAGACAAAGCCCTTGTCTTGCAATTCATTGTCCTCCCTCTTTCTTTTCCACGTGACCTGATTGTTTCAATCTCATGACCATAATAAGTGGACCACGTGTGTTTATGGGAATCCTCCAGGAAATTCACCAATCACGTTGCTAGAATCAAGCCTCGAAGGCCTGGTGTGAGGCATATAACGACATCAGTCATGCACATTTTTTACGCTTGTTTTTGCATCAATGTTAACCGACTTTTAATTTCATTTTGTAGGTTTGATTTGCCAAACAAGCGATCGGTGGCCGTTATGGATAGCCCGAGCAAAACTTTGTACGATGTAATTGAGCCAATTATGAGAAAAAATGGATATGAAATCGACAGATATATCATACACATTGTAAGAAAAACCTTTTTAAAAATTTTCAATGCTTTCAATTACATTATCATGTGGGAATTTCGCACCATTATCGTATGCAAAGCTTGATCTTTTCATTTTTTTTGCTTTTTCTTCGTGATCAAACGTTGTCCCAGTTTGTGTTCTACGTGAGAGATTGAACAGCAACCAAGATTCTGTTGACAGAATTGTTATCCTAACTCACAGACAAATATGAACCGTTTCTCGAAGTACTTGGTTTTGACATTAGTGCTCTAATCTTTCTTAAATTCCAAGCCCTTTTTTCCTTTTCTCTCTTGTTTTGTGTCATAATTTTATTTCCATGTGTTAATGTATTTTCTCACAAAAGTAATTTGTTTTAAATTTTTTCAAATCATTAGTTATATTTTAATTTGAAGTGAAACGTAAACTTGGCCTAAAGGTGATAGTGTTGAGAATTCCATTCGTCAAGTACACTTAAAGATATAGATTAAACGATATTATGATCTAGATATAGGTAAAAGTCATAAGCTTTAAGTAATTGTTAAGTTTTTCACAGATGCCAGATGATTTTAAAGCTTCCCTTCATCTGAAATTTCCTGTTCATATTGGATAATGAACTTTGTTTCCTCAGCATAACACTAATTTCGTCCTATTGCATTCGTTATTTAATTTCAAATTTAAATTCAATTGCTTACTTTCTGTGAAAAATGTCACGTAAGTCAAATTTATTTTCATAAATGCATTGGTTAATAGAGTGCCCGAATGATGACGTCATAAAAATATATTTTAACAACTTTTTGATTTTAAACATATAACCTACGAGAACATCAGAAAATTCCTCTTAATGTTTAACAGTGGATTTTCTGAATGCCTGTTACAGATTGTCTGAGAATTGCCGACACGAGTACAGACATTTCCCCCTTAAGCCCTGGTCAAACGATCCAACATTTCATCCATCATTTCACCCAACATTTTCACGCGCAGATCGAAAAAGGACTGGGTAGAAGTTCGCGCTGAAGGCTGCACAGTTTAACGACATTTCAATCCGAAAAAACGCAAGGCAATCACTGCCGTCTCTTTTTATTTTCTCTTCAAATATTTTCACTGTCATCGCCGTCTTTCAGGATGAGCTTTGCATCCCCTATCAAGGCCGTGGCCTAAATTCGTCCCCCTGCGCTTTCTTGTAGGTTCCCTGTGCTACAGGCTTTTCATTGACGCTTGATGCCTCTTCTTTCGCACAGAATTCGCTAAATTTCGTTATATTGTCCATAATTAAAGTGTAACTGATTGTAAGCAAACGCAATTGTTGAAACGAACGAAACCAGGCCAAGAAAACAACAACGATGTTATGATTGAATTTTGGCGCTCTTTAGCCAACTACGCGTGCACAGAGCCAACAATGTTGGCTGAGGTTGTCAAACGATCCAAAATTTAACTCTACAACTCAAAACAATAGAATTGTTGGACGTCGGCAGCCAACATTTTTTACCTCAGTCAAATTTCGTACAACATCGGAATTTACGATGTTGGGTGACCCATAAAGGTGGTCAAACGATCTAACACCATGTTGGGCGAAATGTTGGGTGAAATGTTGGATCGTTCGACCAGGGCTTTATGCAAACCACTGTTGATTCAAACTAGCCTTGTACTGTTTGACAGCTGTCCGCTAGCAAACAGATTTGACTGACTTTTCACATCTTAAGTTATATTACCGTGTTCTTTCTTTTCATATTGACATAGATCTTTTAACGTCATCTCTTTGCCAATCTATCCATTGATCCACTTATTCCTCCATTCATTCATTTATTCCTCCATTCATTTATTCATTCATTCATTCATTCATTCATTAATTCATTCATTCATTCATTCATTCATTCATTCATTCATTCATTCATTCATTCAACCACCCTCTTGAATCTTAAATTCTTTATAAGAGCACCTTCTCTCCAATATTAAGAGTTTAACCGAAGAAAGGTTAAAAACAATTATTTGACTATGTATTGCTTTCGTATAACAAAAATTAATTGAACACCGAGATGCTCAAACGAACTTTAATGGCACTGATTTACGTATTTCATATTCTAGTTGATTAATCAACAAATTTCGGAAGTTAAATTCTTTATGCTGGGTAAAGATTTTAAACTAAAATTAATTAATAGACTGTCTCGTAGAAGCCAATCTGCAAGAATTACTAATCACTGAAATAGATGAATAAGGAAATAAACAAACTACTTGAAATTCGTGAATATAAAGAAGGAAATTATCACTACGAATCTCCTTCGAAAACGATTCCATCCAAAGTCAATTACTTTTTAGACCAACAACAACATTCAGCTTCCCCTGCAGACTGGTATTGCAGCCATTGAGAACAAGCATCTTGTCACTAAAGAGAAATCACAAGGTTTGTATAGCAAAACCAATGCTGTATTCTTAAATTCGAATATTCGTAACGGCATTTTATTATCTCATACATTTAATTAGGCCAATTTCAAAGCTTTAAAGTTGTGTGATGCTAGATTCTTCCGCACCCATATAATATAAGGAGATGATGAAAATTACTGTTTACCGCTCTCTCATATAGTGTTCGATGCCGTATCGGCGGAGCTGTACACGCTGTTGGTGTAAAAAATAGGACGGTTCTAAGCTACTACTCCGAGTTTCACGCCAAATGCGTGATCATCAGGTCATCATTAAGGATGTACTTTTTTCTTAAGAATGGGAGATGTACATTCATAACAGGCATGACACCCAAGCAGTTTGTTAATTGTTGTAATTTTATTCCTTTCTACGTTATCGAAGTCCACTTTATGCTACTACATCGAAGCTCATTGTGTTCTGTTGTACTAAGACCAACTTTATTATTTGTTTCCTACTGGTGCATACTGTACCCATGCTGTATAAATCCAGACTGTATTCTATGATAACCAATATTGCAACACATCTAACTGTATCAATTCCTCTTTTATCTTGCCTAATCAAAACATAGTATATCTCAATGTTTCCTACAATATTATTCTCTGCCAATATTGTATCATAGACAACTGTATAAACCCCTATTGTACCCTGCTGTATCAAAACATGGTACATCTTGAAGTTTCTTAACCGTATTTTATTGTACCAATAGCCAACTGTATCAAGCCCTTATGTTTCCACGTATATAAACACATGCTAGATTCTATTGTTTCCTATTTTACCCAATAGTACCAGTTCTGTACCAATAGCCAACCGTATCAAGCCCTTATGTTTCTACGTATATAAACACATACTATGTTCTATTGTTTCCTATTCTACCAAATAGTACCAGTTCTGTACCAATAGCCAACCGTATCAAGCCCTTATGTTTCCACGTATATAAACACATACTAGATTCTATTGTTTTCTATTGTACCAAATAGTACCAGTTCTGTACCAATAGCCAACCGTATCAAGCCCTTATGTTTCTACGTATATAAACACATACTATGTTCTATTGTTTCCTATTCTACCAAATAGTACCAGTTCTGTACCAATAGCCAACCGTATCAAGCCCTTATGTTTCCACGTATATAAACACATACTAGATTCTATTGTTTTCTATTGTACCAAATAGTACCAGTTCTGTACCAATAGCCAACCGTATCAAGCCCTTATGTTTCTACGTATATAAACACATACTATGTTCTATTGTTTCCTATTCTACCAAATAGTACCAGTTCTGTACCAATAGCCAACCGTATCAAGCCCTTATGTTTCCACGTATATAAACACATACTAGATTCTATTGTTTTCTATTGTACCAAATAGTACCAGTTCTGTACCAATAGCCAACCGTATCAAGCCCTTATGTTTCTACGTATATAAACACATACTATGTTCTATTGTTTCCTATTCTACCAAATAGTACCAGTTCTGTACCAATAGCCAACCGTATCAAGCCCTTATGTTTCCACGTATATAAACACATACTAGATTCTATTGTTTTCTATTGTACCAAATAGTACCAGTTCTGTACCAATAGCCAACCGTATCAAGCCCTTATGTTTCTACGTATATAAACACATACTATGTTCTATTGTTTCCTATTGTACCAAATTGTACCAGTTCTGTATCAAAGCAAACTTTGCCAAACGCAAATTTATCCTCTTTTATCAAATCCTACTTCATACCACTGCATCAAAATCTTCTTTATCCTAAGTTTCCTACATCCTGAAAGATTTTATCTAGAAACCTACAGAGGCTTGAATTGTTTCGTTTAACGGCCTGTGTTTTCTTAGCAATATGTTTGCTCAAAAATTGCTCACAGAAAAGCTTCTATGTTTTTGTTTGTTGTTTATATTCAAAGAGGCCAGCATTTATCGGAAAATCGAACAGCATTCATCAGTACAGGTCAAGGTATCAAATGCTAGCTCGTTTAATTCAACACACGGCATTAAATTTCATAAAATGATTTCGCAGGTGTTCACAACTTTTCTGATTGCTTCAGTCTGGGCGTGGTAGTGACTGCACAGTTGTGATCGTTGCCTCGTGTTTTTAAGTTAGATAAATCTTTAAATAGTGTCTCATTCATCCGATTAAACTGCTCATCCCATGCTGTATCTTAATTAAAATGTGTGTTCCTGCTGTTATTTTTGACACTCAAGTTGCTCAGTATCGGTAAAAAATGATATTTTCAGCATTATTTAGAAATGCTTTTCAAATCACTAGTAGGTTTTTTTGGCGCATGATTTCCACATCTCTTGTGCGTTTTGGAATAGTTATTCCAAAGGTTATGGGTACGCTTTACTTTAGCCAACCACCACTTTCTACGTCAGTGTAATTGTTGGCCTACCTTGAAAGTGTCTGAGGTCTTGCACTTTCTCAATCTTTTATACAAGACAGACTGACAGAAGATCCGTAAAAAACTCTCAAGTATGCCTCCCTTTTCTATTTGAACTGCACGAACTGATTTCATTCCTTATCTTATGTTTTATTCTTTCTTCTTCATTCTTTGTTACTTTGCTTGTTATTTTATTGCGCAAAACGTGATTTTGTTTCAAGGTTCAGCTGGTAGGCTAATTGTCTTCGTTTGTTAGTGAAAATAGTCAGGCACAGTATTTTAATGTTTTGAAACAATCGTAAGTTTGTTCATTCCGTTTTAGAAAATGTTTCGTGGAAACCTCCCGTGGGTAACGCAGCTGACCTAAGGACGTCATTTAGAAGATTACGGCAGTCAAGTAAAGATGATAGCTCACTGATGATTCGGTCACGAAATGAAGCAAAACCCGCAAGAACGCAGGAACGACGCGGGTCTTTGGAAGGGCGCCGATCATACTTCACCAGGCTAAAACAGGGGATCAAAAACAATACAAATATGCGATCAAAAAGCATTGATCAAACTACTTTTGCTCTTAATGGTAAGAAAAATCTTCTTCATTTGTCAAATCTTAGCTGCTATCTGTCGAGACTGTGATCGATTTTTAGGCTTAATTTGTTTCACTTATTTCTTTATAACCATGACTTTATCTCTACCAAAAAGTTGAAAGGAATGGATTCCTTGATCCTAAAACAAAAAGGCAAGAAAAGTTTTAAAATTAAACTCTCACCCTATGTCTCTCGAGCAACCGGCATGTTTTGCACTAGCTGTTATTTTATGCGAGACGAAATGGGCTGTGTTTTGTATTTTCATGCATTATGATATTAGGCCGTTTTTGGCAATATAGTCGCAAAGCATGCCGGTTGCACAAGAGCTTTTTAGCCCTCTTCGTTCGCGATTTTCAGAGCGTTCTGGATAATGGCCAAGAAAACAGAAATCAGATGCGGACCGAGAGTACTCTCCGCAAGTTTGTTATACCTAATGAGGTATTGTTGTCCTTTATCCAGTTCATTCTGGATAGTTGCTAGAATTTTATTCCTAACGATTTTTGTTGTCCCTGTATTTAGAACAGCAACGAGACCTTTTTTAATCGTTTTTCAGCAGTAAAACAACAGCAAGATGGTGAACAGGACCAATCCAAGAAGAATCAACCTATTCCTTCACACAGTAGACAGCACTCCGCCCCTCTATACGATCGACCGTATGACGCTTCCGATACAGGCAGCTCTTCATTTTTAGATGACCTTCTGTCCGCCGGTGTGTATGATAAAAATGGCCATGAATCAGACCCTCATAAGTTCAGGCCAGCTTCTGAAGTAATCTTTGCTCAAAATGAAGAGAAAGAATTTTTTGATCGAAGGGCCAGTGTCCCCTTGGCTAGAATCGTACGAGATGACGGGGAACTAAAAGATTTCTCCCGGAAAGGTGTTTCCAATTCAGATATTTCTGCACTTTCCACACATCTACATCCACGTTCCAAATTCGTTAAAAACATGCACGCCACTTTGAATGCTGCTGTGAGTGACCCAGAGCTGGCAGTACGACGAGGCAGGGCTAAAAACGTCAAAGCATTAAAAGAAGATGTAGGGCGACGTGGCAGCGATGCATCGAATAACTCGAATTCGCCGTCAAACAGTGCGCGCAAATATAGCGAGCGGAGGCCGCGAAGTGACGCTGAGATAGGTCAAAACCGCCGGTTGTCGAAAAATTTACTTTCTTGGCGATCCCGGCAGAATTCATCGGATTCTGTAACGAGCACAGCAACTGAAGAAACGGATGCTGGGAAATCGCGAAAGTTAAAGCGGGATGACGTCAAACGATATTCGTCTCCTGAGCCTGTTATTCTTAAAAATTATCCCCGAAGCCCACGTAACAAACAAAAGAAGCTCGAAATGGCGGATGCCGAAATTGCTATTGCGAATTCACCCGTGTATCTTGTTGAAGTTGGAAGTCGGCCTAATGGCCAAAAGGATCGGCCACAACCAATTTCTGTCGCGGACGAATCCGATATTCTTCGCGGACTTGACTTGGAGGAAAGTTACGATAACGTATCAACTCCTTCTTCGGCAAAAACTGAAGAAAGTACAAATTCGCTGGACGATTCTTTTGAAAATGTACTCGACACAATGAATTGGAAAGATAACGCTACAGATGAAAGAAAAAATGGAGATCCTTCCTTAAAATTACACGAACAAGGCGATAATTTAAACCGGACAGACACGTTAAATGATACTGGAAGCAAAAGTAATGTCGCTGTTGTTATCGATGTTGTAGATAGTGCAGGTACAGCCGAGGACGTTAATCTTCCTGATCCTGATTATGAGCACAATGCAACCGTGACAGGGTCGGTTAATGACGAGACACTGATAATGGAAGACAAGGATACTGGCCTAGATCTCTCTGGATTAATGGACATGACAAATGTGAAAAGGAACCGCAAAGGAGTAAAACCAAAGGGAGAGAAGGAACAGAAAGTAAAGGAAACAGCTATAACATTTGTCTAGTAACTAATTTATCTGTACAGATATTCTCAAGCGAGAAATAGTTGGTCCTAAGTGGGCTGTAGGGGTAAGACCTTGAATGGGTTTGTTCTAGGGTTTTCGTGAAGAGCACACGATACACTGTGAAACGCTTGTTTGATTTGGCTTTCGAATAACCCTTTCTAATTTATTACCTTAATACAGAAAAACTAGAGGAGCTTGGTATTTTAACCGCACAAGTCAGAAATGAGCTTAATTGAAAGCAACTTAATTTTCACCGTAACGTATTTAAATACAGCTTATTTAACAAATATAGAAAGCAATGAGAGAGAAAAGCGATTTTTTACGATTGTTTCATATTTCATCAACTAGTTTTCTCGACTAAAATGGAAACGATGTACTCCTCCTCCTCGCCACGCTCCTCGTTTTCGCCACAGTTCTCGTTTTCGCCACAGTCCTCGTTCTGGCAAGTGTCAGTATTTGACCCCATGCTAGAATTCTATCCCTCATTACTGTTGCACGGATTTTGCAGCTTTCAAAATACGAACAGTTTTTATTTTGTGATTGATCTATTTTTCTGTATGCACGATTTTCTCGTGACTGAAGGTCCTTTCAGTTTACGCAGTTAGCAAGGATCTGATTGACACGTGATCTTGAATTTAGCAAACTGTTTCCCGAAAGATGTTTAAACCTTTCTAAAGCTGTACTCCGAAATATGACTTAGAAAGCTCATTTTGTTTAAGAAGTTTTTTCGAGATTATTTTTCTCGTTCCCACCCCGTTCTTCCATACTTTTCAATCCTCACATTTTGTTCTCATATCCTACTTCCAAGTTCTAAGTTTCAGAACCCTTTTTTTAAGTTTTTTACCAATGACGTTGTTCATAAATTTTCTTTTGTCAAAATTTTTTACCTGCGTTTTTTTAATTTCTAACACCTGTTTTAAAGTATTACATTGTATCATTGTAAACATGGTATGTTTTTCAAAAGAATGATTGTTTAATGACTGAGCAGGCTCTTACATTAATATATGAATGCTATAGAGAATAAGACTTTTAGAAGGAGAGCTCATTGTTGATATTCTGCTGTCTGTAGTCACAGAGTTCGTTTTTCACTTCTTTGGAAATTTCTATGGAAGCAATTTCTGTATAGAATGCAGAAGAATAAATAGAACAAATGCGAGGATGGCTAAGTCGCGGGAAGCGCAGACTTCAGATCCAACGGTCAGAGGTTTGAGTGACATGACCAGACTTTCATTAAGAGTCAACCACATAGGAACCACGAAGTGTCGTCTAATCGAGAAGCAGGACTAGGACCCTGCTCGATAAACACAGCTACACAAAACTAACTTTGGATGCATGTATGTAGCTATATGCGAAATTAGGAACATGTTCAGAATTGTTTGTTTTCTATTCAATAACATTAACAGACTACCTAAGACATTTCATAAGAACCACTTTATGATACCAAGGTACAATACCAAGATAATGGCAACCCCTAAAATGAAGCCTTTCCTTATAGAATGAAGATCAAATGTATCATAATTGATACATTTTGATCGTTTTTACGGTGTTTTAGACCTTACGAAGTACCGCAAAAATATGAAGCAGAGTCAGGGTCCACGCCACAATTTTCAGGTGGAGGGGCCAATTTCTTTAAGTCGAACTTGAATTTAGTGCTTCAAAACAGGGTCTCTTTGAAAATATTTTTGCTTACCAAAAAAGCCATGGCCCTATCAGCCTCCCCCCGGTGTCGTGGGCCCTGAGAGTGCAGCATCCTTCAAAGAGTTGTATTCGTCGAAATTGACAGCAAATCGTTCAAGAAGCTTCATGCTCGGACAGAAATTTTTAAGCTCCTAATTGTTGCCCCTCGTACCCACTTATCTTCAAGACAGCGTCTTTCCTCTTTGGGGATTTTTGACAAAGGCTTTCTGATTTGTAGACTGAAACAATTATAGAGTGCCAAGCCAAGCAGATCCTTCATGTCTATATTTGTTAGAAACGACCAAGGAGTTGGGGGTTCTTGGTTAAATTTTGATTAGAGGTCGGCCACGAGCGTGTCCATAGGGGTACTGTTGACTGGACTAATTTTCACAAAAGGTAACTTTGGCTAGACCAATTTCTACAAAAAATGTATACCCTTGGCTAGATCAATATTGGTGAACGAAACGTTTGGCTAAAAGTAACAATTTGAACAATGTTTTGGCGGTACAGAACTTGAAAATGGCTTTGAAAAAGTCGTCTTTCCATTTAGCAGTTTTTGAATCGATCTACATACAAATAGAAAGCCGTCATTGTGTAAACAGAAGGAGTTCGTTTTCTTTCTTGGACTCCAGTGGTAATTTTTCTTTAGGTACGCAGCACTCATTGGTCAACTATACCGGTCTTGTGCTTGCGTTTTTCTGATTTGCCTATTTCGATCAACAACTGGGTATATATTTTTCATCGTGTTCTTTCGGACCCTTATTCTTGTAAAATGTTTGCTTTTTTCAAAGTAACAATTTCGATAACAATTTCATTTGAAAACGATCTAGTTGCTGAAGAAGTCTGAATATGAAAAATAGCAATAGATGAACTAGTTAGATTGTATCAAACGTTACAGTAAGTGATTCAAAAGAAATATTTGAAGCTATTTTTTGCACAGGATTCACTGCTCTTTATAAAAGACCTCTAGGGTCAGTGGTAGGATACCTTCGATACTGTACAAATTTCGGTATTTGGTGATTGAAACGAGGGTGTTGCCAGTGCGAGGCAAATCTGATTGTCAGTATTTGCTGTTGTGGCCCACTGATCTAAGTGGTTGTGGCCTTGTCTTGATGAATAGAAAATGATAACATGATGGCTTGGCGGCATTTTTTGACTTGTACTGTCAAACATTTCAGGCCCTTGCTTCATGGTTTTACAAATATCAAGCCAGCTAGGTCAATATACTTAAGGCAAGTTTTTCTCGCAAGAAGCATGAGTTCGATAAAAACGAATTTGGATCTTTCCGGAATTTATCCTCCAATTCCTACAAGTTTTAATGAAAATGAAGACATTGATTTTGAGAAGCTGAAGTCAAATTTGGCTAGATGGAACAAGATGCCATTTGCAGGTAAAGTTATTCTTCCATGATGGAACACAAATAAATTTGGCGAATGCTAGTTATCTTGCATATAATAACATACACAGCCACAGGCCTATTATTATTAAGAAAAAAGAAAGGGTTTTCACCAGTGAAAGGTTTTCAGTCTGCCAAACAAATTCATCACAAACTTAGGTTCACTGCCATTTTGCTAATGCAACCAGCATTTTGCTAATGTATCAAGCATTTTGCTAATGCAACCAGAATTCTGATAGCCTATCTTGCAAAAACACATACTGCTAACAACTCTGGTTAGATATTAAACACAATGTAAACCACTTATTAGCTCACTCAATCAGAGGAGGAACCAGACTTCAAGGTGCAGCATATTCCAAAATTGTACTTGGTATGTCAAACCCGGCAAGAAAATAAGGATTTGTTTTCTTTTAGGATTTGGCAACCGGATTAGTTTGTTTGTTTGTTTGTTTGTGATCTTACTAATAAATCAAATCTAATTTTAAGCTACAACAAAGTAACTTGTCTAGTTTGATTATTTACAAAATATGCAAATTAAATTAACACCTTCTAATTTTTAAATACAAATTTACAATAAAATAATTTAGTCTTTCCTAAGATTCCTGGTTTAGTTTGCCCCATCCCAGTTTTTAATTAACCATGCAGATTTTGTTTCCTGTGGTAATCCATTCCAAATTTGTGGTCCTTGTCCAAGAGACCTGAGGCTGTTTGAACTGAAATTTGTTTGGTTGGGCCTGTAATGCTGCAAGTCTTGTGGATGATGCAAGGATTGATCAAAGGTTCCTAATTCGAAAATATTTTGCAAGAATTCCAGATTCAACTATTTTACAGTAAGAAAATTTCAAGACAGAGGTCCCTTGCCAATTTTGCAAAGCTGATCTCCATAAGATGAATCATGGTCATCCTAAAGAAAACGTAGAGCTTGTTTCTGTATTTTTTAGATCTTCTCCATAGTCTAGCTGGGGAGAAAAACCACACTGAAGGCAGTAGTGAAAGTTAAAGAAGACAAAACTTTGGATCAGTATTTTTTTCTCCTCAAAACCAATGAAAGATTTGAGTCTTTAAAGCACATTTAGCTGGGTTGCTGCCTTTTTACAAAGTTCCGATATGTGAATGTCAAAATTCAGTTTATGATCTATAGTTACACCAAGCAACTTTACTGAAGCTTCAGAATTTATAGTTTTCCCTTGAATAGAAATGCTATGGCTAATGGTATTTGTTTATCCTTTCTGATGAGAAGAGCATGAATTTTTTCTGGGTTAGCGATAATTTCATTTTTATCAAGCCAGGCAATGGTGATGCTTCCCTCTTTTTTCAAGATTTTGATCGAGGCAGGTTTTTGAAAAAAGTGTTGAAGTGTTGTCATCTGCCTACTTTACAAGAGAAGCCTTTATAATGAAATAAAACAGGTCATTGATGTAGAATTTGAAAGGTATAGGGCCAAGGACTGATCCTTGCAGTACCCCTAGTAAAACAGATTGAAAAATGCTGTAAGGATAATTTTTTTGAACTGCTTGTAAGTGCCTTTTTAAATATGAGTAAATAGGGACTGCTCCAACAATGTAACTATTGTCCAATTGGACTTTCCAGTCATCTAGCATTTTAATTAAGACATACTGTGTACTGTAAGTCTTCCTGTAGGCAGCAACGAAATCAGACAAAGTTTTATCGAGATGAGAACTAATCTGATCTTTTATTATTTTTTCGTTTACCTTGGAAAAAATGTTAAGCACATTTACTGGAAGGAATTTTTTTTTACTCTCCGAACATGTTTGCCTTTGTCAAAAGGTGTTACTGCAGCCTGTTTTCGATGTTCTGGAAATCTGCAATTTTTCATGATAGCTCCTTTGCAGCTATACCGACAAGTTTAGTGGGTTATTTTGTCTTCACTGGTCAATATCTTATCATTTGTTGAAAGCAAGAGTTTGAAAAAATCATCTGGTTCAGCTTCATGAAAAGAAAATGTACCAAATGAATTTTTTTTATTTTGAATGATGGATAATATACTAGGGTGATTTGGGTATTCTTGCAGGATGAGTCTAACTATATGACTATCGTCTTGGAAGGGTGCATTTTGCTCAATGTTAGTGGGTTTTCTTCCAGAAGATTTTTCTACGATATTTACATAATGGTGATTAAAAGCTTCAGCAAGTTCCTTATCTTCAAATATGATTCTATTCTATCTTCTTTAACAAGAGTAATGTCTTTATCATGTAATCAAAGTTTATAAAAATGCGATAATGATAGCTTCTCTTAGTTTCTCTTACGAATCACTCATGCTGGTAGGGTTTTGGTCAGGATTAGTGTACTTGAGGTACCCAGGTGCATTAATGCCAAGCTTTTTATTTGTTTTTTGCTTTCTTAGAGACCAGTCTCCAGAATATGACAGCTGCACCAAAAAGGCCCAAATTTGAAATCGCACCCCAAATATACAGTAGCATTATTCTAGAAAACTTCTGTTTGCGTGCCATTTGAGAGGTAAATAAAATTTTGCACACTGAGAAGATCCATACTTTCCAAATTACAGAGTATGCCAATTTCAATAAGATTTTAGGTGAGCCAACAGCCCCCACCCCAGGTTTGGGCATACAGAATAATGAAAAATGCCAGTTGTGCCTTAGTTTCATAGATCTAGTTTTAAGCTCACCCTCAGCATTGCCATGTCTGCTTTCTGAATACCATGCCTGCTTTCTGAATACCATGCCCTGCATGCTGGCAAACTTCGCAGACTGGATTAGGGGTCATCCAAAATTATCTTATGATCAGTAAGCCACACTAAGCCAATGGATCAGTGGCAGTTTTGGGGACAACAGGACCAGGGCTGCAAACATCTGACGGCCTTGTTCTTTACAATTTTTTTCTTAGATCCAGGCTCTATCTGGCTACCATGAGAGCAGGGCATGAGACCATGGCCCCCCTGGACCCCCTAAAACTGCCATTGCTCTGTATTATTCCATCTTGCATGCTGTGTATAAATATTGTCCTCAAAAGACATCAGTCGCTGCTCATTCTTCATATCAAATGGGACATCTTCAAGTATTCTGGCTTGGCAAAAAGTTACTAAAAACCAATTTTTTTATATATGCAATCAAACTGTAATTTCCAAAGTTCAACAAATGATCAAATAACAGATTTTAAGGAAACTCCTCCTCCTTCAAGGAAATTCCGCCTACGTGCTACTTACTAACTGCAAATGATTTTTGGATGACATCTTTTCATTCTAAAGTTTTCTCTGTAGCTTAAAATTAAATTTGCTTTTAAGAAAAATAAAAAAATATGTTCAAATGATGTCATTTATATTAAATATGAATTATTGTTTCCTTTCAAGGATATGTGGTTCAAGGCTCAAATGGTGAATATGTTTACTTATCAAACAAAGAAAGAGTGGATATGATTGAATTTGTGAGAAAAGAAGTCCCTAAAGATAAATTGGTCATAGCTGGATCTGGCTGTGAAGGTATGTTTGGGATATTCCATGCATTCTGTCAGTAACTACTACCAGGCCACAACAGCCCCTTTCTAACAGTGTTTTACACCAATGAAAGTTTCATTTCACAAACATGGATTTGATGCAAATAATTCAAGGAAATGGTTTCAGTTATTCTTGGAAGAGGCTCCATGAATTAGGTTGTAAAGATAAAGGAAAAGAAGGGGGGTTTCAGGGTCAGTGCCAAGGGGTGGACTAGGGTGGACATGTCCACCCCACTTTTTTTAAGATCGACTTTCTAATTTTTCAAAACTGGAATAAAATTTCTTTGCTTAGATCAGAATTTTTTTAATTTTGATGGTCGCTTCGCTTTCTTATGTATAAAAAGTAACCTTAATCTTGTGGAGGTTCATGCTGTTTTCCTTTGGCTAAACAACTCAAAACAAATTTGAAAAACACCTCCTTGTAATAACCACCTCCCTATCTCAATTATTTTCTATTTTTGGTGGTTTTATTAGAGTGAGCATTTTTCTATGTTTTTGCTTGCTTCAATACTTGCTGTATCTTGAACCTGAAATAACTGCAATATTTCTGTGTTCAGGAACTAGAGAAACAATACAACTGACAAATGAAATGGCAGCTGCTGGCGCCGATGCTGTTCTTGTCACTACTCCTTGCTTCTACAAAAACAGAATGAATGTTCAGGCTATGAATAAACATTATACTCAGGTTTGTGTGGTTTTTAGTTTAAACTGAGATTTATTGAAAAGGAGAACAAAATACAAGATACAGAAGATACAAAGTACACTCTTATTTCCCAAAATGCCCTTATTTGCTTAGTATGGTCAAAAGATGGTATTTGTCAATACTTTCTGTGATTAATTAAAATTTCTTATGAATGTCTAAAGATTTACATGTATATGAATAGATGTTACAACTTGTGACGAATTAAATTTAGTCATGATATCAATTTCATTCTTAATCAACCCACTCTTGCTTGCCTACCCTTTATCTCGCACTTTTCTTTATCTCGAACTGTATTCCGTTCACGAACGGTTAGACATTTCTGATCACTGCAACACAATTTGCTTTTCTTACCTCAACCTTCTTTGTTATACTTTAATTTAAGAAGTCAAATTATTATCAACAGAACGAATGAGCTCTCCCAAAGATATAGGGATTAAAACCTTTTTGAACGGGCCTAATGGTTGTAATCATAAGTAAAATTTGTTATATATCTTTTCCACACAGAGGAGAAGTCTGTTGCCACTTCTCATGTATGTTTGATATTTTTTCCTCATTTGGAAGCATTTTCTGTCATCTCGAATTCCGTATCCTCAAATTTTCGTATTAAGAATGAAATTGCCTTTCATGGTGGGAACTCCGATGACCTTCGCGTCTATTCCCGTCATGAGGCACAGCAGTTTTGTATTTGTTTGTTTTTCTTTAATTGACGATAAAAAAAGAATTTCCTCAATTTCGAACAAATTTACCGGTTCCTTTGCATTTGGAGATAGAGACTGTATATTTCTTGGTGTATGTTATTACTGCAAGTGATTACGAATCTGTGTGTTTGTTACCGAACAACCTACCAAATAGAATGTAACTAGACATCTAAAGACGCGTTATTATGCATTTGTTTACTGTTTGAATTTTGCTCCTTGCAGATTGCTGATGCATCCACTGTACCAGTTATTCTATACAATGTGCCAGCAAACACAGGCGTAGAATTTCCACCAGAAAGTATTGCTGAACTTGCGAAGCATCCAAATATTATTGGGCTTAAAGACAGCGGCGGAAATGTAATTAATGCACCCTTTTGATTTTTTATTTTAGGGGAAGGTTTTGGGGTAGGTCAGGGTTTTTATGAATAGGAGCTGGTAGGGGTAGTGAAGTTTACAGTAAGGGGCCTCTCCAGTTTTTTGTATGTCTAGGTACAAAAGTACCAAGCTATGATCACCGAAATAGAATGAGCTGTAGCACTATTAGTGCTAGAAATTTACTTTTGGATTGTAGAAAAAATTACAAAAAATGGCTTCAAACTGTTTTCGTGCAGAATCCCCTTAAACTGGTTTAATCTGCTGACATTCAGATAATATAGTTCTTTCTCTTCGTTAATCGATCGTTCTGAAAAATCTCTCATGTTAGATTAACTTACATTATAAATTAAGTGATATTGTAAATATTATCATATGTAAGTTTTAGAAATTACAAGCATTCTATTGAAACAGTTTTAATCCATATTAAACAATTCTGTTCAAGATAAGAATTTGAACATCTATTTTTTTAGATAACAAATATTGGAGGAATAATTCACGCAACGGCTGGAAATGACTTCCAGATCCTTGCTGGCTCAGCAAGTTTTCTTGTTCCGTATCTCAGCCTTGGTAAGCTAGCCAAACAAGTACATGATGATTATTCTTAAACTAAAATTGAGAATTGTACCTCAGGTTTATGATACTGATTCAGCTTGAGTGATCCTTCATGAACCTATCGGGCCTAGAGCAAAATGTTTTATTGCTACCGATTTTAACAGTAGAATCCTTTAAAAAACGCATTAGAGAGGCTTCAATCGAGAGATGTGTCTTCATCGTTAACATGATAACAAAGTAACCAAAATTCCAAGAGTTTTTCGAAATTGTAGCTGAAGTTAGAAGCACTTTGAAAAGTTGTGCTTTGGTATGTACCAATTTAACGACTGGCGGGACATAGAAACTTCTTGATTGGGTCAGCAAATTTTAATTGAATGCCGATTGGTGATGGGGACGGATGCTTTTGTGGTAAATTCTTGAATTGAATAGGGGATTTTAATAGCATTGTAGGACTTCAAAAGCATTATCATAAGGAATATATTATCATATTAAATAAGTTAATATTTGTTTCTATTTTGTGATCACATGAAAACTGTCTACCCAAATAGCTGACATGCCTGCTAAAGCAGTACATAATGAACAGAACATGAAATTAATCACAATTGGGTAAATAGCTTGGTTTACCCTAGGTGCTGTTGGTGGTGTTTGTGCTTTGGCCAACGTTTTAGGAGAAGAAGTTTGCCAGTTATATAAGCTTTATAAAGACGGCAAGCAGGAGGAAGCAAGAAAACTACAGCTAAAATTAATCAAACCAAATGGAGCGGTTAGTTATTTTCTTATTCATTTCATTCAACCGAAAATAATAACATATATTTAGTTGCTAATTTCATTTAATTTTAATCTCCATTAATTTCGTTTGTTAAGAGTCTTTCATATTGTTGTACTAGTCATTTTAGCACTTTATAGCAAGTTAGGCCTCTTGAGACGTGTACCTGTTATTCGGCAATCTAGTTGGGAGAATTGTCAAAACCTGCTGTCTTGTCAAAATTGATGATTTACATTTCAGTTATCAAATGTCAATTTGCACAGGAAATGTTTTAAATCAACGGAAAATCTTGGAAATCCAATATACTTTTGCCAATCTTTATTCAAACCTGAAAGAGAAACCCCTCTTCAAGTGATTTGATTCTTACTGTGCCGTAGATGTAAACCCCAACAATAACCGCTTCAAACCTACTGATGCCCTTATTCTCCCTTTGAAAACTAAAATGGGTTTTCCTTTAAGCAAACTTCTTTGCATCGATCATTGTGTCACAACCTTTTCATTAACCTCCTTCTTTTGCATGTTACCAAATTTTCAATCCGCAAAGTTTGTAAAGCTCTTTTCTTACTTAAACCTCTAAATCGAAAGGCCTTGACGGCATTCTAGCAATCATTCTCAAGACTTGTTCCCCAGAACTTGTCACAATTTTTAACATCTTTTTCAAACCCTTTCCCCCGTTGCATATTTCCTTTTCCTGAAAACTAGCATGTATTTTTTCTATTCCTAAAAAGCAGGCAACTCTGATCTTTCCTCATCTCTAGTAGAATGGATACGTTTAAAACTCCTTAACTTACTTGAAACGAATAAACGTCTTTCTAATAATTTCTTCCATATGCTGCTCTGTTTGCTTTTCAACTCTCCAATCCCCTTGATGAAAACATAATGTTTTCTCTTGATATCTCCAAGCCCTATATATCTTTTCTGACAAGTATTTTCTTTCATAACTATATGCTTCTGCCCACATTCTTCTTCAGTGGATTTACAGCGTTCTCTCCCATAGGTCAACAGTCATTCAAGTTATGGCTACCTATCTAATCAATCATTGCCAAAAATACTTGGAACACCAAACAGTTTGCGTTGTGTTTCTATATTTTTCAATTCTTTTCCCGGATACTCCTATTTCTGCACCCCCTTCCCCCCCGAAACAATCTTGATAATTTAGAAAAATATCATAGAAGTGGCAAAAAACGCCTACTTCCTAATTCCTTACGTCGTTTTGTAGTAAACCAACATAGTTTAAGGGGGGGGAAGGGGAGTGGTTGAATTTGCCCTTGAAATCTGACGTTTGTGTACCAACATTTTTTGCAGGCATTGTAGTCCTCAGTCAATTAATGCTGGTGTTCCACTAGGTTCTGTCATTACTTCATTTTTATTCATCCGCTTCATTAATGATCTCGTTTCACTTGCATCTATGAAAAACTGACGATCCCAAATAATTTTTGTGTCTTCTTAACAAAACCCAGTAAAAGGCCATTTGCCAACCCAATGCTTATCTTACAAAGTCTCTCAAACCTTTTCCTCTTTAGTGTTGTGTTGCTAGCATTGCATTCAGAAGATTGGATATATCCCTGATCTCCCTGAGATAAACCAGGAACTTCTAGTGCTCACCTTTTCCAAGTTTTCTTGCCAATTTACAAATTACTCTGTCAACACCTCATTTTTCCTTCCCAGAACTTACAGACCTTTGAATGCTTTGCCAAGCTCTTACTTCCCAGACTCTAATAACCCTCTTTCAAAGCTAAAATCAACAAGCCTAGTCCAGCCCTAGCTTTTCCCTCTTCTCCGTGGCATAGCTTTGTTATGGGGCCTTCGGGTCTTTGTTATAGGGCCTTCGGGTCCCTAACATAACCAACTAAACTATAAAAGATATACGGATACTTTTTATAAAATAACCTATACGGATTAGGTATCTTATAGGGATTTCTGCGTTAAAAGATTTGAATCAGTCGTAGAAAAATCAAAATTTTTATAGATGATTTAGAGAATTTTAGTAGTAGCATTCAGAGAAGGGCGTCACATGGGTATGGGGACCTGCTACAATTTACGGATTCATATGAAATTGCAATTATAGATACAAGGAGACCTATAAATGTAAAATGAACATTTTGACTGTGCGATTTCCTGATGAAAAACTTTGTAGCGTTTTCAGCCATTTCCGAAGATTGCATGAAGATTAGAAACTTGACAAATAAATACAACTTATTGAAATTAATTTGCAACCACTGTGGCAGTTTTCTTTTCAGGTTTTTATGTTATAAGTTTTTTGGTAGGAATTTGTTCACACCATATCCAGCTAGTCCAAGCAGAACCACTTGTACCTTTGCCTATCACATCATTATTCCATTTGTAATAAGCTCAACTGGTAACATGGAATCTTTTCAAACTGAGGAAATCTCGCTCATGTAGCCTTTTCTTTTATTTCGTTGTTTACGCTTTGCTCCTAAACAGTTGTGACTTGTGATGAAGTTGTTGATTGACAGGTCACTCGAAAATACAACGTACCCGCAATGAAGCACGCAATGGACCTTTACGGTTTCTATGGCGGACCCTGTCGATCACCAATGACGTCACTACTTAGCAACGAGGCTGCGGAAGTAGAGAAAAGTTTCGTAGAATTTCCAAGAAAGTAACCACAGGAAGAGAATCTTTACTGCAAGGTACATCACAACAATGTCTTTTAATGTTAGTAATTTTGTAGGAAAATAATCCCCGTCTAGTCGTAATTATTATCCACGCATGAACTGGAATTTTAGTCGATAGAAATACCGTTTTGAACGCATTGATATAAAAAACCGGGCTCAAACAGATCAAATTGTTTATTTCTGCCTGGTTACTTGAAAGATGCTTTTCATTGGCATTATGTCTCGAAGTATGGAAAAGTTGAAGAAAACACTTTTGGTGAAAAATTTTACAATATTTGTTTGGTTCCTGTCCCTTTTGGATTAATGTCAATAAATTATAAAGAGGACAATGATGGCCCTTTGGAGTGAATGTGATGAACTTCTTATATTGGAAACTAAAAGAAGTTTGATTTAAATGTAGGCGAGTTGAGGTACAGTTATGTTGAACTGATGATTATTATGTTCATATTGCTCTTCACTGTACAAAAAAAACCATCACAATCCCACTTTATTAGATTGATAGCTAAAATCCGGGTTGTGACGTCAAAGTTGCAATGCAATACATACATATTTGTCAGTATTTTGAAATGATACCGAAAAAATATTGTATTCAATTCAGGGAAAAGTAAATTGCAATACCTTGTGACCAGCAACAGGATGAAATCGGTTTGAGTAGGAAAAGTATAATTTGTGAATTTTCTGCTGGAAAGTAGTGGTAGAATTTAACAGTTGTAGAGATAGAAGCTGTTCTCTAGTGTTTTAATCAAGTTCAGAAAAATATGAAGGGGTAGGAAGGTTATGCTAAAAATATTTTTTAAAGGTTTTAAGTATTCCTCCTTTAGGAACGAAGAAAGACACATTACAGCTTACCTCTTTATCACACCTCTCATGTATAAAGTTTCGGCATCAGGTCATTCAGGCTGCATCTGGTATGAATGGGGACAAAAGCAACTAGCAATACCATGAAAGTATTTGGTAGCTACTTTTGCCTCCGCTCAGTACATAAATCAGCTCTCTTGTCCTTTTTTATTTTCCTTGTCCCGTTGTCCAATCGAATTTCTTTTACGTTTTATGGCTACAGTTTTACCATGGTTTCTTTCAGTGGCTTTGTTGTTTACCAATGAGATGCGCTGCATTCCCTTTGCAACCTCGTAATGTTTTAGAATCTTGTCTAAAAAGAGTTGTATTAAAACTCGTATTTTCACTGGCAAATTGCAATAAAAAGATTAACCAAAGCTTTGATCTTAGAGTATTAAGAATGCGAAAGATTCTGCTGTATTTCCCTTCCGATTTTAAAGGCCATCCAGTATTCCTTATTGTCATCTTTGCGTTAAGACTTGAAAATGATTTAGGTTGAAGTCCTTGCTACGATAAAAGAATTTGAAATTAGTTAACATCCGGATGATAAATATATTTCAGTTCTCTTACCTTGCACTGTATAGTGGTGAATGTCCTGGCCATTTCGCTAGGCTTGTATCTTTCTCCAAGTTGCATCTTGGCAAGACTGATCCCTTCCGAGATGTTTCTTGAATGTCTGCAGTGCGGCCTATGTCGCTTTTATCACCCGATATCATTACATCATATGCGACTGCACACATTACTACAAAGATCTGGAATTCGCTTTACGCTTGATCGCAACTTGCGTCTACAGCGTAACGCCCTCTATTGAAATCAGCCATGCGTTGTTGTTGCGATTTACTTTTGCGATATGCTTAGCTACTACCTAGTGGGTATCAAGTTTCGCGATGTTTTTCGATGATGAGGTAATGCGAGCCGCTTCGTTTGCTTCGTTACGAGACCTGTCTGCCTATGCGCCTCAGCGACTTTGCCTGCCCAGGAATACATCGACACAGGGAAAGTCTATCGCCGCAATTCTTCAATGCTGCAAGGAGACCCTCTGAAGTACGGCGATATGACTTGATAAGACCACAGTATAGTAATGCTGACTGCTAAATCGGACAAATTAGGCCTTATTTTCATTAATTTGCCTCACAATTCGATTGCTCTCATTGAACATCGTTGCCTCTTGTTCATTTGCTCTATTGACGATTAGACTGGTGGTTTTTCCTGGGGAATTAGAATTCTGCTAAATCTAAGCTTTCTCAGGAAAGAATATTTGAGTTAAATTAACTTTTCCAGCTAGAATTGTATCTTAGAATTTCTATTGTAAAAGTGAAAACCCGTCTTTGGACTGTGTTAATCAGAACAAGGCTTACGGCAAAATTTTTTTTAAATGTCAGGTTTTGTTCGGGCTGCCTATAGTTAACAGCACATTTTAGATCATACTGAAAATTAATAACTCTGTCTTTGCTTGTAATTTTGAAACAGGCTACAGGATGCAAGGTTAGGTTTTGTTTGGTTTTACGTGGATTTTTCATCTTCCTTTTCATTTTAAAACTATTTTATCTTTTAGTTGCAAAATGGCGGTACAGTTTGGCACTTTTTCACTTCCTTTGCCAAAAGCACGGGTTCGGCAAAAGTCAGACTCCTTCCAAAATGAGAATAATAGCCAAGCGAAAACTTTGCTAGAAGCTTTTATCTAAATCTATCTGCATTTTTTCAACTTCAATAATATTTAAACTTAAAGTTTTATAACAGAAAACCAACCTTATGATTTGAATGTGTCACCGTTTCGCGGGGAGGGGGAGGGGTTGCTTTGAACTTTCCTTCTCTCGCTCTAAGAGAATTTACCCTGACTCGTTTGAGAATAACTTTAGAAAAATTTTAGGCTCAAAATTGAAGATTTCAAGAATATCAGGTTCAACCAAAAATGGGCAATAAGTTTATCGTTTAAATGTGTGCATTACAACTGTTATGACAAGACAATGATCGTGCCAAGGCATATGACTTAAAGTTGCAGATATTTGGAACTGAAAATGATTTTATTACACTTTAAGACTAGACGAGCTTACTAAAATCTATGAACTGCTTAAAATTATTTCCTACATGTACATAATAATTCTCCAGGTATAAATTGACTCTCAGACTTTATCGATTAACCCATTTTTATATCCATTTTTAAATGTTCGTTCTGAATCTTAGTCAGTGCGTTCTTAACGGAGAATGTAGCTTAACTGCTTGTTAAACTTTTGTAGATTGTGTCTTTTATGCACTTTTAAGTTCATCTTATGGGCGACATTGAATAGTCCCTAAGCTGGTTGGTTTTTTTATCCCGCGGGGCGTATTGTTTTATCCCACGGGGCGCACGTTTAATACCCCTGTGCTAGAACATCTGCTTCTCTCACCCTCCCGGGAGCAAATCATAAAATTCAGGTGAAATTTCACAGTATGCCTTGCTTCTAGTACTTTTTGCAAGATATTAGATTCGCACAAACAGAAAGGACAACTGGATCAATGGAGGTCACAAGTGGCTTGCTATAATATAATATAATATAATATAATATAATATAATATAATATAATATAAATATAATATATCAGTAATAAAATATTATATATAACTACTCGATATGATATGATGATGAGTAGTGAGGTATAAATTATACAGTGATAATATGTCAAATAAATATAATAATAACGTATAAGTCCATATATAGTGGTAGAATCACACGGGTAGTAATGATTTAATATAGACTATAAATATATCATAATATAATAATAATACGAGATAAAATACCCTATTATCATAATAGTGTAATAGTGAGGATATATCTAATCCGGGGAGTAATCATCCAATATAATATAAATATAATATAAATCACTAAAGGTGAAATATCCACAGTATGGAGAGTGATGATGATAGACTACTATCATAGTATTGATAAATCAAATATAATATAAATATAATAATAATATAAAATATAACCTATAAGCTCTTAAATATTAAGAATAACTATGATAGTAATAAGATATATTAACTAACCAATATAAATATACAATATAATTCATAGAGGGTATATATGATATGATATGAATATGAACTAATGATATAATATAATATAATAAATATAATATAATATAACATTATAATATGATATCAACTATAAGATATAATGATAAATATAATATAAATACGATATTGAACATAATAATACAAAGTATCAATGAGTGAAGTATAATAATACATATAAGGATGATGATGATATGATATGATATGATATGATATTGATATAGATATGATATAAATACTATAATATAATATAATGATTGAGATAATTCAGTTATAATGGTATAATTATGATAATAGTGATCAAGTATAATGTTAAATAACTATGAATATAATATATATAGTAGAATATAACTATAATATAGATAAAATAATAATATGATATAATATAATATATATATAATAGTAAATAATATACGAATATAGAGGTTAAAAATACAATAAAAATAATAATTATTAAATATGAACTTAATAATATAATAGACATGAGTAGCGAGGATATAATACAATAAAATATAATAGTAGTCACTCTAATATTTGAGATATGAATATAAATATAATGTAATTGTATAAAATGTAATGTAATATAATATAATATAATTATATATATATAATATAATTAATATAAATAACTATAATATAAGTTATAATATAGAGTATAATCACATACTGGAATATAATTATAATATATACCAATCATAAATACAAATATATTATATGAACTATGATATGAAGGTATAATAAATAATACAAATAGCGAATTAGTGTGAATACAAGTGAAGATATAAAATAATATGATAATAATAACAATACAATACAATTAAAGGAAGCTATAATATAATAGTGGAAGTGATGAATATGATATTAAAAATACAATACAAGATAATTAAGTATATAATATAAATACCAATACAATATAATACAATAAAATTAAGTATATACATATAATATGAAATATTAATATAAGTATATAGTATGTAATGGTATTAGTAGAGTAAGATAAATACGTAATATTAGTATATGAAGATGTGAGTGATATAATATACATATATATAAATGTAAATGATTAATATAATATGAATTTATAATAGTAAGTATAAAATTAATATATATAGATATAATACAATAAATAACTATATATAATATCAATACAATCAGTAAATACAAGTATAATAGTCATAGTTAGATATGATATAATATCATCATTAAATAATACAATACAATATAATACAATAAGATATAAAATAATATGATAATTAATACTGCAATAACAATACGAAGATCAATAAATAATATAATAATATCGATATAATAGATATAAATAAAATATCATACAATCATAGAGTATAATATGATATAGATATAATCAATACATATTATAATACAATAAAACTATAAGAATATCATATTCTAATATAATATAATATAATATAATATAATATAATATAATATAATATAATATAATATAATATAATATAATATAATATAGTTTATTAATTTTCGAATTTGTCTGTAGTTCGGTTCGTTACGCGATCCTTAAAGATTTCTAGGATACGGGACTTTTTATTTCACTTAGTAAAGCCATAAATCACTCCTAATATATATTATGGTTTCTACACCATACACTCAGACACACATACATACATATCACGTGCAGATTAAAAATGGCTTTGAAAAAAGCAAACATTTGAGTATACTAAAGCCAAGCCAGGGGTTTGTTTTCGTTATGTGGATGACACATGTGTTATTTTCAAAACAGAGCCGGAGTGTGATGTTTTTCTAAAACGCCTTACCCAGCCCTACAGTTTACATTTGAAAAGGAAGAAAAAGAACTCCTTGCCATTGGATTTCTTACCATTTCTTACGTGTAAACTGTAAATCCACATTTTCGGGGTTATACACTCGATGGAGTTTGTTTTGCCCAAAACAAAGAAAAATCAACCTCATCAAAACGCTTACTCACAGGGCACTGATGATTTGTTCCAAGTCTAAACTCGATTTGGAGCTTGAACAACTATAAAGATTTTTCTGGAAAACGGCTATCCAGAGGATGTCATTTCAGTTTACATTAAGGAGAAAATAGCAAATGTCTCGGTTGACGTAAAAATTTGGTCTGCAAATGTGCCTGGTTTATCTGAAACTGCCCTGGATCAGTAGCAGTTCCTTGCGAATTGAAAGTCAGATAAAACAGGCCATTACAAATTGTTTCTTTGCTGTGGATCCGGAAATTGTTTACAGTACAAAAAAGCCCTTCCATCCATTCAAAAGAATTGCGTTCCTACCACCCAAAAGAGTTCAGTTATATATGAGTTTACGGGCCAGTGTGATTCTGGCTACATAGAACGCACTACCCAAAGATTGGTAGATAGGATAAAACAGCATGTTCCGCCTAGTATTAAAAAACAAATGTATCTCCTAAGAGAACAGCCACCTCGGTCTTGCAAATCTAAAAGTACAACTAAAACCTGCGATTCTGCTATCGGGCAGCATTTACTGGAAAACCCAGATTGTGCAGAAAACTATAATGACAACACGTTTCGGATTATTGGTAAAGCCCGATCGTCATTCCATCTAGCAGTTTGGGAATCTATCTACGTAAACACGAAAAGCCCACTTTTGTGTAGACAGTTCGTTTTCACCTTAGGACTCCATTGGTAACATTCTCAATAGGCAAGCAGCACTGATTGGGCAACTTCAACAGTCATGTGCTCGCGTTTCTGATCAACAACTGGGTATTTGGATCCACAACTGGGTATATATATATATATATATTTCCAAGCGTAGAGTTTTCGATCTATATTCTGACGTTTTATACTCTGAAGAGTGTCAAACGAAAAGCGTTGATGTTTGCTTTTTTCAAAGCCATTTTAAGCTTTATACCACCAAAAGATTGTTTACATACAGATTGCTTGCTCTGAAAGAAATGCATGAATCATAATGAGAAATGTTTATAACCACGTGTATCAATTCATCCTTTGTCATTCTGGTGAATTTGCAAGCATTAGAAAATTCACCTTGGATGTGCAATCTTGTCCCAAAGATTTTTTCCCAGCCACCTTCGATTTTTCACGGGTATAGCCCAAAAGGGAAAGCCGAAAATTCAATCCTCCTTATAACCTAAATCCACGTGAATAATTTTTCTCGAGCTTCCCCTCATCAAAATGATAATTTTGATTATCACGTGAACATACCTCGTATAGAAGCATTTTGCCCATCAAATGGTAGATATTTTTATTGTCAATCCAAACGGGCGACACTGTCTCTTTTTTATTATCCATAGCGAAAATGCAACCATTTTGCTTTTTTCAGCTGAAATGCTAAAATATCTCATTGATGTTAGTGCTTTTCATTTCAATCGTTTTATAATTTTGTTCGAAGTTGAGTTCCCCCTAGACTAGAAACATATTTCTCATACAGCCATAAACCCTAACATTAAGAATAAATTTTAATGGCAAAATCATCACAACCAACCCCTCATGGTTTAGCACCTAAGGTCTGAACCCAATCGTGATGTTTTTGCTTTAGCTCACAAACCCTTGCATCAATGCTCCTAAATCACACTTTCTTGTTTTTTGTAATTGTAGCTACCAAGCTTCTAAATGTAGTTTCTAGGACACTGAAAAGCTATGCTTATCGAAAAGTGCTTATCCTGGCTCTTCATCTCGATGTGATCACCCATTGTGATTCCTAAGTCTGGAATTGCAAAGAGCTGGCAACCTCTCACTCTTAAGTGAAAGTTTGGTCATGGAAGGGAATCCAACCCCAGACTTCTGGATCTTTAGTCCACAACCTCAACCACTGAGTCACCCTCACACATAACTCATACAGTATGTGACCTAGCCTACCTCAATTATTTTTTTCTAGAAACGTATTAATGCTGCCATATTTTTTCCAAAGTACTTCAATCACCCCGGATCCACGGGGGAAATCGACAATAACTGTCCCACCTTAAGCTGACGGCCCTTCTTGCTGCATATCTCTCCTTTGCCCTTTGTTTTTAGGCCTGGACCGGAAAACGCTGAATGTTGCCGGAAAAAACTACCGTATTTTTCTTTGTAAACTGTTTAACTTGTTTTCTTGTATTTTTAAGGTTAAGTCTGACCCCAATATATTTACATTAGCGCAAATGTCCGGATCGGCCTATGTTTCCCATTCAAGTTACTTTATCAGTAAATTTCAATTCGACACAAATGTCCGTTCCTAACTCCAACAAAATAGCCTAGAATCTTCCTAGTTGATTTGCTTTGTTATTTGCTTCGGTCTGATTGGCTTTAAAACTGAACAACAGCTCCCTCTGAATATCAAAGCTACCATTTTTCTCGTGCCTCTCTCCTAATAGCCTCCTAAAGAAAAACAGATAAGCCACCAGCTACCCGACCAGCAACACCCAACAAATTAACAATAGCATTTCACGCCCAAAAGAATGACCGAATAATGTTCTGCAATGATCAAGGCTGTTTTCAAATCAGGTTCATAATCATTCAGGTGCTCCATTCAAGTCCAGTGGTCACCAGTGGCTTTGTGATCACGATTCAGGCTCGGCTGTCAAAAATCGCGCTCTAAAGTTTCTTTATCTTTTTCTAGCTCCTGTTTAACTCTGAATGATAATTGGATTTTAGGACTCTTTTATTTGTTCCTGCCTGCAGGATGCAGTTTTGAGTCACAGAATAAAAAATAGTTTATTTACAAGGTTTAAAAGGTTTGTATTCACACTAATTTTGAGTTTGCTTTTAAGCAGTTCGCATCTTAAAATTTAGGCCCCATGTGGTGTTTTTTTAATGGGACATCATTGCAATTTGTCCCAAATTCAATCTGTTTCTTTAAGAGCTTGATATTTTTCACAAAATTTACCAATTAATTGCAGATAAATTCTTTCTCCTTCATGCCATTCTAACTAAACCCGGCATTTTTGCGTCCACTATTGACATAAGTGGTATTTTCAAGCCTTAAGACTGTCAAATTTATTTGAGCTTTGCTCTGCGATGAACGTCATAAACATTGAAGTTCTTTGTAAGGCTTCTGGCATACCTGACTTCTAGCTTTGCTTTATTTTTTAAAGCTATCATTAAAATATAATTAAGAGTAAAGTGTTAGTTTGTGTGGTCATTGCAAATGCACCTTCTGTTTATCAAACGTTCAATGAGTTCTTTTTCAAATTCTTCAACAAATTCTTTTTCTCTTTTCAGATGACTTTAATACGTTTGGCTGTAGTGATTTTAGGTTTCTGCTTATTTACAGAATGTGTTTTTGGTGAGTTCGATTTCGAAATTTTTGTATTCTAGAATCGGCCTTGCTGTGCCCGTTCTTCATCACTGCCGGCAACTTCTAATAGAGAAACTGGTCTTATATAGACGATCTTTCGTTCCCTGCAAAACGCTACTGATGAGCCCTCTATCCATTGGGAAATCGAGGCTTTTTAATGAATTAGGATGAAGGATTCCAGGATAAAGAATTGTAGGATGGTGTATAATCAGAATATAATATAAAAATTCTGTGTTCTTACTTTGCGATAAGATACTCTAATCAAAGATAATACCCTTATATCGACCGTTCTCATCCCCATTCCTTGCCCTTCTCTGAATAGGCCGTTTCTCTCTATGCGAGGTCTCCCGTTCTTCCTTTTGTCTTTCTTCTCCTTCACAGTGAATTAAGTTAATCCCGGAGCAGGGCTTCCCCTTCATAATTAAGATATTTTAGGCATCTACTGATTTTCATGAGAATTCACCCCTTCTCCTTTGCTGATTCGCTCTTACTCATTTCTAGAAGAATAATGAAAGCGCTAATAATTTTTTTGTTATCCGACTTTTCAAGTGTATTAGTTATGCCTTTTAATTCATCGAGTTTACATTTTTAATCTTCAAAAATTTCTTAAAGGCGCTTTTGTCATGCTTTTCTCGTTTGCCGTTAGGTGCGAAAAGGCCAAAGAATCTTTCAGTTGGCAATGCACCCCCCTACAATGTGATGAATGGCAACCCGAAAGTTCCAAAGAATGAGAAGTCCGCAACGGGGGGTGATGCTCCTAAAGAAGCTGCTGGAAAAATAGAGCTCATTGATCAACAACCAACCGGGCAAAGTAAGATGCATTTTGTGTATTTTGCATGATAAAAACTCTCGTTTCATGTTCATTGTTCATCGTTCTAAAATCAAGATGGAAATTGTTATCATACACACAAATTCCGATGAACTTGCATGACAATGATTTATGACCAAAGCTCCAATACCCGAGCCCGGTTTTTTTCTTGTTTCCAAGGAATAGTTTATACAATCAGTAGACCAAGACAAAATATAAAATGGAAAAATCGTTTCTAGATTTAATCTTATAATGCGAATTCGATTCAAATGCAGCAAGTTGCAATGTCAACAAGTGATCATACTTTGTGGGTTTTACATATCTTTGGTTTTTTTGTTTATGAAAGATCAGTTTTCAACTAAGAATGCTTTAGAAGTTACGTTAAGCTTCCTCGATAACAACAGCAAGCAAATGTTCTTATTTTTGGACAACTTATGGCTCGGTGTTCTTATGTTCTTTCATACAATCAGTTATTTCGAAGACTACTAAATAACGGCTCCTCGTGACATTTCTTGTAGCTGTTGTTTTTATGATTATATCTGCCCCGCTTTGCTAACTGAGAGTAATTTTTCTAAAACACATTGTCTCTTCTCCATTTTCATCTGAAGCTGGCCATGTACTTATATTGCTCTTATTTTTTTGGCAAATAGAGCCTCGTGTTCTTATTAAGCGTGTTTTTATAAATAAAAATGTTTTGCAGCTCGTGTTTTTCTAATGAATGAAGGACGGCTTATCTTTTTGCTTCATGTGCACCCATTCGTTATGAGCTGCCGTTCCAGCAAGATCCTCATGAATAACTAGCTCTCATTCATCGTCTTTGCAAATTTTCTGTCTCAAAGATCACTGAATTTTGCGTCTATAATTAATCGGTCGGCAATTTCTCCAAAGAGAATTCTGATTCATTCCAACGAAAAGACGGCGACACAATGCCTAAAAGAGATCTTCATTTGCAATGCGGAAACAGAGAACAACGGTTTTTATCTGTGGGAAGTACTGTCCACATCACCATCTGCAGAGCTTGCTTAAAAAGCCGGTCGAAAAATACGATAAAAACTTATGCTAGCATCAACTTTCTTGTGTTAATGGAAACTAATTCTTATTTAATTTATTTTCATTTTTTAACATAAGTTTAGGTTTATTATGCTCATATTTTTGGCATTCGTTATCCTAGAAAATGCCTGCCAATTTTTGAAATCGCAGAGTTTCTTTGAAGATTTTCCTAGATTTCCTTTCAGAACTATAACATCTCTTTTCCTTCCAAACAGACACGACGGAAATTGGTGATCCTCCCAGATATCCTCTGAACGTAGAGTCGGCCGAAGCCCAGGCTCACGAAAGTATGCCATTTCTTTTAACCTCCCTTTCTTCTTAAAATCCTTTTAAAACGGCTTGTCGTAGCTGCATCATACTTGTATGATATTACCATTTTATACCAGCAATATTTTTATAGCTGTTTTAGATACAAGTAGAGCAATTCTTTTTTTTACTTTTATCTTTGATAACGTTAGTACTAGTTTTAATATCATTATCGCGATGATATTTTATTCATCATTAATCAGAGTTTTATTCTTGTATATGTCGATGATATTGTTTTTTTGTTGCATATTATATTTTTCCTGCAATTATATTGTGTCTGTGAGTATCACTAGATGGCATTGCTCTTTCACTTCCAGGTAGAATCACCGGTTGCCGGGACCATCCTGATGTCTTTAAAGTTTGTGCCAAGGCGAAGGAACCGTGTTTCTGCGCGGAGCACGAGTCTTACACTTACTCATACTGTAGGAGGTCATGCAAATTCTGTGATCCAAAAGTCAAATGTAAGACGTCTTCTGCTGTAATAACTTTACTTTTCCACAGGTTATTCGTCTATTCTATTCTTCGCTATTCCTCAACAGATTGTATGTTGGAGGTTTCAAGACAAGAACATCACTCCTTCTGTGCCTTTGGCACCCCTTTTACTCATCTTTATTTCATTTTCAAGCATACCACAAATTCTGGCGATTGCGAGCTGCAAGTTCGTTCAACCCAAGCTGGATGATATCGAAAATTGAGTTTTACCGGGCTAGAGGCGTCAACCTAACGATGACAACAGACACAAGTTCAGCCTATGCAAGCTCCAACTATGATCCTGGGTTCAATGCTGCTAAAGCCTTCGATGATGACCCATCCACAATGTGGATGCCAAGTGGCTGGTCTGCCCATAGTGATAACGATGATTGGATTGGCTACGAGTTCCCAATACCCGTGCACATTGGTTCATTGAAGCTCATAGGAGCCGTGAAGTACCCGAAAGCCGCACCTGGCAAGGTCTATGTTGAAGCAGCTAACGAGAAATATGGCCCATTTGAAACGAAGTGGATGATAAGAAATCCAAACTTTGCTACTGAAAAAGTCTTCAGCTATATTGGTTAGTTTTGCTGAACTTCTTTCATGTTTGAACGAAATGATGTGAGAAAAGAGATTTGTAAGAATGCTTATAAATTGCAAGCAATTCAGAAATTTTATGTTAATATTCTGATTCAGCGACTTTGCAGATAGATAAAGGATAGGTAACAGATAAAAAGGAGAAGGAAAAACGGCACAAAACCTTGCTTCCATCTGTTTCCTTTCCCTTATAACTTCGTTTGATGTTTTGTTGACAAGGCGACAGTTTTTTGACCTTTTTCAATGTGTTTTTGCAGAATGCGATGTGCTGTGGAGAAGATATGAAACTGGTGAAAGCCCTATTTGCTTCCGACTCATAGCCAAGTACAAGACATGGATGGATGCACAGAAGGAATGTCAGCTAGAAGGTGGAGAGCTGGCAAGTGTGACGTCAGTCGAAGAACAAGAATTTATCATGAATGAAGTAAAGCTTTGTGGGTGGGTGTGTGTTACTACTTTGCGAAGTATGTAAATCGAGGATCAAGAATCTGTAAATTATTCTTCGAATCGTGTAGTTAAGTTGTTTTGAAAGACTTTGCCTCTAAAAGCTTATTGATATGATGAAATATTCTAGTGAAAGGTTACTCCTTTGTGAAGGAAGAAGGTTAAATGTTAGTTTGTCAATGCATTAACGGGGTGTTATTTGTTAGAATAACCCCTGTGGAAGGGGGTCTGGCTTTAATACAAAATATGAATTTCTGTTAGCATTGAAATTATAAATTAAAGAATATCGGCCTTTTCTTTTTTTAGGAAGTTGAAAACCAAGTTTTTTAATAGATTAAATGTGATTGGGAAAGGGAATGCTACTGCAAAAAACTCTCCTTCAATCTATATCATTTGAATTTCCACCACCAAGCTTACAATGACCTTTATTGCACTTGATTCTTTAAATTCTTTGTCTATCGAATTTCTAGTCTTTAATGTTGCAAAAACTTGTGTCCACTTTTGTGATGAGCTGAGAGTAGAGATGCTCCTTTTGAAATAGCAACGTAGGCCTATGTGCTGTACTCAACCTGTTTACATTTATATCTATCACTACGTCTACTCGCCCTGTCTCTACAGCTTTACATGGCTAGGTCTAAATGACCGATCACAAGAAGGTTCCTTTGTCTGGACCGACGGCTCAAACAACAGTTACTCAAACTGGAAAGAAAATCAAGCATACGATGAAGTTCAGCGACATTACGAAGACTGCGTTGCCATGGACCCAGAAGGAAACTGGTACACATTCTCCTGTCAAGATAGGTTTTACTTCTTGTGCAAGAAGACATTAGGTATGCCATCATGCAGGAATTTTTGTATTGAGTGTTACCGGTGTCTTTGTCTTCGTTGCAATTTATTTTTCTTTCCTTAAGAAAAATTTACATTTAAACCAAAGCAATCGAATCAATAAATTATGTTTGCTCTTTCTTTCCTTATGAGTATTCCTTCTGATCAAAAGGTCTTTTTTTCCCTAAAACATAACAGCACACTTGTTAAACTCTTTCTTCTCATGAACAATTGCAACAGCATGCAATGGTCGGTTTACCGGCTGCTAGACGTTGAGACCGTAAACTGGTCTGGAGAACCAGACTGTTTCTGTTTAAGTGGAATTTATGCTTTACGAAAAAATGTTTGCTGTCAGAACATGTCAACACAACCTTACTTTCTTCATCTGCGCAGATGTTGGTGGTAAAATATAACTAACAATTATACATGTGATACAAAAGCAACAATTTTTGTTAGTTATAAGGTGTATGAAGAATATTTCTATACGTTTTCCTGCAGTTAGCTACAAAGAAAGAACACATCTCCTTTTTCAGAGAAATTACATGAATGTTTTTTTATTGCCGTTAGCTACAACTAGAATTGAAGTCAATTTTTTTGTTTTAGTCGATCCTGAAATGCCAATACCCGAGAAACCACCCGCGCCAGAGACGCCGCCAGTCGAATTCATCGCTCCAAACTTCACAATGCCAGGTAACTGCGCAAATATTTTATAAATCAGATTGTAACTTAGGCCATCTAAGAGAAAGTTCACTCGCAATGGAAGACATATTCCTTTATTGATATGAATCTAAAAAACTGCTTGTGGAAATCGATATGTAAAAGCATTTTTGTTGGAAGTAAATAAAAAGCTTAATTATTCGTAACTTTCTCCTTTGATACTAGTTTTGTTAACGGCCTCAAAACTGGTATTTTTCAATACTTTAATACTTAAATATTTTGGTCTTTTGATAATGAGCTTTTTTGAATCTTAGTTGTTGTCGGTGAAGCCCAAACAGAGGAAGAGGAGCAGACAACAGAAGATGTGTACAATGACATGTTGGCCTCGATTTCAATGTCGAGAATGAAGGAGCTGGGGTTGAAGCCCCCAGAATCCATTGCAAACTTAGAATCTTTACCGCCAAACCTTGGTGAGAAATTGAACAATCTCACGGAGCAAGCACTGAAACACATAAACAAGAAGAAGATTAACATGAATCTCAAGGGCACTGAAAAACTGATTGAGCCACCACCAGGACTAAAGAAACCACGATTGAAAGGAAAAGGTGGCAATGCTGAACCAGGAAAGATCACAGTTCTAAGGGTGCCATCGTCCCCTGGCCAAGAGCTAGTGGAAGAAGTACCTGGTGTAAAGCCCTTACAACTGCCGGGTGAAGAAAATGATAAGAGCAAAGAAAATAAGAATAAAGAAAATAAGAATAGTGGAAACAATGATAATAGCGGTGGACAGAAAGTGAAACCTCCACCCGCACAAGAGGGGGGTAAATCTGGAGAGCAAGAGCTGTCCGTTGGTGAATCAGGGGAAGAAGGACCTCCTGAGGGTCAAGAAGACGAAGAAGAGGAGGAGGAAGAGCCATTGCCTCTTTCAAAGAATAAGAATTTAAAAAAGATTACTCCAAAGAAGTTGAAAAGTAAAAAGAAAGCAAAGAAGGCCAAAAAAGAAGCTAATATGAATCCTGGTTTACCCCAAATCAAAAAGCCAGATGTCAAAATACCTCAGCAGCCAGTGATGCCTTCGCCAGCTTCACCAAATTACTATGGCATCCCGGGATTCAAAAAACATAAGCTAGGAGGCAAAAAAGATAGGCCATTCAGCATCACCTTTGCTGGTAAAAAAATTACAAATGTTCAAACAAAAAATGCAATAAAACCCGCAGAAGAGAAAGAGGATGAGGAGAGTGCTGACGAAATTGTGGAAAAGGCAGCCGAAAAAAATCAAAGCACAGGTAGATTGAAACCGCTGTTTTTCTCTGTGTTTTTTAAACCATTTTTTGTATGATCTTTCTCGTGATTGGAAATTGCAAATATAATTTTTTTGTTGGTGTTTTATGTCCTTTTTTGTTGGTGTTTTATTTTCATCACTTCTTTGTACAAGCTTCACATCACCTCATTGCTATATATGCATTTTTTTCTTGGTATTGTACGAACCAAAGAAAGCATTTGTCTACCATTGAAAAATATTTATAGCACCGTACCACGATCGCATTCTTGGTAAAAGCAGGGAAAGCACGATGTATAAAGTTTAGATATGATCGCAGTAACCTATACACCAAATAGCGTGTACAGCTCTGCCTATATGGCATTAAAGACTTTCATGACACACCGGTAAACAGTAATTTTCAAATTTTTAGATATGTTGATATTATATTCAATTGAAACATATTTTTGTTCCAGCTTCTGAATCCGAGACTGAAACTGCTGAGGCAGAAGCTAAGGACAAAACAGAAGAAGAAGTAAATGCCGATGAATCGAGTGGTAACTCCGGATCTGGAATTGAAGGATTCGACCCGGATTTAGATGAAGAATTTCTAGACATGGCAGTTGATGATTTATTATAATTAATGTTTTGGGTAGATTCTGGTAATCATTCGTGAAGGGATGGCTAAATGTAATGAATGTTTCAGTCTTTATTCGCGAACCAATCAAGTTTGTTCATTTAGGGTCGAAATTGAGATTTTCAAAAGAATTTTGAGCTTAACAAAAGAATCTATATAGAAAGATTTTCTTGTTTTGGATTTAATGCAATAAAAGACCAATTTGCTATTTTGATAGCCAACGAAGCCAATCCGAAAAACTGATCTCTGGTTCACAATACTTACATCCTTACTAATTCCCTAATGATAATTTTTGGTAGGTTTCTGGGACTTTCAATTGTGTAGCGAAACCTTACCTTACCGATTTGACAATAATTCCTCATGGAAGGAATCTTTTACTTTCAACTTTTGATATTTGTTCATTAGTACACTATTTTTGATGATCCAAATAACAGTTTTGATGATTAAAGTCGAATTTTATATTTATGCGTTTCAAATTGTGAATTATGAAATGTTTTATTTCATGTCGCTCTTCTGTTGTTTAACTGCGGGGCTGTGTTTGCCATCCATTCTCTTGGCATAGACTTGCCACGTTCTTGTTTATCAAGTATTTAGTCTTTTGAAAAACACCAAAAAGAGGCAGAAATCCTAGAGAATGAAGTCGAGATCAAACAACCTCTGGTTCAATGGCTTTATACTCACCGTACGAGCAACTCCTGATGGGCCTTGACTCCTTGGAGCCCTAAAAGGGTTCCTAAAGGATCTATTAAAACACTTTTTATTTAAATGAATGAGTTAAATAAGAAGAAATAAGTCTTTTGCAGAAGAAATAAGAGCAATCGTATATCTTTTTCAAATTAAATGTCTGACTGTTCTAATATTTAAAAAATTGCTGCTAAAGATATGTTATTCGGAAATATTTTGATTTTTTGCAAATATTTAAAATTTCGCTTCAGTTTATCTTTGGTATATTTTTAAATTCGATCCAATTTTGGGCCTAGTGGTACTTTAGGCTTAAAATCTGTTATTATAGTCTTATTATAGTATAGTATAACCAAGGGACCAAAAAGCAAAAGTAACTTAACATGTAATTCTAGGAAATTATGCTGGAGCAATGATTTCTGATGCACGTTGTTAAAGGTGACTAGGGATTTCACACTTCTAGCTAGTGCGTATTAGCTTAAAGTTCAGATACATTTAATGGAGATAGACGACCTTTCAAGAAACAGAAGAGAGCAACCCTCTCAAACAAGAAGCTTGAATATTCGCTGCAGACTTTTCACTGTAGCAAAAATTATCAAAAAAACCTTATTTTCTCAACTGGTAGATGCACATGATAGTTAACACCAGCATCTCGAATAGGGAAGCGAATCTTTTGACAACGTATCATCATCAATAAGATGGAAAACTTACCATCGTCAACATGGCCTAGGACTCATCAATATTAAATTCAGCCTGTCAAGTTGTTTTGAAAGATAAAGTCAGATAAAACTGACAAGTCAAGTAAGACAGCAACTGTTTGATGATGGGTCGTGCACCAATGACCTTATTAGGGAATTTTTTATGACTCCCCTAGAAAGATTCATCGCCGTTATTTTTGCAACCCCTACTGACATTCAAAAACTTTACTAAATTTATTCCCTTTATCATTGACAACAGTTAACTTGGTGTGGAATTATTACTGACATGTGATTTGCGTAGCTCGTTTGTCTACTGAACATGGAATAAGAATAATAACATATCGCTAAATCACATTTGCGGATCCACAATAAGGGAATCCCTACTTATAAATATCACCGTAGTCAAACGTGTTTAAACTTTATGAGTTTGATATTTTATGCCACCAGAATCGATGCTTAGCTTTTGCCTGAACCTGTTAGTCTAATTATCTTTGATCTTCTTTGTGAGAGAAGATCAAACGAAACGTGCCCTCCTGTAAATTCATGATTGTTTATTTGAAGTACATTGATTCTAAAAAGTCTAAACGAGGTTGAACACATCACTTGTTTTCTGAGAATGGTGGAAAAATATAATTTTGGTGCATAAAAAACATTTTACAATCATGAGGGTAGATTTCAGAAGGTAAATGCAAGAGTCATTATATTTTAGAACTTTTTAAAGAGAATGCAGCGATTATAAAAACGTATTAATTGAATGTCATTATGAGCTTTGTTTATTTATCATATCTGATCTCGAATTTATCGCCAGAGCACTACACATTTTCTTGGCGATCGTAGTTCATAGCTTTTTTGTAAGAGTATGAAAGATTAAAATGGTGATATTTAATTAGACCTTTAATCACATGCTTCATTGCGGTAACAGCAAGCAATGTTAACAGGCAGCGAAAGCGAGAGCATGATGAATGAATACTGAATAACAACATCTATTCTCAGCTATTTTTAAGGTTGATAGTGTTAAATGTTAGTGTCTATTGATTTTGCGCTGCCAATATGCAAAAGCAGGCAGCAGGGGTGGCTGGCACAAGAAATGTAGAAACTGTTTTAAGTCAGCCAAGCAGTGCCAGAAATTACAGGGGGCATGGATGGAGCAGGGGCGGATCTAGAAAATATTCTGACTGTCGCACACAAGGGTGTGGTCGGAAATATCATTCGTGACCACACCCCTTGGTTTTTAAGGATATTCGCCCCCTTCTCATTTGAGCAGTCGACACGCACATTAAATTGGCTTTTATTTAGAACGTGGCCAAACTGTTGTTTATTCCTTATCTGAGTTTTCAATTGATACTACAGAATCATTTGTGTTGTTTCTTAGCCAAGCGTAAAGCAAGAAAGCGTATTGACGGTTTTCCTTTCATAGTCAGGCAAAAATTCGAGTCGTCTTTTTCGATTTGTTTATAGTATACGATGACAAACCAGGCCACGCGAAAAAATAAAAACATCATTGCAATGAATTTTCAGAACTAACCAAATAGAACAAATTTACACAAATATTCATAAAACCTGCATTAATAACTAATATTATTTAATAGCTAAACCAAATCAGCGTGTAAGCATGTATTTTACTCCCAAGAAACCCCTTCGAATTCAGGGGAATACCCAAACAAGTAAACATTACCCGGAAATATCTGAAAGCTGATAAAGAACTGAAAATCCACATTGAAAAGATTCACTTTGAAAGTTTTGTCTAAGTGAAAATTTTTCTCTGCCAACGTCCTGAACATTATTTCTTCGCCAGAGCCAAATCGCAGGTATCGCCCACTGATTATCACCCCAGTCCAGTGCATTTATTGACATTAGTAGGCCCTCGATCCATGGAGGAGGTAATGAACATCGAAACTTGAAAACATCCCGTGTCGAATGTTACTCTGAAAATCTAGCGACCTTGTCTTCCAAATTACCAGGCTTAACCTATTCGTTTTACATGTAGCCAGCCGACTCCATAACACAAAATTCCTTTTCTCCAGTGCAAAACTTGCCCATGCCAGGCATAAATAAGCTCAAAACTGCACAATACACGCAATGAGGGCGGATTAATCTTAGCCCAGTGGTGCGACCTTACTAAAAAACATACTGTGCACCGAAGTTCGCACTATCTAGCAATTTGATTGGCTAAATATTTTGAAACAAAAGCTGTGCGAATCGGTGCGAACGTGCTACTTATCATACTGTGCACCGAAATACCCTAATCTAACTACATTGGTACCCTGTTGTTTTTTAGTCAGGATGCTTTGAGATTTGAATCAGATTGAATCAAGATCGAGATAGAATTAGAGATTGTGTTTAAGATTTTGCTTCTGTTTATGGCCAGATTTAAATCATGCATGATTCAGACCTTGGATCTTCCTGCTCCTGCACGGTGTTCAGTTGTCAAATATAACTGAAGCATAATTCCCGAGTAAATAGAATCAAAACACAAATGAGAAATTTGCCAATAAGCGAAAAAGTTGTTGTTCAGCAAAAACCTCTCTCGAGACAGATTCTTAGTATAATTTTAAAAGTTTGACTGTCGCATGTGCGAACGGTGCGAACGTCTAAATCCGCCCCTGGGATGGAGGGCTCCCCCCATTCGCGTTTTTGTCAGGAAATTTGGTCTTTCAAACCCCAGATTTATATATTGAGTCTGTTTTCTTGTTGAAAAAGGAAAATAATGTAGACTTGGGGCATAGGTATATCTGTGGTTTTGATAGCCATGCAAAATGTAATTCAAAACTACAATCCCCAAGTCATTTCAAGCCGACCTCAAAAACAGCATCTAGATTGTCTAGGAATAGGCTGCTTCAACAATGGGTTTTATCAATGCAGCCCCAGCAACATTTTGGCTACTGCGTTATTAGAAATGGCTTTCTAATAAAAGGGCCATCAATAACATAGAAAGAATAGATCATCCTGGATGTAATAGAGCTCTAAACAATACTTGATAACACTACCTTCTGAAAATCTCCCAACAAATGACCCGGGCAATGAAACTAATTTTTGTTTCTTCCCTGGAAAAATAAATGGGATGCCTCGTTAACACTTTAATAATCCTCATTAGAAAAGAGAAGTCTTCGGGTAGGCTTTTCGTTTATAAGCGAAAAGTTGTTAATGCGTCAAACTTTTACCAGTTGAAATTACAGAAAAGAACTTGAGAAACAATCCACTGCATAGAACAAGTTTTAATTATAGTAGTTATTTTTTTGTGATTTTGTTTCACGAAGTAAGCGGCCAATATCCCAGAATGCTTTTTTAGACCAAGGAGGCTAATAACGAGTGAGTAAAATACAATGGCTTTATTCATTGTTTTCTTTGACAAATACTTTACATTCACATAGTGAAAACAAAGGAAATAGCAATTTGCATTATTAGAAAGGCCATCCTTATAATGGAGATGAAAGTGAGGGCTTTTATGTTGACATTTTTAAAAGGAGATTGAAGGAGAAAGAATTTCAATATAATTCTTTTGACATGTGGAGCCTTGAGCATGAATCCAAATCAGGGTGTATGAAAATAAACAGTGATGGCTACTACAAGCCTATGGCTTTGGAAAAAAACTGTTATTAGCCCAATAACACTAATAGCCAACCCTGGTGCACAGATATGTGTGCAGACGATAAATTGCGGGCACGCAACAAAGTTTCCAGCCAGGTTTAACTGGACTTCTCAATAAATTTAGCTGAAAACATTCCTGGGCCTACAACATATCATTTTGATTGTAACATTTTAATGACTATAAATCATTGAAAATTAAAAGATTAAAAAAAAAATTTTTGTGTCATAATGATTTCATTAGTAATTGTGGTATAAATGCATGTGCAATGCTAGATAACTGAAACCAAGTGATCTCTGTATCTATGTCTTGTCCCATTACAAAATTATTGAAAAAACTTTCCATTCAAGCTCCAGACCAATTACATCATCTTTCACATCACCTTTCAAAAGTCACAAACACTGAACGTTTGGTACTGGATGTTTCTTAACATTATCACATTTTCAATTCTCAGAGTTTCTTTCAAGTTTCTCAAGAGTTCAATAACAATTTTTGCATCGTTAAATCTGCCTTAATTTTTGCATCATTATGACTGGTCAATATTTGTCCAAAATGCCAAAATTGAAAGGATTTTCACGTTTTTCACAAACAGAAGGATTCAAATCAATAGAGACAGCATATCTTAATTGTCCCAGTGACAAAAATTGCAGGGTTTGGGGGAGAGATCCCCCAGCTTTTGCTTTCCTTCGTAATTTTGTTTCATTTGTTGGCAAATTTGCTACATCAATAAAAGATTGACAACATATTCACCAGTTTTTGTAATTAGAAAGACTAACATCTTATTAATAAAAACTAATTGGTAAACTTTTTTTCTGTTTAAGACTCGACATTTATAGAAAGGTTCCTAAGGACCTAACACAACCAACATACACAGGAGCAATGGGTATGTGTATTTGATCATGAATAGCAAGTGGCATATTCATACTAAATCACAATTTGCATTTAATCTTGCAGATATATAGAGGAGTGAATGCCTTCTACCATAGGCCTATGTTATGTATAATTGTTTTACTTACTTTTCATGCTGTCAGAGGCAGCAACTATGCTAATCTGGAAAATACTACTACTATAGCAAATAAAAGCATCTGAGCCATAGCACGTTATTTGAGATGGCATATTTCTTCTTAGTTGCATGTTTTGTTCAACATGAGTTTAAGTAAGAATAAACTAGGTCTTTCTATTTGCTATGGTTTATCAGTGTTTGCCATCAAATTGATTACCTTATTTCATTATTATTTTCCCGCACTCTCTATTAATTATTTCATTATGTTTATCAAATTCTATACCAATTACTTTTTTCACTTGCAGTGTCTGTCTGCAGTATTTTGTTCATCATATTTCTCATGATGTCAGAGCTTTCAGGGTTTCTAAAAACTGAATTGTAAGTATTGACAAACTTCTAGGGAAACAGGAAGCTAAAAATGAATTGGTTTTGTTGGTAAAGTCCTTTAAACATGACCTTGATTCTTAAAGACTAAACACCCAAAAGCAACTATCGTCTGTGATGCAGGGTAAAAAGCAACACAAAACAGGCAGAAGTACCCTGAAAATATACTGGACACCTCTTGAAGGACCACAATGAAAGTGTAAATCAGAAAAAAATGATAAAGCATGAAAAATCATTTTGAAGCTTTTTTTAGCCTACTGTTCTTGGGTCTTAACTTGCATTAGCTTGATTATTATTTTTTCACGCCAAAATATCAGCAAAATTTCTACTTTTGGCACTTTTCACAAAAAATTACTTTGAATTTCTAGCCAATTGATTTTCCCTATATATGGCTTGATCATGATGTGCTCGTGGATGTGTTCAGCCTAGTTTTTTTGGGGTCTGGCCTGTTCACAGGATTTTTTTGGCTGCTCAGCCTGATCTTTGGGTGTTTAATTTCTTAGAAACAATACTCTAGTGGCCTGAAGTTGAATGTGCATTGCGAATGGAGTTTTTAACATTCTCAAGAGTTAAATATTTTCAAAGTGTACACATTATGGAGCAGTGAAACAATGTCAGACTGTTTCAAAGAATCCTAGTCTTTGTGCTGCATCATTTGCCAGATTACCAAAGAGAAAGCTGGATAATGAGTTATAGAAAGTTTGAAATAGCTGTTGCCAATCTTAATAAGAGATTGTCAAGGACAAATAAGTGAAAAAGTATATTAAACCTTCAAAAGTTAACATGATCGTATAATATATAATATCATTTTTCTTCCTATATGACATGTATTTTACTCATTTGACATTTAATTTTAAGCCTGTTGTCTTTTTCTTTTAGAGTCAGTGAGCTGTTTGTTGATATGCCATCAACTGCAGAAAGAATGCCAGTTAGACTTAACATAACTTTACCAAAAATGAATTGTCAATGTAAGAAAATTTGCTGTCATTCACTTATAGCATGTAATTCTGCATACTTCCTGTCCCATCTTAGTTTTTGCTTAGTTTTTCACTTTTTTCGTTCTCTTTTGTTGTTTCTACTTCTTTAGGGAGAGTCTTCCCAGTCATCGGATTTGTTTGGTAGCCACCCACACACCTATTAACATTTTCCTATTGATTTCTATTTTTTTAAATTTTCAACATATTTTCAGTGTAGTATATAACCATCTTTCATAGAGAGTAACTATTTCTGGAAAGTTCCTGTGCTTTAATTAAATTATTTTATTCAATCTTTAGTCGTTGGACTTGATATTCAAGATGAAATGGGAAGGTATTTTCAAAATTTTATCATTTTTTTGCTTAGAATAAAATCATTAATTGTTGTTTTAATTCATTTCAAATTATATTCGCTGTTACAATTTGAGATAATTCTTGTGAAACAATGCCATTTTCAGGCATGAAGTTGGCTTTCATGAAAATACTCACAAAGTTGACCTTTCAGATGGAGGTAAGCAAGATAAATCTTACTAATGATGATTTTAGTATCACTCCAGAACCTAAATTTGCCTACGGTTTTCCTTAAATTGGATAAATTTGTTATATTAAAAGCTGTGTGTATTTTTTAGTTTTGCTGTTGGAAAGTAAATCAAAAAGGAGGTCGGTGTTATTGGTCTGCAAAAGTTAGTTTAAAGAAAATGATACTTGACAAAAATGCTTTGGATATTCTAAAATTTTGTCATTTCTTACACTTAAAACCTCTAGATAAAAGTATAAGACATCTGGTTTTGAAAAGTAGTTTTTTAGTTGTTGGGTGCTCCTCATTAGCAGACAGTCATGAGATTTATTCACCAGGAAACTTTCTTTCCTGCAGCCAGCAGTTTCCGATCATTCATTTGGATCAATCTGGTCTCCCTCCTTGTCTTTTTCCTATTTCTTCCAACATAGTTACATTTTTGAAATCGTAATAAGAATAAGGATATTTCTTAGCTTTTTTTAATATTTCTGATATTAGCCCTTCTACTTCTACGTATTTAATCAACAACTTCAATGCTGAAGACTCAAGCCCTTTCTTGACATACGAGCGAATCTGTAGACGCGCCATTATGTTATACTCCCAGATAGACACCTTTTTCTAATACATATCTCGGCGGTTGCTTTTCCAGTAGCGCCCTGCTGCCTCTAAACCCACCGCCTAAAACTTCCGTTATCTTAATGATCTTGATTTGCCAATAAAAGATAGCACGGTACAGCGCTGATCTTCCTTGTAATGCCGCCTACCACCTGGAATTTTTCTACTTGCTTCTATGTTTCATGAGCCAATGGATTACATCTTTCAACCGCTTTCTCAAAATCCCATTGATTCACATATAATCAGTCTGCCATCATTTCCTTATGACCTTGAAACTGTTAACTTTTCAATCAAGCTTTGCAAACCGAGTCTATTTCATTAGATTTTAATTTCCAGTAAACTCTTTTCTCTTTATAAGAACAATTATATTAGAACAGGAGCCTCGAATTGATCAAAAGTTAAGAACAAATTAAGAACAAGCTAAGGCTGAGCTGCTTTAAAATGGCAATAGTAAATAGCGTTTTATCTAAAAAATGAGGATTTGTAGCCATATGTGAGTGCTTTTTCGGTAAATATTCAAACCTGTCGGCAAATGAAGGTTGTCTCCGTCACTTTGTTGGCAAATCAGGCCTGAACACCTCCCTAGAGCGAAAAAGCCAGCAATCGCACTGCTTACACCTTTTTAATTTAAGAACAATTTGAGAACAATCCAACCTCAGTTTTTCGAAAAAATTGAGAACAGTCAGCCTGAACTTAAATTTACTGGTTTATATAAAAGGAAGAGTGTGTACATAAAAACACTCCTTTGTCAAACAAAAGTTTAAATAGCAACAGAACATAATTGTTCTAAAGTTCCTTTGAAGCACATGATAATTTCCTATACATCGAAATTTGATAGCTACGATATTAACCAGAGTCCAGAAAACATTACGGTTCTTTGCCTATGTGCCACATGATTTTTACCTTGTAAAGGGTATATAAAGCATGAAAATTATAACATTGTGTTTGAGCTTTTCTTTTTTCCTGACAAACCGTAAAGACCAAGCCATCGATGACTTTACTTAAATTCGCCTTCTAAGAAACTTTTATTCAAAAGATAGAAATAAAATGTTTAGGAAGGCATTCAGGGCAGAATGCCATCCAGGGGGATGTTAATGGGTCTGCACTCTGATTTTAACACTGCGTGTTATTCTTGCAACCGAATATAAATAGTTTTTTCAAAATTCTACAGCAGGGAATAACAGATATGGCTTATTAAGTTTATATCAGTTCAAAACCCTATTCAATCAAGGGAGATGTAAGGCCCCCACCCCTACACCCAATTATCTTGCTGTGTACTCAAATTTCCTCTTCACTCTCCTTCTGTCTCTGCAAAACGCTTTCGTAGATATTCGAGCCCTGAATGCAAATAATTAAAATAGCTGTTGTTCACCTTCGTGCAATTTTTTCCCTTACAGGTTGTCGATTTGAAGGGACATTTCATGTCAATCGGGTAAGTGAAAAATGTTTATTGTAAAATTTGTTTTTCCGAACCTATTTTAATCTTAGTCCCATTATAAAACATTGGATTATTTCATGTATCTAGCTCCTAGCTCAGGCTTTCAAGTTTCACCATTGTTCATGTTTTGACGCCAATATCTGAACTGTTAGAAAATACTGTGTATGTGGAATGTTTATCAATTCTCTTGCGTTCAACGATATCCATATTCTGTCTCGTTCATTGTGAAGCCACGCTTCTTGTTACGCAAAAAGTCTCAATTAGTCTCGTCTCACAGGTTCCCTGCCTAACTCTTTTATGATTTTTCCCTTGTGAGTTTTGTAAGGTTTAGATGTTCGCGCTCTGAATATAGTCTAGCTCAAATTACGATGATTGATAGAATGGAAAGCTACTAAACAGATCGATATCCTGTAGGATGAATTTTTATTCCTGTTTCACTTAGCTTCAACTGTTCCCGTAGCCTTTCGAAGGGCAATTAGCTGCAGGGGCAAGCCTTTGTTTCTAGAAAATGGAGGGCAAATGCCCCCCCCCCCCCTAGGCTATTCCAAAAATGTTTAGGTACCGCAAAATTTGAAGATTTTCTGCTAACCTTTGTTCGTTATCCGATGTTTATACTCTGAAGAGTGTCGGACAAAAATACTTCATAAAAATTTATACCGCTATTTCGTGCCACCATCAAATAAGCTTTTCCACTTAGCTGATGTCATCCCTTTCATCGCATTGAAATCAATCTTTGTTTCTTTCAATACTTGACGTTTGATACTGGCACAAATACACGTCACATATAAATTGTCCTAAATTCCGAAGAATGGGAAAATGATGTTTCAACATGCTCATTTTAGGGGGAGGGGGTGGGTATGGTGGTGAAGATTCGGGTTGATATGAATGGTATCTATTTTTGCTTTTCTTTATACATTGGTCTAACGTTATTAATTTGTCAATATACAATGGCAAAATGATTTTGTAAAAATGCCCAGATTTTAGAAAATAGCATGGTTATAAGCATAATTGAAAGTAGCGATTTCCCTTCATGATCTAACATTGTTCCTTGTTGCAGGTTCCAGGAAATTTTCATGTCTCAACCCATGGCGCAGATCACCAGGTATAGCCTCTGAATTTGTTTATAAGAGGCCCTTCACATGAAAAATTTCAGGCCGGTTTGAAACCCGCGCCGGTATGAGTCCAATTCAGTATGTGGTCCAATCCTTTTGCATTTTCACACGATTAAAACTCGAAACTAGGGCAAATTGAAACTCGTGCCGCCCTTAGATTCGAATACATAGCACTCTGAATTTTCAAGCAGGCACGAAATATTCATTTGAACACGATTTTTCACATTTGGGTGAACTGAACTTGCAAAAATTTGTGCTAGAATCATGAAGTCTTCCGTTGACATTCTAAAGTTCGCTAGCCATTCCCCTGGTAACTTTACACCATCCCGCATATATGTCCATCATTTCTCTGTGCGTCCTGTGTTGCCTAGACATTGTTTTTACCCTATATTTCTTGAGAAACTTCCTGTGTTTCATCACCTGATCCTTGAATTTGTGAAAACGCAGTATTCATAAGTTTGTTCCAGCCGATTTGAAATATCCATTTGAACGCGAAGGAAATTAGCACACCCGAACAGAACTCAAGCCGGTTTGAAACTCACGTGAATGGCCTCTAAAAATGGAACCCTCTCCCTCCCCTGTAATTTGATTGGTACGGTTCACTTCCATTCTGTTGTGAAGAATTTTTTACACCAAGGAGTTTAAAACTTGTGCCAGTAATACTCGCAGTCAATGTTTATTATAGAAGTTCCATACCTGAGAAAGGGGTTTCTTTCTTTGACCGAACCCCCTCTTTTCCACGTTCTTTATCATTAGCATACCTACCTATTATGATATTGTTTGAAACTGTTTATTTTTTAGACGGATAGTTTTTTTAGAATCGATTATTTCATTAGCAACTTTTGTTTTTGTATGATTGGTGCAGCCTACAAATTTTGACATGACGCATGTTGTAAATGGTTTGCAGTTTGGCGATGTCATACATGTGAGTAAATCCTGGCAAAAGAATTCTACATTTTGTTTGTTTTCAATAGATTTCTTTGAATACTATTTGACACTTTCATAAATATCTGAAATTACGCACAAAGAAGCTAATTTTGGAGTGCTGGTTACGTTAACCCTTTTTAAGACTATGCTAAACTTTCTTTATGATATGCAGAAAACCATTGCAATGAGATTGCATTTGTTATTGCTTGCGTCATTTCTATGGTCATAATTGATCACAAAATTATCACATGAGCTAAATTCAGAACCAGATGAGCTGATGGTTTGAAGTTAGTTAATTAAAAATGACACTGACAAAACCAAGCCTTACTTTGCTCTTGTTTAAACTCTACTAAAGATTCCCACAATCCACAAAGTTGAGATTTCTGATGCACCAGTTTATCGGTTGGCCTGCCGATATTTGATGGGAATAACTTTATTAAATTAATTGGATCAAGTCACAATTGAAATATATTATCCTGTTAAGTATACCTCCTACTCATAAATTGTGCTTCCTTTTAGAAACTGAAACCGTTAGTCCAGAGAATTGCTAACCTTGCTTTCAACCTAAGAGTCATAACTTACCCCTTCATATCAATGACGTCAAGAAATGGGCATAAATCTCGCAACCAAAGCCAAATTTCATATTTTGATAGGAAAAAAGTCTTTGCTTATGTGTCCTTATATCTAAGCCTATTTTGGATATATTTAATAGTATTTTTTACATGATTGCCTATTGTAAAAAGTTCTTTAAGGAGTTATTAACTTTATGTATATTTTGCTATGACGTCATTATTGAGCCACGTTTCGTCGAAGAAATAAGTATCGATCGCGAAAACCAGTGTAACTAGCTAAACCATTCCCTTATTTTTCAATTTCTTGCGTAATATTGGAGCACATGATATTAAAAATTTGGTATTAACAATTTTAAACCTACTACATAAAAAGATGCTTTGCATTCATACAGGGTACCTTTTCATATTTGAGATATATTAGTTTTCATTTGGTTGAAAGATTCTACTATGTTTTATTGCAAAATTTTTGATTTTTTATCTGAAATTATATTGATGCACTAAAATAGGTGTAAATATTTATTCGTCAGTAACCTTGATAAAATTTCGAAAAATGCAACAAAAGGGGCACATTGGCTAATTGCTTCAGCTTTTGGGGAGCGAATTACTCTAATTAGAGAACATATCAAGGTTGGAAGCTGAAAACTAGAAATTACCTTGTTTTATGTAGGAAAATCAGCATTGAAAATGCTTGTCTACAGGAGAAGGAAATTCATGTGTAATTCTCTAAGACTGAAGATTACCACATATTTATTGAAACGTCTTGAATGAAGTGATGATGCATTGTCAACTAAATCTATTTTGCTGTTTGGTTACATGTGTTGGTGAAGAATTCCTCCTTTTCTCGCAGGATCAGCAAGTGCAAGGCGCTTTCAAAGCCTTAGCAAACCACAAACAACTTGAGTCGAACGGTTTGTGCGCTTAGATAGTTCATCGTTCTGTCCTATTTTCAGCATATTGTTTTGATGAGGGCATTTTGATGATAGCATCATACCAATATGATATTCATGTAAAATTCATAAAGGATTTTCTATTTGTAAGTGAAATTAAGCCTCGCCATCAAGTTGCTACAGTTACAGTAAAACTTTTGTGATCTTTTTGATCCAAAAATATACATATTTACGTTATTGAACCACTAGAAATTTACAGAATAAAATATCGGAAAGCTAGTACCTACAACCGAAGGCTGTTATATAATCCTTGCGTAATCTTTGATAGATAATTTCACTTCTGTACCTATGCAAGTCTTGTATGCACCAAGTTACATTCTCCCATCATTCTGTCTCTACACTTTTTTGCAATGAACCATTCCATATTAAACCCGCAGATCAGATTTGCTTGAAAAAATGCTTGAACCACTTAAAGTTGGCCTAAATAACATGCCCGTCAGCATTATTTTGAAACTAGATAAATGATACAGTAGACTCCGATCGAAGTCACATCAAGTGTTGGTTGAAAACCTGCGACGGAAAATGGAGTGTGACTGTAAACGGAGCGATTGAATAGTTTTGCATTTTGGGGTCTAAATTTGATGTGACTGTTAACAGTAGTGCGACTTTAAGCGGAGTCGACTGTATCAAATATGAGGCTTCGAATTGTAAACAGGCTCCGAAGAGACAAGAGAACATGGTACCATTAAAGTTTAATACACCAAAGGATAAGACCTTGCCGTATATTTTCAAAAGGCATAGTTTCATCATGATCATTGTCTGAAAGCACGTGATAATTGCGATGACGACTGTCCTTTTTTTCTTGCAGCATTGTCCTCGCATGATTATGTCCTGAGAATTGTGCCTACTATTTACGAAAGATTAGATGGCACAACCCAGAATTCTTTCCAATATACGTGGGCACACAAGGTAATATGCTCCATCTGGCTGAAAGGCCAATTTTTTTATCAAAGAAGCAACATTTATTAGCGCTCTTCAATTTTTTCGCAATATCAGTCGCGCGCTCCCTCTCACACACAGCCAAAAATTACGATTCCAGAAGTGACCTGAGTTTAAAACCTCAAAAAAAGAATCATAGCACTTTGTCCATTGACTGTTTTGATTTTCTAAAGGTTTCCAGTGCTTTAGCTTATTGTCCAGAGAAAGATAGAAAACACTTTTTGACTCCGCTATCACAGTTTTCTAGATAGATTTTTCAGCTTCTCATACTAAATATTTAATAAGAATTTTAAAAAAAGCTTTAATTTTTAATTTTTCTTTAAAGAAATCGTGTTTTTACGCTGTTTTTTAGACACAAGTCTCGTGTATCGTAAGGATTCTTGGCATTTCTGAAGATATATATTCCCTTTTTTGGCCCGTTCGCAAAGTGTTTATGCCTACTTAGAGACAAATAACACGTCTGTCGCTGCATTGGCAATTGGTGTGCACGCTTTTTTATATGAATGCTTTTTTTCTTTGCTTAGCTTCAATATTCTTACAGAATTGTATCTTTGCTTCTGTCTTTCTTCATCAAGGAAACGCTGTAGGGAACGAGCCATTCAGTCTTGTTAGGTGCCTCTCAAACTTTTGGCGTAAAGGCCATGCTGGTCCTATTTGCTCAAAAAAGTCATATAGTCATATGCTCATAAAAGTTAAAAAGTTGATGAAAATCGAGCCTGGAAATTATTCTTAATTAATTCTAAAGCTTTATATATTTTCGAGCATCAATATTCTTATACATTTATTCATTTATACATTTATACATTCTTATAAAAGTGTGTGCTTTTTGTTATCTCTTTTGATATTGTTGATTTTTAGGAGTATACATCATATGGACATGGTGGAATGGGTATTGTTCCTGGTAACATTTTTTATTATTTTCCTTTTTGATTCTTTAACTTTATATTTCCTTTTTTCTCCATTCCCTTTGAAGATTCCTTTAAAAGAATTAAAATGCGCACTATTTGTATAAAAAACGCATTATATAAAAAGGATTGCGTTCGTACTACCCAAAAGAGTTCCCTAATCTACGAGTTTACATGCCAGTGTGATTCTGGCTACGTATGACGTACAACCTAAAGTTTGGGGGGTAGAATAAGACAGGTTATTCCTTCGAACTAAAAAACAAACTTTTTCCCAAGATGAAAAATCCGCCCATTCAAAACTTTTTATGAAAAACAATCTACTAGGACTACCGGTTAGTTTGTTCGCTGGTTCAATTATGTTAAAAAACATTGAAACTTTTTCTGTGCTTTATGGAAGGAAACCATGCCGTAATCATTTCTATGACAATCCATTCTGTCATCAAACTAAATCATAGTTCTCCCTTTTTTACTATCAACTTTGCTGTGTACTCACTGGATATGATAAATTTGAAGTGAATTTGCAGAAGCGAATAAGACATTTTCAGTACTAAGTTTCTTTCAGTTTCCTTTAGAGAAAGATGTGTGCTGAGAAGTCCACAGTTTTATTTTTTTTCTTAAACCTAGAACAAATTAAAGTGCCACGGAAAATTTTAAACTTTATGCTGTCGACTTTTCTTTTTCTCGTAATTCTGTCTCCATCGTTGATATTTATTTTGTAAACTAAAAGGAAAGCTCTCATCAATTTCTGGAAATTGAAAGAAGTTATATGTTTATACAAAATGTTTTCGTTGGTGATTGGTCGATGGATGTCCTGTCGATTTTATCTTATGCTCTGTAGCTCAACAACATTTTGCTCGTGCGCTAAATCAGACTGTTTCTCTCCAATAACGCAATAAATTTTTATTTTTAGCCATCTGGTTTCGATATGATCTCAGCGCAATTACAGTAAAATACGTCGAAAGACGGAAACCTCTGTACCACTTTATAACCACAGTAAGTTCTCTTTCCTTATTTTTCACGAAAATATTGTCAAGCATTCACCACTCCGTCGTCTGGCCAATCCGATAGTCAGCTGATTAATGGAATTGTCTAGTTTCCCTACTGCCCGACCTGATAGACATACATAAGCATGATTAATAGTCATAAATAATTATGATTAATTATTTCAAGTAAAGGGTTAGGTTTAGGTTTAGATTTAGGTTTAGGGTTAGGGTTAGGTTTAGGGTAAACTAATTACGTCATCAGGTCGAGCAGTATGGAAACTAGACAGCTCCCTGATTAATAGCCTTGTAGCCCAATTGTTTAAAACCTCGACGCGCAGATGAGGCTAGCCCGCAACTCCTGCGCAAGGACATCCGCTCGGACGTTTTATCCTGTTGTTTCATAGCGAAATCGACGTCCGGTCGTTGTAGCCTAATAATTTGAAACAAACATTCGATAAAGATTATATTTATTATGATTTTGATCAGAATTCAGTTTTTGGCTCAGAAAGGCTTTATTGTGAGAGTAGAATTTAAGATCAAATACTAGAATCGATAAATTATTGCAAGGGTTTTTTACTGACTAAAATCAGGGAGTTCGCCATTTATTCCACAAAAAGATTTATCAGGGATTCCTTGTGAAACTGATTAAAACTCCAAAGCAGCCAGTTTAAAATGTAGGAGTTGGTAAGATTTCTTTCGGTTTCTTTCTGTGGCAGTCTAAGAATTCCTGAAGTCGATATGAATTAAAGTGTTTTTAAATATTTCACATGACTCATCGTTATTTGCCATCTCAATCTTTTCCACTTTTCCATCCTTTTTTGCGCAGTTTTTTATTCACATTCATTTGCTGTGATAAATCTCAAACATCCAACTTTATGCGGCATGATTTGCAGGTGTATTCAAAGTTTCTGTTGTATTGAACTGTTAAGCGGCCTAGCGGTTCTAAAGACGGATCGTACTCATGACTATGTTTGACCACGCCTATCAACCAATTGTTGGTTGCTACCAGCGCAAGATTCATTCTTAATACTCCATCTGGAAAATGCAATGCCAACACCACGTGGACAAAATTTCGGATTTGCAGATGTTAAGCCATAGGTGTCTTGATGTCATAGCTTTTCTTAACAACATAGTCAAAACCATCTTAAATCAAGATTAACAAATTAATCATTGGTTTTGAATGCGGGGGATAAGAAGTAGCGTATTTGTTGAGAATCAAGGAGTACATATTTCGATTGTACTATCTAATGACATAGGTTGCAATAAATAACGAGGTATCTACCTAGAGGTCGTGCAATGCTAATTGACCTAGCACAATTCCAGGACGTCATCAATTAAAGAGTTTCAGTGATATTTTAGGTTTTTGAAAATGTGATTATTTTGCTAAAGATGTAAATACCACTTGCTGACGAGACGAGAAGAGAAGCCTTGGTCGATGTCAGGGTCAGCTTGACAACTTGGTTCACGTAGATGCCGCATACTTTGTATCCGTCACGTTTGCGACTGTTCTTAGAAAAAAAGCCGATGCGACTAATAATGGTTCAATAAATCTGTTCTTCTCCGTAGAAATAATATTGCCCTTTGCGCAATTTTTTGGAATAAAAAAACAAGCAAATTTTCCTTGCTGTTCGGAGGTTTTCCTATCTATTTAGTTCTACCTTTTTATTGTGTTAGTTGAATATTACATTGAATGCAGCTATCATAATATGCGATCATGATTTTCCAATTATGATTTTGATTGTTTTTTTATTCGATTGGAAAGCTCGTCTGCATGATCCTTGTTTATATACCGTTTGTTAATGGAATGAGTTTAAATCGCTTTGAGACAGTTCCTAAATAAACCTACGTCGTTAATTAAGTGTGTGTGTGTGGTTTTCCATATTTGATCACCAAGAAGCTGCCCATTTACAGATGTTCTATAAAGCACTGCTAAAAACCGACACTTTTTCATTGGGTCTGTGTGATTTCTTAGTTGGTGACTTGTTTTTTGCTATATTCGCCGGCAATTCTTTGCACAGATAGAAGCATGGGTTACACGTGGGTGCCATGCGTTTTGGTCTTTAGGCTTCGTCTCAGATCTTCGCCTTGCAACAGAATTATCTAAAATCTAGCATTTTTCAACAATGTGCTTGATATGCACTGTGCTTGATTTTTTATCTTTTGAGAATTTAACACTTCATGATTTGCACTCGAGAAGCAACTTGGGATTTTGATTTTGTGCTGAGCCCAATCTGGGGTTTTCAATATATTTCGTCCAAGTTGATTTATCAAATTATTCATCAATTGTTTGATAATCATTCTATGCTATTTTCAGCTAGCAAAACATCAGTTCAATGATGTTTGAACATTCATCAGAATTGAAAGTTTCTAAGTTTCTATTGAGTTTCAAAGTTTAATTTTTAGGTAGCAAAGCACCGAAGTAGAACATAAAATTAACACCAGTACTGTCATACCCAGTTAATAGCTTATTTTTTAATAGTCTTTTTAAAATTATTGTTTGTTAACAGAAATCACTTTCCTAAAAGAAATCATATTACCCAATTCTATTCTGAATTTTACAGAAAAAAGCGCATTATTTTCTTTCCTGTAACACGCAGGAACGGGTTTCTTTAAACATTTCTGAGACAACACTTCTCAGAAATTTCTGAATTTCTGAAATCACAGAGTTTCTGAATTGTCCTAGAAAGTGGGGTAATTTTTGCAGTTCCTGTCTTTTTTGAATTTTTGTTTGTAAGGCATACTTGCGTTTTCCTTTTGTACCTCAGAATGATTTATTGTTTATCTTCTTAGCTGTTAAAAGTAATAGCCCTTCCGTCTATCTTCAAATTTTCAAAATCTTTATCAGCCTTCCGCAACTCATGTTTTTATCGAACTGCTCTTTTTTATGACGTCACGCCGGAGAGATTTGGAGTTCGGTTCTTCTTTGCGCTTTATCGCGAAGTTCTTTATCAGTCTGTCTGACCCAGCTACTAGAAATAACGGATGGTAAAAGCGCGAAAAACCTAAGCGAAGCAGATGCCGCACTGATATTCCCCACGTGTTTTCAGTGCTCATTTTAATTTTTTGCACACCCAGCTTTGATTTTTGTGGCCCAAAAGTCTCTTTCTTTTTTCACAGCTTAGATGTATGTAAATTTCAAGAAACTATGAATGCTTCACTGTACTAAGTGAAGCGAGTTTCACTTCAAAATCTTAAAACATGCAAAAGATTTTACCAGTCCTTATTGACAAAATTATTTTTTTTCGTTGTTTCTAACATTCTTATGAAAATTTAAATCTTCTGACATCACCGAGTTGGAAATGTAGTTTCAATGGCACTTCACCGGAACAGCATTAGAAATCTGCGGCAATTTTCTCAAGTTTTTGTACAGTATCAGGATAAATATTTCTTCTTATCCCGTAGGTGTGTGCCATTGTCGGTGGGACATTTACTGTCGCTGGAATAATAGACTCGATGATTTATACAGCAAATGAGATATTCAGAAAAGCAGAAATTGGTAAACTAAGTTGATGCAAGCAAATAGCAAGAAATGGGCTGAGGTATCTAGTTGGACCAGCTATCTCTCTATCTCTACCCTGAGGCAGAAGATCTGCCCTCTGCAAGTCTGCCATAAATGTATTTATTTTAAGTGACTCTCAAAAAAGGTTTCCTGCCATATAGCTTTGTGTTTCATTATAGTTGATCTTAGAATTGCATAAAACTGTGAATAATGATTACAGAATATCCGAATTAGTCTTCCCTTGGCCTTGCCGAGTTTTCCTTGCTGCCTGCCCTGCTTTATTCTTCTATCTGCGCATTTCAAACTTTCGTTGTTGAGGTACAAGGTCTGTGACTGGAGGTAGCATTTTTGGCCCAGGTGGGCTGGGGATGGCCTAAGTGATAATATTCTCATTGTGGTATTCAGGGGACACCTTATACTTAAAATGAGAGGGTGTGCAATGTTTTATCTGTGGCCATAAACTAGCCACTAGCAAAATCTCGCTGGAAAGCCTGAAAAATCTGAGGTTCCAGTTTGCTTTTTTGTGCATCTTTGTCACCACGTGAAATCTCTCTCTAAACGAACCTTCATTCTCGCAAACCTCTGCGCAGCTTATAAATGTTGAAGAAGGTCTCGAGGTCAGAGGATTTCTTCTTTGTCAACATGTGGCGATTTGCCATCTGCTTTGAGAATTATATTCTGTAAAACTATATTATGTTTGCTAAACCAGGATCCCTATCCTGAACCTAGGATTCGTCTTGCACAGTTTTTTCTTAAATCTTCGTCGAACAGAGTCAGATCTGACGTAAGGGAAATTTTCTTTAACTATTGTCACTTAAATTAGCAATTATTTTTAGAAGTTCCAAATTGTTTTGTACAGGATTCGCAAATTCGAATTTAGTTCTTAAAATTAGGCGGGTTTTTATATTAGTTAAGCTTGAGGCAGGGTGTTTTTAAAGATTTCCCCGTGGTTAAGAAAATTGAAAACACCTATGTTTGCTCACATTCTTGTATACACCATTAACGACTGACGAAATTGTCGCCAAAATGGAAAATCCACGTTAATTTTTTTATGGGTAGTTTCGTACCAATTATGTCAAAATCTCTGCCTTTGGATGATATACTCATATTTTATCCATCAATAATATTGTTCTAATTTCTTTCACCAATTTTGAAAGTTTTTGAAAGTAGTTTTTGAAACATAGAAGATAAAAAGCTCGTCGTTTGATCAACCCAAACGTAGTTAGTGAATTTGATAATTTGCTAATCGAAAATTGATAAAGAATATCTGGATAATTGATCGAAAAACATTTCTGCAATTCAGAAGATCAAATTTAGAAGGATTCATTTGTCATGAGAAACCAATTCAGATGTTTTCAATCCATCCAATTTTAGAGACAAAATTTTGATGAATTGCCTAGTACCGTCGCTAGCTATTGTGCCCAAGCGGGGCACTCCAGGTCCCATTTGCTGACAAATGGGGTGAACCATCCTTTATTTTCCAAAAAATTTGAAAATTTATCGACGAGTCTGCCCTAGGTGACAAAAATCATAGTTTTTGGAGCAAGGCGTTTTTCGGAAGAGATCCTCGCGTTGTTTTGAAGGAAAACCTAGAAGGACCCCATTGTAGGCAGCCGTGATGGAAACATGAATTTCCTTCCACTGCTGGGATAAGCAGGATAGTCAACTGGGCAAATTTCCCACCATTTCTTATTTAACTAAGTGCCTGGCGATATTGACCTTGACATAAAAAATTTTGAAGGAGATTTCGTTTGGGATTTGTGAGCAAATGGGAAAGTTTCACTGGGATTATTTGCGATGAAATCAACCAATGGAACCAAGAAAGCACCATAGAATTGTCGTTGATATCTCTGAAATTACCATCGCTTGCACCAATTCAAAGTTATGCAACTGGTCAGGGCCGCATTTATGTCTGTTGGGGCCCTGGGCCCAAAGTTGACTTAGGCCTCTTAAAATATTACCAAACAATTTGCGTCACGTGCACAGTACTTGGCTAAACATAATCAAACATAATCAACCAACTTTAAGACATAAATAAATTTGTATCCATTTCGCATTTCAGTACATTCCCAATAAAACTACCTAACTGCTGAAAACTTTTCGATGATTTTATTGGGGTTTAAAACTGCCAGGACATCAAATCTGCTGCCATTAAACATAAGGAAAAAACACGCTACTGTGACATTGTGGACCTTAGTTCACACTCTTTTTATTTACCCTTTTCAGCAAGGTGAAACATTTTTCACCGGAGAAACCTCTGTATGGCAAATTGAGCAACAAACCAAGTGCAGACATTGCATTGGGGAAAACTCCAACCAGGACAAGCGAAAGTTTCAAAAGCCTTGGGGGTAAAATCAAAATATGAGGTCCCCCAGCTCCATTCAAACACAAGATTGAAATCAAGAGCACTTTTAAAGGCTTTTAAAATTTTGCACGGGGCCCCCTAAATCGAAGAATTTTAGGGATGCCCGAGCCCAGTGGGCCCATGAGCCAATCCCAAACCAGAGCATTTTATTTATATTGTATGATGTAGGGGGTATGTATGCTGATTGTATTTTATGGAGACCAAGATAACTTTGAGCTTTGAAGATAACTTCAATTTTATAGACCAATTAAGTGAAATATTCCATGATTCCGAAAGCGCTCACGATTACGACCACTTGAATTTTTCATCTCAGAGATTTTTAAACATGTTCAAAATGTAATTTTTCTATACTTTTTGTTTTTGGAGAAGACTGCTGCCCAATTTTTGCCCGAAAAAATCAGCTGCCCGAATCTAGGGGGCTGAAGCTCCCAGCCCCCTCCCCGTCCCGTACGCCTATGATTGGAACCAACTGAATCACAACTTTTGCCATCCATCAATTCCTTCCATGTTTAATGTTCAAATTTAATGTTCGGCATTCATTCTCCTGCAACGAAAGATATTTTGCAATAATTCAGTAATATGTCAACTATTTGTCTCTTTGCTAAACGTGTCCCTGTTTCGTGGCCATATCTCTAATGTTCAACTTAGCCAATCAATTTGATGCTTTTTTATATAAAACTCCAAGAAGTCATTTAAGTTTCGCCCATCAAACTGTTGCGTTGTTTTAGAAATGTTGCTGCATCATTTAAAGCAACCACCCAGGACCATATAGCCAGTAAATAATATCGCTGATATATTTTCAAAAATAACAGTTTTGTTCTTCAGTACGCTATTGGCGTGATTTTTGGGGGCGTAGTTAGAGCAATCATTCCCATTTTAGCAATAAGAAACGTGCTATCAGTATCACTTTTCGTTTCGCTTCTCTTTTCTTTCCATAAATGTTAGTATCGTTACGGCAGGGGGTTAAGGGAGTACAACCTCCCACATAGGCTCCGACACAGGCTGGAAAGTGCGGGGGCCAAGGGAAACTTTGACAGCCATAACAAAATATTTGTAAAATTGTTTTGGAAAATGGGAGGGACATGCCCCCGGCAATCTGCCCCCTTCTGTTATACTACACTACACTTCAACTACAGTGCAACTAGGTATATATAAAATAACTCACGGCCCTTTTCAACTCGACTTGTGGCAGAGTGGAACAGAGAGACAACAACTTCTTTCGTCAGCACTTTGAACAAACAGCAAGATGCTTCTCCCAAAAAGCTTCCCTCTTAAAACTACTACAGCGTATTTATAGATACAAACATTTTACAAGTATTAATAACAACCAATCAGCTAAAAACACGTAAGGCCTACAACCAAAAGAAACATCGATGATTAACAGCGAAGTTATCCGGAAATAAAGTGTTTGCCAAATATTTAAATTATAGCCTACAATGGTTCGTTCGATTTGGTGTACAACACTTTGTGGGAGGCCCTGCCCTAACAAAAATTTAGAAACTGATAACTTTAACTACAATATGTCAGATTAAGTAAGACTAAGTTTGATGAGCTCAGCTACTTGATTCTATTACATCTTACTTGTTTTCAAGCCCGTAGCCAGGCCTGTGGAGTAGGGGGTGAAAAATCCCCAGACCTGTTGCAGGCAAGTCTTTTTTTAAGTTTTGCCTAAAAGCGTAAGTTTTTTTGAGTGCCAGCCACCATCTTAAGAGGCCCCAATAAAAATAATAAATGGATAATAAGAGATCCATATAAGGCATTGCCACCCCATGCCACCCCTTCGCTACGGACCTGCTTGTTTTACCTACCCTAGCTTATTACGTCTCTTATAAACGTGTAGTAGCAGAGGACCAAATGGTCTTATATTAATGAACCCTTGTCCACCTCTCGGCGGGCCGGCCTCATACCTCTGTTGGACAAGGCATTCTTTTTCTCAATATCTTAAGAAGAGGCATGATTATGTTTGACCCAGGACGTTGCTAGAGGGGGCGTGAGGTGTGTGACATCCCCCCCCCCCGGAAAAACAATCCGTTGCAAAAACGAGGGGTTTTCTGCCATCTAGAAGTGCTTAGTTGGCAAGTTTTCAAATTTGTTGGCAAATAAAGGATGGCTCATCCACTTTGTCGGCAAATGGTTGAGCAGATGGCTAGCGACGGGCCTGGGTTTGTTTGACAAAGGATTTCCCTGCAGTAGAATGGAGCAGAATGCCCTATTTTCCGTTCGATGCTGAAGAGGGGGGGGGGGGGGTTATTCGAGAGCAGATTGGTCTATCATAGACCAATACAAATGGGTCTCAATCACCTAATCTTCTTTAGAATCGGGGTCTTGGGAAAAAAAACAGAATATATGTAGAAAATAACAAAGTTTTCTGCTCTTGAATTGATCTAGATGATACCATTTACATGGGTTCCAATGTCGAAGGAATGTAGCCTGCGTCACAGACCATCACCATCAACGAGGAAAATGGCAGAACACAGACGCAGGCTAAAGGAATGTTGAATGCTGCGTCGGCAAATTCTTAAACTTACCGGCAACGGCAAGCAAAGGATGGCTGACTCATTTGTTGGCAAATAGGACCTGGACAACCCCTTGGGCTCGATAGCAAGCGTTGGCCCTGGTGGAACGGCGGGACAATCTTCTCGTCGCCACGATAATGGCCCTTGTAGCCAAAGTCATACATTTTGTCCAATTTCGTCAAACATTTTCCCACGGTGCTCTTAATTACTTCCAGTAAGGCTTCTTTTACTATTAGTGCTAAGCTGTTTTTTCTAAGTAATAGTGAAGGGCGTTTACACAAAATTTCTCCTTTAGGCATAACCCTCAGATCCTTAATCTCTAAATTATGACTTGTATATGCTTAAGGGTCTTTATATCGAGTTATTGTCTTTAAAAGAAATCGAAGTCGCAATTAATCGATGAATTTCGAAAAAGTGGAGTTGCGCAGGTCTCTCAATGAAATTATGCAAAGATTGGTTTCATTTATTGCAAATCCAAGTCAGGTTTAGTCAGGTGCTCACGTAGGCTATCAGTATTGACAACAACCGACATTTTGCTTTCATTTCCACCTTGCTATAATGCGTCGTTCATTTCTTTGTTGTGTTTAGATCCATAACACCTCTCACAAATCGGCAATTTTTCATTTCGTAATTAACACACACAGCGGAATTCCAATGTCACAATTATTGCAAAGGCGTGTAAGCAATTGGCACTAAATAATTCCGCTATGACGTAAACTAGCACATTGTGACTCAAGGACGTGCTGCAGTTTGTCGGTCATACATGGAGGATTTTTCTAAACCGACTCATAAGTTTTTCTTTCTAAACCTTGCCATGTTGGCGTCGTGGAACAGATTCCACGAATTCCACACGCTTTCTTCGTGCCTCAAAGAGAAAGTTATCCGAACAGTTTTGTTGTTTGTGAAACACTCTTTTGTTACAGCAACAGCAGCGAGGATAGCGCTAAAATCTGAACCCATTCATTGAGTAAACAGAGGGTCAGTGTCGGATTCTATTCTTGTCGACTCGACCCAGATCCTTTCTGCTTTGTCTTTGTTTAAAAGCGACGCGCAACATGTGTACATCATTCGAATCAAAAGAACGGCAGATAAGGAGGAAAAAATATTGCTGAGAAATAATTGTATTTCTTGAATGTCGTCGCAATGAAGTCGGTTGGAAATAAAGAGCTAATGCCATTTCATAGCGTATCATTAAAAAAATTAAGCCAGGATGCGTACACATTAATAGACGTTAGACCAAGATCAGAGTACATCACAAGTCATATTGCAGCTGCTGTAAACATCCATTGCTCGCCTTTGCTTATACGAAGGTTTCAGCGAGGGAGTAAGTCAGTCGAAAATTTGTTTATGCCCGATGAAATCCGTCGAAAGCTTCAACGGGACACAAGCCAAATCATTGTTTTATATGATAACGATTCTGTAGATGGAAACATTGGCAACGAGATTCGTGAATTGGCTCGTGTTTTACAAAACGGGAAACGTTCTCGATCAATTTTTTTTCTAGAAGGTAAGTTTTGATTTGATCGAGTACTTAAAATGTCTTTAAGTGAAAATATTAGCCGCAAAAAATACTTCTTATAATAAAGTTTTAGTAGTGTCAAACATTGTTTACAAATTATGATCGATATCCTTTATCTTGTCTTTGTCTTTATTAGGAAAGAATAAGTCTTGTTATTGAAGACACACGAATTTTTCCTGTTGCGCAACTTGAACCACAAGTCGATTCTTGCGTTCATTCTAGAAGTTTTTAAACAAAGACTGACTAAGTCTTACAGAATTTTTGTGTCGGTTGAACAGCGTGAGTCAGATCAAGCTAACCAACGTTTTGCTGATCTTTGACTCATCTGGTGATCTGCTATCATAAAAATGACTCACTTTTGATTTAACCTAAAGAATAATGAGTCACTGAGAGATGTCTTTCGTTTTATCAAACTTCGTAACTATTTTCTTTCGTAACGTTGGCAAGTACTCCCGCCCTTTACCTCCGCCCTTACCGCATCGGAAGGGCGAACTGGCTGGAACGACAATCGAACAAAGACAACATTGCCAGGGCTTCCTAGCTTCCTAGACGATGGTGCAATATATCAACCCATAATTTATGAAAATCCATCGTTTTTATAGTTTTTTAAAGTCAGCCAGAGATTTAGTCGTGATCTTTGTTATCATCTTTCATTGATCCAAAGAACAACAAATCCTTCACTACTCCCTTTGTCTCAACACAATGGTACAAGTCGGCCACGTGTGCAGAAACAAGTACATGAATGAAATCCAAAGTTGGCGGGAAATTTCCCCTCCTCCTATAGAAACTCCCGGTACTAGGACATAAAAGAAAACCCATCCATTGTAGTACAGGTTTTGTTACAAATGAATGTAAAAGACGATTGTGAAGTGTTTCGCCATTCGATAGAAACTATCTTTCCAGTAGCAAGCTGTCCTCCTAAGGGTCATTTTAGGCAAGCCTTCAAGTCTGGGTTACAACTAGCGACTTAAGACGATTGGTCGCCATCTTTTGGTTAAAAATATCAATCTTTATTCTCTAATTTAGAGAAAAAACTACACCTTTTTGGAGTCAAGTAGTTAGTATATGAAAGTAAAATATTATTTTACTGAGTCGAAAAACTCAGGCCATGTGCATCTTCTAGAGTGAAATCATTAACATAAATACCCTGTTTGTGAGAAAACTTCAATAGAAATATTCCCTAGCTCACTAATCTCTCCTGAACTTTTCAGGGATCTGATAAAATTGAAGTGGGATATTCGTTTGAAAGCAGTTTCATCTTTTGCTCTTTGTATATAAATAAGCAGCATCACTTTCACTGAAAACTAGGATTCCGCCCATTTATGTTGTGACGCCTCATGTGCTGTTTGATTCCATAACCCTCTTCTACCTACTGCAAAATTTCTGAAGTTCTTCTTTCATTTTGCCTGTACAGGTGGAATCAAAGGCTTCTTATCTGAATACCCTCAGCTATGTGAATCTATGCCTTTGAGCATCGAAACAGATCAGCAACAATCAGAGACGATTCGCGATCCTACTGACCATGTGTTATTCAATTCATACGAAACAGAACCTGTTCACCTTCTGCCGCATCTGTTCATCGGCAGTGCACAACACGCAGAAAACCGTGAGGTCCTTCAAAGACTCGGGATAACGGCCATACTCAACGTTTCCAAAACCTGCAAAAACAACTTCGAAGATACCTTCACGTACAAAACGATTCCAGTGGACGACTCATTCACAGAAGACATTGGTTGTTACTTTGGAGAGACTTCTAATTTCATTGGTAAGTATATTCATTGATCGAGTAGTAAAGTTCAAAAAGTAGCTGGAAAAACTCAAAATACTTAAAATAAGCCTACATGCAAAATGCGCCAATTTACTTCGTGCCATGTATCCCTCTCTCTTTTTTAAATGGTATACTCTTGTTTCTGTTCCAAAAGAAGTCCCTAGTTTAGTATCCTGCCAGCACTTCTAATCACACCGGGTCAGCAACTGCCAATGACCTTGCCCCAAAGCAACACTCCTTCTTGCCTCGCAAAGATGCAAACTGCACCCCAAACTAGGAATTTTCTACAGAGGGCCTGGCAACCCTCTGTCAGATTTAAAATGCAGTGAGACCATTTAGGGAGCAGCAATGCAAGATAAATTTTTTCTGCATAATAAATTGTATATTTAAAAGGTTCTAAAAGCAGTTGGATTATTAGCAAAAGCGGCCTGCCTGATATTTTGGATGCGATTCTTGTCAAACTGGGACCAAAGGGCATAATTATCAATAGTTCCACTATCATTTCAAATGGAGCCACACCCGACAACATTATTATCGGCACCTATTAGCAATATCACGGTGCGGGACTCGAGCCCAGCTCTCTTTGTATTTGCCGCCATGGTGAACGATCAACTTGCTCTTTTGCCTTTTTCCATTGCCTTGGAACAGCCAAATTACGATAGATCTTTGTCACTTGAAAGCTAATGAAAACTATGGTTGGCTTTGTGCGTTATTATAACACACCTTTAATTATATTTTCTTTATTGTTAGAATCAATCAGACGGCAAAACGGAAAAGTGCTTGTTCACTGCAAAGCTGGAATATCAAGATCGGTTACGATTTGTTTAGCGTATCTCATCTCATCCTATGGGTTATCCCTCGATGAAGCATATGAATTTATAAAGAAGAAAAAGACACACATATCGCCGAATTTCAACTTTCTTGGGCAGTTACTGCTTCTAGAGTCAGCAAAAAACGCGTGCAAGACAAAACAGAAGCCCATAGATACACCTGTCTTGGAAATTGAAATACCATCAAGCCCCAGAGTTCCGCTAGAAAGCCTTCACCAAAACTCTCCTTTACCGCACAGACAGGCTTTCTCGTATCCGGTGGACCAGGCTGGTTCTTGTTTAGGCTCGTATCTTATAACCAATACGGCCTTGGGGAGCAACTCTCCGAAACTGATGCCTACGCCAACATAATGGTAATTTTACACTTTAACGATGTACAAAGATGTGTCATGTTACACCCTGCAACAAACTGTATTATCATGATTCAAAGCTTGCGATCATTTAAAGATGAGAACTAGGCAAGCTTGATTTCTTTAAATTATTTTAAATTTGTTGAATTGAATTAGTTTGGTTTGAACCCAAACATAAGACAGTAAAAGGCGCATTTGTATCTAAATTTGTAAATAAATAAAAAATGTTCCGTTGATATAAGCCTGTTGAAAACTGAAGTCTTATTGTGTTAATTGAATCTAAAAAATGTAAATTAAAGTCGTCATAAAAATGTGAATTGATGTTGAATTATATGATTGGGAATACTCAAATGGACGTTTTGAGTTTCTTCTCTTGTCGTTCTCTGAACATCTTTTCAGAATAGTAGCGTTCTGAAATGCAACGCAATACCTGCCAAAATTACTTGGAAAACCAATCAACTGAATGATTGGCAGTTTAGGCAACTTGTAAACAAGTCACAGGAGAAAAGCCTTTTCTAATCTCCCGCAACGTATTACAGCAACGCAAGATTACTGTACCTTAATAGAAACTTTGAACAAAAATATTGTTCTACTGGTCAAAAAGAGCAGTAAGGACCTTTCTTTGAGAATAAATCCCCCCCCCCTCCGCCCCCGTCAGATGAACTTAATTTAGTTGGCATCTTTGTCACGCTTTCAAAATTTATTCTAAAATTGTGAGTCAAACTGCTTGACTTGCCAAGAGATCAAACGTATCTTCCATAAACTAAGGATTCAGGATGTGCGTCGTTTTGTGATGCAAAGTGTTCTTAGAGGATTGATGTATATTTCTTGTTAAGTCAGTAAAAGACCAACGGCGAAGCCAAACAAATTTTTGGGAGGGAGAATATGATTTTTGCCGGCAAAAAGGCGTGTCTCAGTCTTTAAGGGTGTGATCACTGCACAAATAATCTTATGTACTGCTTTTATGCGTTTCTATTTAGTGCCATACTTTGAAAGTTTAACTGCTTCAGAAATTTTAATGTTACAGGGTGAGAAAAAAATTTCTTTTGCCCGGCAAAGATCTTTTTTGTGCCTACGGATAAAGTGTTAGGGATAAAGCGCCCCTGTACCCCCTCCCCTTTGGTGACGCCCTCATGTCTCTCACGCCTATGATAAAATACAATAGGGTTTGTAGTCGTAGGCCTTTGCAACATCCATTAGAATAGCCCCAAACAAATGTTTAACTTCTGCCTCCACCCTTTGATCAACTCAAGCAAAACAAGCTCTGTGGTGTATGCCCTTTTATATGCAGCAATAAAAGTCGAAGGGAATTGTTTCACGTTTCAATATGTAGACTCTATGAAAGGTTTTGTTCCCGTGCATAATCTGCTATCTGCTGTTTAGAAAAAATTCTGGATTTGAAAAGTATAGTCAAGATAAAGTCAAGATTCTGCATAATAGCAGTAACACTCGTATAGTCTTCGAACTTTTCTGATATTTGCCTAGCTGCCAGTGTGTTTTTGGAATGTCCCCTGTATCTGTGAGATTTGTAGGTTTTCTGTTGCATACATTTTTTACAAAACAATAATAATACAATATTTACTGAAAACTTCAGTCAACTTTTGATGGTTTAGTAAACTTTTACCATTTTTTATAAGCGCAATATCAGAGTTTGGTCGAACTCCCTTATTTTTTAAAGTTAGCTAAAAAACCTGGCTCAATTTCAGTTGAAAGTAAATGAGGTCATCATCCGAGCGAAAACGTGTAGCAGCAGCAACAACGTCTAGCTGACGTTTCAAAATTTGCGCTACCATTTTGGGATGTGTCTAAAATGTTTTAGGCGTTCATTTAAAGTTGATATGCACAAATAAAGAAAGGGTGGAAGAAAGAGAGTTGACGCAAAGATGTTTTTGTACATTTTAACATGGATCTCCACAGTCATTCACATAGTTTTTCTTACACTGTCGTTAGGTGAGTGTTATTTTGAACTTTTGCTCTGCGTCTATGTAAGTTTGGCCTTAGGGCTATAGATCAGGCCATCCGATTCTTTTAATTGCGAGAAGCTTTGATGCATACGTTTGATACAACAAGCTATCTATAACAGTTAATAAAATAGTATCATGGCTCGATTTTTCTAAAAAAAGGAATAATTGCTTTTTGCTGCCTAGCAGAGTTTGTTTGATAAGGGGAACTCCTCCCTCTCTGCCTCTTCTATCAGATATTTACTAACCATTAAAGTTTAATGAAACTCTAAGAATAATTTAAATTTGCTCCATGACTGATTTCTAGTAGCATTTATCATTGACATTACCTTCCACCAAATATATATTTATATCACTGGATCCCAGTAAATGTGCTCCTTCTGCTGCCATGTGAACTTGACCTGGATTTCCTGGTTTTCTTCTGACATTTTAGAAACCAGTGATATCTCCAATAGCCACAGAAAAGAAAATATCTCAAACGAAAGTCAACCTTAATATGATCCTGTTGTTATATATCCAAAGAAACTGCTGTGGGATGACACACATAATCCGAGGTGGGCAACCATGGCCCTCTGGCCAAATCTGGCATGCCAGCAAAGTTTTAGTGGCCCTAAGACCTTCAGAATTGAATATTCAAAGAATAAAATGTCTTGCGAACTTGCAGCAAGATATCTTTGATCAATGTGAAATACTTTGTAGCTGGAGTATTGAAGTTCATTCCCAAAACAAAAGATCAAGACCTACACATAGTGGCAGACTGGGTCAGAATTTGTAACTGGCCATGAGGAACCAAGGGGGGCCCAGGTGGCTGTGGTCTGAAAACTGGGGCATGGTCAAGTGAACACATCATCAAAATTGATCAATTTCAAAGCAACATAACATATGTAACTGGAATAACAGAGTTGATTACAAATGTGTGCAGCATACTCTAATTGAAATTTAACATTAAATAATAAAAATTATTTCTGATTTGGATTTCAGTAATTTTGCACAAGGGACCTTCTGGTAGAAAACAAACCTAAAAATAATAAGAATCTCATTGTCCAAATTTCTATCAAAATCCCAAAATGGAAAAAATTTGTCTAGCAAACAAATGAAGCCAAAAGTTTTGAAAAAATAAAAAAAAAGCAACAAATATTTCTGAAACCAAGGGATTAAATTTTCTCAAAATAATGGTTTGCTTACACGAAGCTTCAAGCTTGTTGTACTCAGTTGCAGGGTAACTGCTTCAAAATGGAGATTTAGCTTCCTTTTTATCATTATCTTTTTATCAAATTCAATGGTAACAGTTGGCGCCAGCTTGCAGATATTTTTATCAAATTAATTCAAAGATTCCCTTGAATTTTTGGCAGTATTTCGAACCTGATATGTGCTTACATAAGATATTTTTCATAAAAACCATTTCAATCAAAGGCTACCAGAAGTTGCATTTATTTCCTTTGCATTCCAGAAAACCATTTATCAGTCCTGTCCCCTTTTTTTAACAACTTTGACTTCTTTTCTGAAAACCACTTGCAACTCAAAGTTTATTTCTCCGTTATGTGCAATTTGACTAATTCTTGTCATCTTTTTTGTGTCAATTTTTCATTCCATTAGGCAATAATTTACCCATTTTTGTTTCATACTGGGCAGTCAAGTGCAAGAAAATAGCAAGATTATCCAATAGACAAATCTTTAAGAAGGTGCAGCAGTCCCGTTGAAATATTATTCGCATTGCATTATCTTAATGCTGTGGCTTGAGTAAAAAAAAATAGTTAACGCCAGAGTTTTAAAGTTACCTTCATTTCATTTCATTTCATATTGATGATTCAAACTTTTAATTACAATATTACTGATAATACGATTTTATATTAATTAGGTAAGCTTAGGACACTTGGAAAAAACTCAGAAGAGCTATCGAGCCAAGTGCCCTTTACACAATTAAACAACAGTTTGCAATATAAATGAAACAAGTTATGTTAATAGTAACATAACAACAACAGCTAAAATAATAATATTAAACTAAGCAAAATTGAACTAAAGTAACAAAATCAAGTTTGAGAAATCAGGATACTTGCTAGTTTATTATTCAGAATTAAAGTTAGATTATAATTTAATTTAAGAATCTTAACTACTGAATCTAAAGTTAACTCCCTACTTTGTTGCTAGCTTAATTTTAAGTGAACTCTACAACTAATGCTGTGGATATAAACTGAACCTGGATCTATGAAAAATCAAAATTCAGGAAAATTTCCATCATATTAAAAATTCCAAATCCCTATTCACTTTCCATAACCTACACCAGTCATACTTTTTTTCAATTTTGACCCAATATTTTTTACAACCACATAAAATAATGCTATATTCAACCTCAGTTTTGATGTAATCCATGACGTTTATCATTCATAATAGGACATCGTAAGGCCTCATATTCCTAAAATGGGGCCCTTTTCCTGCAGAGATGGGGCCCTTTTGCCAGGGGGCTAATGGGCCAAAGGCTGATGGGCTGGTGGGCTAGTCTGCCACTGCCTCCACAAGCATTTGCATTTAGAAGCAACTTTTCTGACAGAATAAAGTTTATCAGCTATAAATTTTCCACAAATTCAAACTATGTGCATGTAGACACACTCTCCCTCTAGTTGCTTTGACTTGATTTTGAAGCTGACGAAAATAACAAACTAGAAGGAGAATAGCTCTCATGCTTATACAGGACAGATTTCAATTGCTGCAATTATGGGGAAAGTTATTATGGAAAGTTTTAGTTTGATTTTTTTTCTCAAAACGGGTTTCATGAAGCAGTATATCTGGCAAGATAATCTATTAAACCAGGAAAATTGTAGTTCTATGTTGATGTTATGCGAAAGTTTTTCGTTGAAAGATGCTTTTAAATTCTGTTCAGCCCTTCCTAACCCAATGTGGTAAATTCTTATGAAGCTGATGATCTTAAAATTAAGTTTGCCTTTTAATTATGGTTCTCTTTGCATTTTTATTAGCTCTTGAATTTTAGATTTTAACTAAACTCCTTCATTAACAGCTATTTGATGTCATTATTTTGGTTGTAGCTGCTGGGTTATATTATTTGGCAGAGCTGGTTGAAGAATACACAGTTACCACTGCAAAAGTCATAAAGTACATTCTTATTGTAAGTCTTGTGTATTTAAAGCTAAAAATTATTTTTAAAAATGGCTTCGAAGAAGCAAATATTTCGAAACAAACATTGATTATGTTTCAAAATGTTTCCTTTCTCAAGGCAATTTTCAATTCTGTACCACAAAAAGATTGTTTGTGTATTCTATTTCTTGACAACTTTATCCCATAACTCTTCCTTCCTCCCTAGATCTTGTAAGTGTTGGAATGCTCTACACTCTTCCTGCTTCCCAGATTCTTACAACCTGTTTTTATTAAAAAAAATAAGCAAGCTTGATTTTTCCTCTCACTCTTCTAATACCTCACCCCTTGTCAGGGCTTAGCTTTAGGCTCCTAAACCTTTCCTTAACATAACCAACTAAAGAATTCAATCAACCTGTTTCTATTGTCTTTTGCAAAAAATAATTACCTACTATTTTAACAACAACAGAACTGGCTGAGGATGTCTGATAATTTAATCAAAAAATAATTTCAGAAGAATCGCCCAAAAATGTCAGATTTATTCCCCTTTATTTCCAATTCACTGATTGTTATTTTAGTTAAGCTTGTAGAAAGCTGTCGTAAGAGTGCTTTAGCTATGTCAAAAAGTAGTGAAAGCCAGAGCTTCAGTTTTCTTCCCATGAAAAAGTCCCTGGTTAAGTAAAATTCAATTTTTAGATTGTTTTGATAAGCTGTCTTGATTTTGGTGGTTATTTTTAAGCCACCATATTTTACATTTTCAGACACCTTTTTGTTGATTGCATAGCTATTGCAGTGCCACTAAACAATTATTATTCTTACGATATGTTTTTTCAATTTCTAGGGCTCAACAGTTGCAGTTTTGGGGGTGTTTTTTCTGGAACAAATGCCTCTACACCTAACAGGCCTAGTTCTCCTTTCACATTTCTTATATGCAACATTGTTGAGCAATTTTCCCTACATATCATTGTCATCACTAAGCTTCATTTTTAGTTGTGGTAAGTAATAGTCTGTTCTGTTCATTTTTCACCAAAACCAGAAACTCCTTATGAATATAATTGCTACTTTTTTGCATGTAATGTGTTTGGTTTTTACTAATTCATCATCCTATTACTTCTTACCATTTTGCAAAGGCCCAATTTCAAGATATTATGGCTATATGTCCTAATTTTTTGTTTTTAACCAAATATAAATGCAAGAAAACTTTTATGATGTTTATTCTCAGATGAAAATATTGATCTTGTGTTGCATATCAGGGTGAAAATTCCTTAGTTTGCCTAATTTTGTAATGAGTTCAAAGCCTTAGCCTGTCTTTAGTAAAGTAGAAGTTAATATTTGTTCTTTCAGTTCTTTTGGTTGTCAATCACTACCTAGCCTTCTCTTATTTTGCTGAAGTGCTCTATAGTTTTCAAGAGGTTTGTTTTCTTCACTTTTTGTTACTTTGAAAGTTTCCACTAGGAAGTATATGACAACAAAGTAACAACAATTAAATTATAACATACTACAATTATGTGTTCAATTTGAATGTCCCACTTGCTTTTTGACTTGAGGATTGTTTTGTTATTTTTATGATCTTTAGAGAAATTTTCAGACAGATGTTTAATTTGATGCCTACGGAAATCTAAGATTGAAAACTCACTATTCTACTGGGTGTCCCAAATTGGGCCTTTCGAGTAGTATGGGAAGCCAATAAATTTCCAGGTTTTTCATGCCTTTCCTCGAGACCTGGGCTATAGCCTGCACGTGCGCAAACCCCATGCAAACCCCACGCAAAATGAATTTGCAAGGGTTTTTTCCGCCCACGCAGTTTTTCAAACCGACGTTCTCATTCAATCCACGCAGTTTAGCTTGCCAATGTTTGTACTACTTACCACTTAATACCAGGGTGTTATTATATAAAGAGAAAGAGGTTTTTCATGTCTATATATTTGTTAAATGGCATTATAGAATTCTGTTTCCTTATATAGCATATGTTAAGAAACTATTGTATTATCTGCTAAAACTTGCAATGGAATAGGAATTGTACCACATTTTACTGGCAAAACCTAACAAAAGTTTGCTATATTCCAAAAAAGGGTATATCTATATTGGTCTTGTTTTGAGGGATGGTAATACAAAATTTAAAGGAAGTAATACACCTTCAAATTTTGGTGCCTTCAAAATACACCAGTAATAATACAGTAGTCATACAAAATGCCTTCTTAAGGTAAATGGTGTTTAAAGAATTGGCAATGTAATGTATTTTTGCCTTTGTAAATACTCAAATGTAAAAAAATTAACAACAGTTCTGCAAGGGCTAAATAGCCCACGCAGCCAAACTGGCAAGGGCTTTTTATAGCCCGCGTTGTTTTTTTCCAGGAGAGGCCTGGTTTTTTTAAGTGCTGCTTCTTTTCTTTTATTTCCAATCCAGATATCCTTTACAAATGATACAAAACTAGAAAGTTAGCAGTTGCCCCCAGTTCCTCATGATATCTGCCGTTGGTTCTGAGACATGTATTTTCAACATCAAATATCAACATTAATTTTGCTAGTTTACTCTTCTATGCATACCAAAGAGTCTATCAGTTTTCTATGAATCTATCTGTATACATCTATGAACATGTAAATCCATATTTTAATGAAAACTTGTTGCTTGTGTTTGAGATATCCATATATTCACATTTAAGTGTCTCTTCTCTTTTCAGATCTTAGCCTACTTCACAATTTGTCTGTGGATAGTGCCATTCAGTTTTTTTGTCTCCTTATCAGTGAATGAATATGTTCTCCCTACCATGCAAACTACTGATATCTCTGGTAGCAGCTCAGTTATAGGTAACAAATATGATTTTTTGATATCATTTGCTAAACAGTGTTTGATTTTTGAACAGGATAGTACGTTAGGGAAAATGTTAGAAAGTGAATAAATATAGACAATGCATGTATGGTGTGGTGACTCCCCAGCACACTTGGTAAAGGAGGGATGCATTGAGTTCGAGTGGCATAGCTTTGCACTGGATTTGAATGTATGACTAAGTAGCTCTGTTGGTAGAGCAATGACATTTAAGGTTCTGGTTAAATGATCAAGTCTTGGCCTGGTCAAGTCACTTTCTCACATTTTGTCTAACAATATTGATGTCATTTATGGAAGGAGTTTCAAAATACTTTGGTTGGTTTCAAGGTTTAAGGAATCTATTTGTTACACTGTTGCATGTTGGAAGTTTCAAAAGTTGAAATTGTTGATTAAACTGTACAGCGAATATTTTAATTGTTTAAAGCCTATAATTTCCTTAATGCCTGGAACACAATCATCTAACATATTTCAGAAATGTAATTCTTAAATTCAATTCAGTCATTAAAGAGGTAAAACAAAAGCTTTCTGGTCACTTCTTAGTATTTGATCATAGCTCATTGTTGCATGAACAGTTTGATTTTGTGAACACATTCATCTTTTAATATAAATTTATTCCAGATTGTGTTGTCTATTCTGACTTAACTGTGTTTGATGTGCAAAATCACAGAGCAATAGAGATAGTAGAAGATAGGCTAGAATGAGACATGTTCTATGTTACTCCAAGTTTCATGCTTGCACACATATCAGACAGACTGTATTAATATTTTTCAAGATAAATTAGTCTAAATTTTCAGTGATTTCAGATGAACAGTTACCATAACATGCATTTGTGCTATAATTGGAGCAAGCTTCTTTTAACAGTCTTAAAGTTGCAATTGAAAATTAATGTAGAATCTTGTTTTATTTGTAATACCAGCATAATGCCAAGCTAAAGTTTTTTTATTGACTTCCTTTAGGTCCAAACACTGGAATGCTAATCTCAAAGAAGTCAAAGAGAGGTGGACTGCTCGCTGTTTTTGACTACTTTAATCAGAAGAAAGATGACTTGTTGCTAAGAAATAAAAGGTTCTGAAAATATAGATTTCCTTTGAAAAGCTTTGTTCAGCTGTACTAATATTGAAGTTTCAGAAGTTAAGTACCAAGGGATGCATTCTTGTAAGGGGGATGAGATTTGCATGTCAAAATGGCTAACCATGCTTACAATTAGATTGGAACAAGCAGTGTTTTGCAAATGACCTGTTTTTGTAGGTATTTGTATCATGTCCTGAATCTAAAGACCAAGATAACAACTTCTTGATATTTGATACTTAAACAGTTGCTTATAATCATGCAGGTATCTTATGTAGTTGGAGGCATGACTTTGTGTTTCTTTATTTTAACACAAAGGCTGTAGTTTTATCAAGTTTGTTTTTTAGCTGCACTACCTTTTTCAAAAACCAAATTATGTGTAAGGTACCCAAATTCAAGCTACTCGCTTGCTTGAGTTTGCCATCGTACTGCAACATATCCCAGTCCTATGAAGTCTCATACATTTGCATGAGACAAATGCATTATTTGTTGGAGTATACAGCAATTGTAACAGTCTCCAACATTTGCACGTCTCCAAAATTTGTTTGAGTCTCTGGTTTTTCTTCAAGTCTCATGTATTTTACATTGGTCTGAAGCATTTACAGGAGTGAGTTTTGGGTGTTAGAGAAGAGGGCAGCAATATAAAATATGATAGCACCAGTTAAGTAAGGATCTCTATGTGAATTTAAGAGAGGTATTAAGGAATGGTTCTTTGCATAAGGACAAAGTGTAATTCAGACAATCATGTTAAAAAGCACCTTATTTACCCTAATTTTCAAGAAAGTTTATTATCTTGACAAGTTACATGATTGTTTATATATTTGGTTAGTTTCAATGTCATTAGCAAAACATAATTGCAACAATTGCAAATCAGGAGTAAAAGGTTAGAAAAACCAAATTATGGTGTACCAGACAGCAAGAGAACCCTTAATGCCCTTCTATAATGTGATTCACTTGGGCAGTCACAAATTCAAAATGGTTCTCTGTTATGATTACAAGCTAAAATTTCTCTTGCTCTGACGAAGCCCTGTATGATGAGGCAAAATATAAGCTACTTTTAATTTATTTGTGTTTGTTATTTTTTGTACTCAGTTCATTGCAGTGTTCCTTATTTTCTACATTTTATCAAATTTTTGCCGCAAGCATACCATTGAAGTCCCTCCAGCAGTTTGCAACCATGGCCTTTCCTTTATTTACATCAAATTTGTTGTTGTCCAGGGTAGCATGCATACCTCAAATCAATATTTCCCTTATTGAGACTCCTGCAAGTTCCTGAAGATAACTGATCAGAAGCAAAAGTACAAATACTAAAAACAAGGGCAAAATTTTTGAGGAGACAATGCAATGAATTTATTTATGCTTGGGTGAATTTTTTTTAGATTAAACACCTCTTCCTAAGTTTTGTTTACACTTGGTTCTCATTTTCTCACTACATTATGCATAATATGGCAACAGGTGAATGTTATTTTGGTGACATTCAGAGAAATAATTTCTTTTGTTTATTTGACATTCGTATTCAACCCTTCAATATAGAAAACTCAAGCAGAATACAAATGCCCTGTTATATAGTGCTTGTTTCTGGATTAAAAACTGGTGTAACAGGGAAGAAATTACAGCCTCTTTCTCCCTGTCAAACAGTGAATAAAAATCAGTAGTTTGGAAATAGATTTTTTACTCTATGGCCTAGCGGGTTTCTGCTACAAGAAAGGCAATGGTTTGGACTGGAAATACAGACTGGAACATGCCAACAAATTTGTTAATTCTAATTGAGGTGATAAAGTCACATTAAGACAACAATGAATTAACATTTGAATACACTTGAACTGAATCGAATGCAAAGTTTTATACAATCTATATGATGCCTGCTTTTTGATTAGATTCTGAGTTGCAACATGTACTAGTTAGATACAACAGTTAAGTTAGTTCAGCTTACTATCTCTCTATTCTTTTTCAAGCTACAGACCAAAATATTTTTCTGGAAACTTTCAATTAAATTTAAACAAAAGTTGCTTTGAAGTCATATTCAAATTAATTTGGCACAACAAATATGCTGCACATGACCCTGACCAGGGTTGCCATTTGGCCATTTTGATGGCCAAATTTCTCAATTCTAGCCTTTTTTAAAAGCTGTTGGCCGTCGAAAAATGATTTTGCTGAAAAGGCAAGTTTGCTGAATTTTGGCTGCATTTTAAAAGCCACAAAAATTCATAAAAAATAACAATTTTGCACACAAAATATTCAACATTTTGTTAGAATAATGAAAGCAAATTGGAGCTCTTGTAACAAACAGCCAATTTTGATTGTACTATTATTACTCCAAAGAATTAGCCAAAATGTACATTTTTTGTTTGGCTGGCAGAATTTGGCAGTCAAGCGTAAAATATTTGGCCGCCAATCATTCCAAGCTTCTGGCAACCCTGACCCTGACCTAAGTTGCCAATAGACCAGCTTTGAGCTTGTGGGCAAATTAATAAACAGAAATAGAACAAAGAAAGACAAGTACAAATTATGCCAATAAAATATTTACATCTTTACCTTTTTAATGTTATTGCTTAAACTGAAAGAGCATTGAATGTATATAAACAAATTTCTGGCACAAGAAAACTTAAGAGTTAAAATTGTACTTCACAGTTACAAGGTGCCTCTGACTAGGTTTAAATTTGTTTTCTTTTTTACAGATTCTCAACACAAGGAGAGTAGGACACCAATTTCTTCTTACACAAGAAATAGTCGTAAGATAAAATAAAACTGTACATGCATCAGTCTGGTTAGTTATGAAACTGGATTAAATCTTAATGTATTATAAAGACTTAAAAAGCTGTATTAGGCTAAAAATTATTAAATATTGGCTTCTTACTTTATTATAAATTCAATTTGACTTTACAGATACAAATTAAATAAGTCAAAATCTTCATTTTGATCCACCTGGTATAAACACTGTTGCATTTGGGTTCAGATGGTATGTCTGAAAGAAAAAAAATTTAATTGAGCATGGACTCTGTTTTAGATCAAAATAAGCACAACTGTTCATTTCGACAGTATATATAAAAGATTCAAAAGGAAAACAGAAAACAATGACCATGCAGAAATTATTTTAATTCAGCACTTAAGAGTGTTCATATGTCCCATCCTTCAAGCACAATCACACAATCACAAGAAGCCCTAGATAATGATGAATTTAGATAATATTAAAGACACATAATGGATGTAACATAGATAAGAAAGTTATTCCCTTTTATCATATATTTGGGAAGTGAAGGGGCACTTTGGCACCAATATTCAGGAATTTGCTGTCAATTTAACAAGGATGCTTTCTTTGTGATGACAGGTGCCCTCCTCCCCTTGCATAGTGAGGGGGAAAAGGAGCAGGGCCTGATTGGAATTTTAGCTTTGCGTGGGGGATAAATCCCCCGCGCACATCAAGTGTCAGCCGCAATTACAGCCGCACAATTCCTATTGAAATGATTCATCCAGCTGCACAGGGTTCTTCTTGAAATGTAAAACTTATCTTATATGTACTTAATAATTGACGCTTTTAATGAAATTTGAATTTGAAGACCCTCAGAGTTGCAAATCTTCTAAATCGTCATTACTTTTTGCTAGTGTACACACGAGGCTGGTTTTTGTACACACATATGCCAAATAGCAGCATGTGAAGGATATTTCATCATTTCTGGGAGTGAAATACACATGGAACAGGATGATGTAATTTATTATCATGCACAAAGTTTTCAAAGTTTGAGCAGATTTTGGTTTACGGAAACAATTCTCATCTGGTTGGGTCCCTCTCGTTCTTATTTTTAGGAATTATGAAAAATGTTTATCTTTGCTATATTGTTTTTATCACCACTAACGATGTTACTAATGTTTTTCTCTGAAATGTACACCCAAAAGTTACATACTGTTTTATTATGGTAATTAGTCACAGCCGCACAAAAATTGTATCTGTATTATTTGCAAATGCGCAATTTTCATGGACATGCAACAGATCCCCTGCACATCTTGCAAATATTTCAATCTGGGAGCAGGGTTTGCTCTCCCTAAAAACATGAAATTGGTTCAAAATCTGGGAAACAAAATGTCATTGCATTTTGAGTTATGAAAAATAATTTTCTAGAGCAATTTTAGTTTCCTAGATAACTCTACCTTTATTCAGGGTAATACCTATTGTAGGGTCATTGACCTCCATGTGCTCTTAACAATATTGTTGCACCCAGTACCCAGTCCCTTTCTCCTGAAGGCATCTCTGCTTTTTTCAAGTACTAAATTTTTAAGGTCTAAATGCCTCAATCGTTGATTTTGTTCAACTTACTGTTTTTTCTTTGTGATGTTGTGACACTTGGTTGCCCTGTGGTAAAACAGGCGAGTTGTAGTTGTTACGTTGGTGGTGGTAGTCGTTTTGAACATAGCCGTTGAAGGCGAAGTTGTTTGGGGGATACATTTGATAGTTGTTCGGGTAGTAAAAATTTCCCCCTGTCTGGCCTTGGTAGTCATGCCACTGATTTGATCCATTGCAATGAAACTGCTGGGGATCAAGTTCTTGGTTCACATTCATGTAATCGAAATGATCTGCAAGGCCATTCCCATTGCATTGATTAGGATCATCAGCGTTGACATCCTTCGGTAACTGGATATGTGGTTCCCCCGAGCTCGTAAAATGCACAAACTCTCTCTCCTCTTCGTCTAAAAGCAACTCTATTGAATTCCGGATGTAATTTTCCTCTTCGATTTCAGATTGAATTACTCGATCGTAATTTTCCATATCTTCCATCCACATATACTCTGAAAAGTCCTCTTTTGTATAATGTGTTAAATTTTTCGTCTCCTCATCCATCCTCTCGACTTTAAAAGAGCCACTCTGACTCATGACCACTTTGTTTACGGACTAAATCTTACCACGATTTCACGATAACAATATCAAAGATGGCTGACGACCTTCCACTTCGCTCTCAAGCTTGACTAACCAATCACGTTCACGTTTCTTCTCTTCTGGCTAATTCTGTCGGGCCGCGCTGCACTCTGGGCCCCTTGGGGAGGCCCAGCGGAACAGGTGTAGATACCTTATTCAAACATACACTCATTTTTTGATAAGAAACTGGCTATAAGAAACGAGTACTGGACAGTCAGAAAAAATTAAGAAACTTCAGTACACGAAGCAAAAAAATTAAGAAACTATAAAATCGTGATAAAACTGAGAACAACGAAATTTTCTAAAATCCAAGAACAAGATTGCCTTGTTGGCCTGTTGCAAAAACAACTACTTTGCCATAATACATGCACCAGATACTAACCTTTTAGTCACGGTATAAAAAAGGTTACGAACATTTCATAACATCATTCATGACATGATAATTAAGAAACTCTTAAGAAAAAATGAGCATTAAAATTTCCAGAAACTGGAGTACTCAACATTGACCTTTGTTTCTTATAAAAAATGAGTGTATTTTCATAAAAACTTTTAACAAGCAGTATTCGCACTTGCATATTTACAAAACTTTGTATAAACTTTTGAAGAAGATGAGTTGGATAAGAAGAATTTCAGACAAAATGTTTATTGTTTTGTTAAAATTTTAGTCGAAACATTAATTGTCTGGAAGTTTTATCCAGCTTTAAAAGAAGAATAAAATCTTGGAAAGGAGAGGAATGCAACTGTAGATTGTGTGGACCATTGTGGCTCAGGTTGGGCTCTTGAACGGATAAATGTATTGTATTGTAAAAGCCAAAAATGCTGTAAAAGCATTGTAAAATATGCATGTATGTATTTATACTTAATTATTTCTTATGTTAGATACATATGTATTTTTATTTTTAAACAATTTTACTTTGCAGTAGGCTTGAATTAGCTTTTATTTTGTAGCTATTTTTATATGCCTACTTTAAATAAATAGATAATAAAAATAATAATAATAATAATAATAATTTATCCAAATATTTTTAATAGTCCTTAGAGCATTGAACTACACCAAGTAACGCGTAAGATTTTTTATAGAGAATCAAACCTGAATGCTGGTCTTAAAATTCACCTAGATGCCAAAACATTGGTTTTCAAAGTTGGTTTTCTGTAAAATAATGCAGGAGACAAGAATAATATTATGGCTTGAACGATATTTATCTCCACTATAAACATTGGTTTCGGGGGAAGGGACGAAAGTATATATATTCGTGTTCGAAGTAATTTGGGCAGGCATTGTAACATTCAAATATTGTTAAAAGCGTTAAAATTGACAGGGCTTAAAAGTGTAAAAGTGTTAAAAGACAGGGCTTTTAGAGTAGAAGATACGCGCTGATCATAGTGCAGATCCTCTTAATGCCCAGGTATATTTTATAATAATTGATACATGCTTTTAGCATGTTTAGCACATGGGACAGGGTCAGGTTGCAAAAAGATTTTCTGCGCACCCTTGTCACTTTCCTGGTCACGTGCCCTCCGGGACTTGCTAGATGTGTCACTTTTTGCAAGATGTCTCAATTTTTGCTGCCGAAGGTTATGCGTCTCCCCCCTCCCCCAACTTACACTTACATGAAATGCTTCTATTTGATTAAAATGAAAAGATTGATTAAAAGAAATTTTGTCGGAAAATGTTTCTTTTTGGCCCCCTCTAGAATTCATTCGCCACGACGCCCTTGTGACTGACCTAGGCCATAACGTGACTCATGTTCCTTGATTCTCCTGCCAATGTGCAATGCACAGGGGCGCCTACACAAGGGGGGCTAGAGGGGCAGCTGCCCCTCCTGCCCTCTTCGAAGAGGGGCAGAGGGGGCAAAAAGTGCCCTGAAATATGATGACCACTTTGACTACTCTCGTTATGTTAATATCTATTAGAAAATACTAGAAAGATGATAACACCAGCACAAAAATGCAAAGAATGAAAAGTTTGTCTGTGACAAGGTCGGCCACAAGGGGGAGAACGGCAAAGGTAATAGATGATAAACAAAAGACGTGTTCCCTCCAAAGTACTCCAGAAACCTAAGGAGGATAAATCGGTATAAAAACTTGGCGGGCAATCAAAATTTTACAACCAGCCCATTTATAACAGCCATGATTTTTAGAAAACCAAATATTGTGTATAGTGACAAGGCCATTTAATACCCTTTTTCATTCATGGATAATTTCGTCAACATTTTCTTTATGTTTAGAATCTTTGATGGTAAAAAACCCAACTGTATGGGTGGCACATATTCTAGTTAATATTTTATCATGTTACCCCCACCTCGCCCCCTCCCACCTAGGAATGCTCGATTATGTTAATAGAAAAATTCAACGATTTGCCCTTGGCACCAACACTGCCCCCCCCCCCTTGCCCTAATCTTGTGCAGGCGTCCCTGGCAATGCATCGTATCACGGCGCAATGCATAATGTCATTTGAAATGCAAAACGCCATATGAAATGCAAAACGCCATATGAAATGTAAAACGCCATATGAAATGTAAAACGCCATATGAAATGCAAAACGCCATATGAAATGTAAAACGCCATATGAAATGTAAAACGCTATATGAAATTTTAAACGCCATGCATGAAACACCACGCGGAGTATAAAGCCGTATAATAAGAAATGGCACGCAGAATGAATAAGCAGTGGGAATATGATATTTCATAGAGCCACATGAAAGGGTAAACTAATGATTTAAGTGCCATAGAATAACATAATGTCATTAGAATCAAGTTAAAGACCATGTAAAATAGGGGTTATTGGCATGTGAAATCATAAAACACTCTATAATTGTAATGTAGACACAAACAATGTTCCATAATTTGGGCCATTGCAGATATCTGTATCCTGTATGGAGAGCAACAAACATTAATGTAAAAGTTTGAGAGCAGGAGGCCCAGATCGGATCCTTGTGGAATCCCAATAGACCGTTGATTGTAGGAACCCTTAATACCAAAATAACCAGTTTTTTCATCTGAAGGTTCACTGTTCTTAAGTTTTGAATAATTTGTGGTTCGGGTGCTCTCAATGTTGGTTTTTATTTCAACATTGACTTGTCAACGATGATATTCTATAAATTGTTTCTAAAATCAAATTAAACTGTTTTGCACCACATTTTAGCAGCACGGGTGACTAATTGATAAAATCTGCTATGTTTCATTAGAATGAGAGAGAGTAAATATTCAAAAGCACATTGTTGTTTCTTTTAATTTTTCAACTGAAGCTGGCATGTTCTTACGTTCTAATGAAGTGTATTCTCAGGGCCGTCGCGAGGCAAGCCTTGTTGGGGGAGGGGGGGGGGGTGTGAACTACAAATTTACCTGATTAAAAAGTCTTTGCCTGAAATTCTTTAGTTGCTGTCACAAACCTCTGCAATGCATTTTGTCAATCTAACTCTATAATGCGCAACTTTCATTTTAATTTGATAATAACGGAATTTTCCTAATAATTTTGTCAAACCTCTATATCGAAACGGGCAAAGGATATAGTTACTACCCGAGGCGGCACCATGGTTGCCACCGAAGGAGCAGGGAATTTTCGAATTTTGATGCTTCTAATTCTCTGGAAAATCACTCTTTCAAGCACATTTAACTAAAGCAATCCTTTTAATCCTATTGAAAATAATTTTTTCGCAAACAAATTGAACAGCAGATAAAGACAACTGGTACAATTTCGCCGTGGTCTTGAGAAATACCATGTTGTCAGTTACTTCTGAAGCTAGGTAACTTTGAATGTTAAAAAAAACTGGAGCTCACAGTGAATTGCAGTTGACGCTTCTACTGAGAAACTTTAGGGGAAATGGACACAAGACACAATTTTACCTAAAGAGGGCCTGGATTTTTCGATTAAGTGCCAACAAGAAATCTTCAAATCTTCGAATCATTAGTTTGTTTACCTTCATTCATATCAAGGAATATCATCTTTAACCAACGGAGCAACTACCTTTGCTTGATTCTTTACTGATTTTATGACATGAAGGTCTCTAAAATACCTAAAGCGTGTCTTCCAACGAGCGGATTTTACCCGAAATTTCCTATTGAGATACTATTGGGGGGGGGGGTGTGACACCCCCAATACCTCCCCCGATCGCGACGCCCCTGTGTATTCTTATATAAGGAAAAGTGTGCATTATTTTTTAAACGTTCCTTGTTTTGCTCCTAGTATTACACCGAGTACTTAAACCAAGTAAAGGCCTATTTGCCAAATTAAAACGATTTGTCGATTGAGAAATTCTGACAGAGACATTTAAAGTTCAATTTGATGTATAAAGGTTTGCCTTATCCTTACCAACTGTTAATTTCAAATGAATTTAGATACTAATATGGCTTTAATTTTGAGACAAGATGCTTTACCTGTCAGGTTATTAATCAGATATTTTGTAAAATTTGAAAACTGGATTTTTCTGGGAAGAAGTGTTTTGTCTTATCCTTATCCTTTAAAATTGAATTGTGGTATTGCTAACGGTGTTCTGTGGATTAAACTTTGTTACTGTGCTTAAGAAAAAGGGCAGACGCATTGTTTCTAATCGTCTCTGAATTTGTAAAAATGCAATCGAAAGATCCAGTTATTCAGCCAAGCCAGAACCTGTTATCTTTGAAAACGTTTTAATTCTAAACAGTGGGGAAAATAGGAAACAAAGAAAGAAGGTAGACGGAAGTTTTTAGTATCAACGAAATTCATTTTGAACAACAATTATTGTTTTGGCCAAGCAAACATTCAATGTTTGTTTGGTATTCTTTGAGGAAAGGTAGCCACTGTTTTAAAGTTTATTCTGATTAGATGGACAAAGTCACGTGTAAGATCAACATTGAATGCAACAGCGTTTATTCACACCTGGTAGGACTTTTCTGGCAATCTGAGTGTATTTGACACTCAAATGTGTCAATGACCCTTGCCTTTCTCTTGAGCAGAACAAATGTGCATGCTCTTACTTACCAGCTTTTTAACTTGAATGAATAAACAAAACATTAAAACCAACTGTTAATGGCCCAAGTGGGGATAAATAAATACTCTCCACCTAACAGTGACATAAAAAGCAG